TCGTGTCTGGACTCGAGGCCCAGGTTGCCAACGTGTCTGTTGGTCGTCAGGTATGGCTTTTTTTTCCCTCTCCCTCCCCACAAAACGATCCAAGCTAAAATTGTACCAATCAGGCGATCCAAGAGCGCATCAAGCAGCTTGACTTCCAAGACTGCAAAGTCCGAGTATCCAACGTCGATTCGCAAGCCTCGTTTGACAACATCGTCATCCAGGTCATCGGTGAAATCTCAAACAAGTCTGGCGAGCCCAAGAAGTTTGTGCAGACTTTCGTTCTTGCCCAGCAGCCCTCTGGCTACTTCGTCCTCAATGACATGCTCAGATATATCAGCGAAGATGAAGAGGAACAGGTTGTTGCCGAGGCCGAGCAGGAAGCCCCTGCCGCTGAGCCAGAGGCATCTGCCCCCGAGGTGCCCGTTGCTGCCGCGCCCGAGTCCGCCGAGGAGGATGTGAAGATCGAGGCTGTCAACGCCGACGAAGTGGACCAGAAGCTCGAGGAGGCTTCCAAGGTCAACGGTACTGATGCTGAAGAGCCTGCCGAGGCTGCAGAGACCACCGTTGCTGAGCCGGAGAAGCCCGCGCCAGCTGACCTTGAGAGTGCTGCTAAAGCAGTTGCCGAGGAAGAGGCCAAGGAGGTTGCTGAGCTGCCCAAGGAGCCAAGCCCTACTCCTGCCCACAAGCCCACTGCTAAGCCTGAGGCTGCTCCTCCTGTTGAGCCGGCTGCTCCTAAAGTGCCAATGACTTGGGCCAGCCGCGCCGCTGCCGCCGCCGGCCCTCGACCAGTCGTTCCTCTTCCCAAGACCGCCACTCCCCCAGCTCCAGTTCAGAACAGGGCTCCCGCACCTGCTGCTGCTGCTGCTGCTGCTGCTCAGCCCACCACTGCGGCTGCTGCACCGGCATCTGCCCCTGCTGCTGAGGCTGCCAAGGAAGTTACTGGATGGCAGACCGCTGGCGCCGATTCCAAGCGCCAAAACCGACCTCAGTCTATTGCTGCGAATGCTGAGAAAGAGGGCACAATGGGTTACGTCAAGTACGTCACAGAGAAGGTTCAGGAGGCCGAACTTCGAAGTGCTCTGGGCGCTTTTGGCGAACTGACCTACTTCGATATCAACCGTGCTAAGGTACGCCGATCAACTCCCCCTCTTCCCTGTGTATAATGATTGGTGAGAATAAGTCGTACTAACTCGTATGTTTCTTAGAACTGTGCCTTTGTTGAGTACAAGACTGTTGAGGGCTACCAAGCTGCTCTGGCCGGCAAGAACCTTACCGTTAATGGCGAGAACATTGTTGTCGAGCCCCGACGACCCAAGGCCAACACCTACGGCGGTAACTTCGGCGCTGGCCGTGGTAATGCCTCAGGCCGTGGCCGTGGTGGTTTCGATGGTAACCGTCCTGGCGGCCAGAATGCTAGAGGCAACTTCCCTGGACAGGGCCGTGGCCGCGGCGGCGCTGCTCGTGGTCGTGGAGGCGCCCAGGCCGCAAACGTTTAGATGACGAGCGTGCCAGTCTGAACTTTCCATAAGACAAAACATCAACAGCGTATCAAACCAAAAAGAGAGAAAAACACAGAAAAACAAAGCTGCGAGCTTATCAAGGCCATGCCCAACAATTAGGATGGCTAGCATGATGGTATTTCACACTTTCGTGGGAAAGGCGAACAAAATAGGTTAGAGATCTGCCGGAGCGGAAGTGGGAGAAGCTTGGAGACGAGACTGGATTTTGGCCCAGGCCCTCCTAAAAGTTATCTGGTTTGTTTTTGGTGGTGGAGTATGAGCAAGCCTAGGCTGGCGTCGATTTTTTATTTCGATTTTTTTTTTCATTGTTCTTCCTTTTTCCTTTTTCATCTTACCATCCCATTACTGGTATGGCTGCATCTGTTCATTGCGATTAGGGGACTCAGGGGCTAGTAGGATAGTCTACTGAGCAAAAAAATAATAGGGAGGGAGGATCCTTCGTGTTTTATGTATATTTCAAAGGGAAAAGGGGGACTCTGGATGTTGCTTTGGCTTGCTGTTATATCGGTGGGCGGAGCTATCCTTGGTTGGCACGGCGCATGGCGATGGGTGGTGATATTTTCCTATTTCCACTTGGCCTTGGTTGGTGGAGAATTCTTGGCAGCATGTGTGCGGGACATGAAGAAAAGAAAAAGAATGTATATTAGGCAGTTACGCGAGATGCAAATAAAGTATGCCATGACGTTACGGTGTTTTTGATGCGATGGCACTGGCTTTACTTGATATGATGCGTGTGCTATTGGCACTTTTGGGGTGTCGTAATCGAGCATATTGCTGACTGGCTCCTGTTTGTGATTACCTATTGTCTTTCCATGTAGTATTTCCTGTTAAGAATGTATTGGGTCTTTTGAACTTCTGGTTGATATCAGTAATGGACAATTATCACTAGTCTACGTATTGAAGTTGGTAAGAGGATACAGAGTTATAATTAGCAATTGATAGGGCTGGAGGAGAGGCACGAGATTCCAAGATATTCTGAGAGAGATGAAAAAGGTGGCATGTATAAGTTTGCCTCTAAACGATAAAAACGTGGTAGTATCACTGTTCATGGTTGGCAACGGATCTTTGAGAAAGGCAACCAAACAGCCTGGACATATGAAGATGGTATGAGCTCATAAAGGTAATTAGACTTGATGCGTTGATTAAGTAGTATATTAGCCCTGAAAGGCTTCATCGCGGAACGTTCAAGGGCAGTTATGAAGAATAGAATAGGCCGACTCTAGAGTTTTGTATGTTGTTGCAGAGATCAAAAGAATATGTACATAGTAGGCTCTATCTATAGCTCAGAAAGTATTAGGAAGTAGAGAACGAGATTGTATGAATGTTGTCGATAATCTTTATTTCATTCTCATTCTATTTATTTCATCTTCTTTCCCGGGGGGGGGTTTCTTTTTCTTCCTCTCTACCTCCTCCATTTCCTTGCTTCATCTATTAGACTTTGCCTCAGCGCACTTGATATATTTCCTGCAAGCCACTTGTTGTAGCATATTTATAGACCGCTCTCTTATAATATTGAACTTCAACTTGTAACAAGACCAATGGCGAGAATGGTGCTCATAAAGGTAGCTCTGTCTCCTACACGTGCGTTACGCCTCATTGAGACCACAAATGTAGCCCAACACATTTAGATTGCGCATTCTTTAGCTTTTATTTTTACAATTTATTCAACGATACACTTAGTCCATGGCACAGATCCTTCTCGCATGTAGACCGCATATGAGAAAGTATGGTATCTACAGCTGGGTAATAGATGCGTCACTGGAACCTGATGAAACATGGGCGCAGAGGTTACATCTTATTCATGCAAATTAATTCTTGAGCGTTTAAAATGTGACATCAAATACGTGCAATGCTGAAATAAGCATAAGAACGAGGTGGCGCGTGAAAGAGTTGTACGGCCTTGAGCAGACTCTCACAAATCATTCTTGGCAAATTTCTTGGATTGATGGACATGCCATCAAGGCAACAGACACGGAGGGGGGGCTTTTACTAGACATTGGGAATAATATCATAGCAGAGTGGATGACAGGCTCGGCTCGGCTCATAGACGTTTATTACTTTGTACCACATCATACGATTGCCCATTGCATCGCTTAACGTCGCCGAAGCCGTGGTTACCTTGCTCTCCTTCTCCTCGTGATGGCTTCAGAAAATCAGATAGGGCTAGACGCGCATAGCGACGGAACAAAGAGGGGTGTAGAAAGGAAAAGAAAAAAATGAAGAAGCTCGCTTCAGTGAAGACCCATTGCGGAAGGGAGAACAGAAGGTGAAAAAGTATCCTTGTTTACTGTACATGGTAGGCGAACTTTGATGCTTTCCGGAGCATCACAGCCCACTTACACAACGACCTTGACCTTGCACTTTTTTATATAATGAATCAGGAACCCGGAAGATTACCTTGGCAGTCGCTAGGCGTACTCCGTTGGTCGTATTGCCGTTTTAGCAATTTTCAATGGATACTACCCATCGATCCATTGATCCATTAATCTATTGGATCCTTTGATCTTGCTTTTGTGTACTTGAAGAACTGGTCTCCTAGAACGGGACAATAGTACCAATTATAGCAATCGTTCTGCCCAAGATGGCAACGGGGCCGAAACGCTAGAAATTACGAAAGAAGAAGAAAACGCTCGTCCAGTTATTCTTAGTAGTGCTAGACAAAGGTACGAGTAAGCTGTTAGAGATGCTCTTTATTGCTCTTTTAAGAGCTACCCCCGGTCTCACCAATTCCGTCGGTAGCCACAACCAGAATTGTCTACAAGGCGAAAAAGAAAGAAAAAAAAGGTACATTTGGCCTATATATTACGTGTAGAGCAATGCCAGATCTTTTTAATCACCAATATGGCCTGAAGAGGAAATTGCTTGCCCACTTCAATGTAGAGGGTGAATGAACATTTTCTGTCGTCCGCGAGTCATACAAAATACCTACTAGGTACTCCGTATCTGGCCATTATCATGTGGTACTTGCTGTAATACAGGTCAAGAGTACAAATAACCATTTAAGATGCCGCTTTGGTGGCTTGCTGGGTGGCAAAAGAAGCTTCAATAGAAGGATACGGAAGAAGGGAAAAAGAAAAGACAAAAAAAAAAAAAGTTCCGCCGAGGCGCACGGCCCCATCCGTTGGTGCTATTGCTTCAGCTCAATCTTTTACGTACTCAAAATCTCGCGACTGTCTACACGTGCGATGTCCCGAAGCCAGGCAAGGCAATGGAGACGTAGCATCGGAGAGGCCGTTTCGCCGCCTGATTGATTATACTGCATCTACCAGGTTGCAAGTACTTTTGAAGCTGAGGGCCAAAAATTCTTGGCAATGGGCTATAAGTCATAGAATATGCTTGTGATGCTACTATGCCATCTCATTGGGATGCAGGTGAGAAGCAAGCTCAGGATGCATATGCGCTCAAAAGTCCAGTACAGATTTGAGTACGGATAGTCAAGACGCCTGGCCTGCTTGGCGAGCATGATTACATGTACTTTATACTAAAAGTCCAATAGCAATGCTGTACAAGTATATCATGCTCGATCAAGTAAACTGCGGTTGGCCGATGACCCGGCACGATGACTGCCTTGGTCTCATCCAAATAAAGCACATTGTTGATATTGTCAATCCTCCTGCGTACCTGTACAAGATTCCTTCCAGGAGCACAGACCCATCTCGGGCTCCGTACAACCAGGCTCTTTTGTAAATGGCTTTCTGCTTACAAGTACAAGGCCTTCAGAACGGACTCCAGACGGCCGCAGCATCCGCATCGTCGAAGAAAAGAGCTTCGGCCATGGTGCCTTTCAGCAAGCCCATAGGCTCATGGTGAGCCGCAGAGCAAAGGAACCCGGATATCTTGGTGGAGAGTAACATTGAAGTCAAACGGCATCGTGATGGTTTTTGGCCAATGGCTGCCAAGCATGGCCCTTCGGCGTATGCGTCACACAGACGAAGATGCCCTTTGGTTCCTCAGCTGGCGAATGGCTTGTTAGTGCCAGCGACTGGGATCCTGCCCGTGTGCAAAAGTTCTTTTCCAGCCCAGCGCTCGGCCTCGTGTCTTTTCTCCCCGAGCACTCCAGTATATGTACATGTTGTGCCGTATAGTACTGTAGATAGCATAGCCACCCATTACGTGAAACGACATTGTAATCGTCAGCATGTGTCCAATGGTATTTTTTTCTTCTTCTTCTTTTTCTTCTGTTTCTTCCTTCTTACCTAGTACAAGTAGTCCAAGTGGCGCCCAACGCAATCGTCGTGTTAGGGCATATCAAGCTGAGCGGCTTTCGGCACTAAGCCAACCCGGCAAAAAGCCTCAAAATAGCACACTATGGCTGGCCTTTGGACTTGAAATGAGCATAAAAAATTACTAGGGATAAAATGCATGGCCATGACTCTTGTGATTTCAATTTCACCAAAACGAAGACATGATCGCCAACGCTTGCACTCGAACGGTGGAGAAAGAGAGAACAAGAGACAAAAAAAAAAGAAGAAAAAAAAGAGGGGAGGGGTGTGAACTTCCAGAAGAAAACAAAAGCTATCCGAGGAAAACGAGAGCAACGGAGGATCAAAATCAGGCGCAGCTACCCATCATCTTCTCCACAAAGCACGGCAGATGTTCCAGCAGATGAGGATGTGCGTTGCTAGTCAATCGCTGCCTAAAATACGGAGTTTTAGTGCCATGTCTGGTTCTGTAAGAGCCCGTGTTTGCGTGATTGAATGGCTTCAGACCCCGTACTCGTTTACAGGAGCATTGCTGCCGTACAGTACTTTTCACACACAGTAATCAGATGGCACGATCGGCCTCAAGACCCAGTGCCGGCGGAAGTGCCGGCGGAAGTGACAGATTGGTTCACACGTCGCTCGATATGGTTTGACCATGGCAGGGGATTTGGCATTAGTATGGACGGATTGGTGCGGTCAGCAGGGAATCCCCTCACGCAGCATATAGACAACAGGTGTATCAGATGGAGGCTTGCATGTTGCAGCGGCACAGTAGTCGTATCCATCGCTGTGCTGTTATTACATAGGTACCTATGCAGTAATGAGCTGGTTCATGTACTATTGTATCTGCCGTTGACCACCAACCTACACGCATTTGGATGGGGTAAACGTGTAAAGGATACAACAAATCTCGATAACGATGTGCCTGCCAAGAGGAGTAGCAAAAGCCAAGCAAAGAGTAACTACAAGCTTGGCCTTGGCTTTGACAGGGCCCTAGAATTAGACTGAAGGACGAAATTACCAAATTCTTGCCATGGCCGATCATGTCTCGAATAAGCCAAGCCATGCGCCTCAGAACTTTGCAAGAACACACGCGATGACGATGCCACTGGGGCAGCAAATGTTGTGTTCAAACGTCTAGAGAACAACTCCAGGCGATATCGGTCGCAGCCAAACAAACTACGCGTGTACAGCCCCGTGAACGGACTAATGGCTGTCGGATGGAAACTTCATGTTGGTACATGGAGCCCTGATAGATGCTGCGCGCGCTGTGCTGTGGCTTGGGCAAATCGGACGGCCGGGCATGAGACGGATCTGGTTGCATGTATGCACGGGCAAGCTTCAGCCTTGACGGTTGCTGGATGCTGAGAACTACGTTATCCATATCGGGGAATTATGATCGGAGCCGAGGGCCGGTTCAGCAGTTGATGCGTTTCTACAAATCTGCTGAGCTTGTGAGCCACGGGCGATGGTGACAGCTGCAGCAGCAGTAGCACTACTCTTATAAATCACACTTGAATAGTAATACCATGTGGTGCCTGGGCATCAATATACAAAAAGCGAAATAAACGACAAAAGGGGCGTCGCAGCGACCATCCGGACACGAGCCTACATGTAACTTGAGCCCAACAGTAGCCACAGCATAGAGTTGGCACTGTTTAGAGACCAGGCCAGGTTCACCAGGCCAGTCGTACCACGGGGCTACATCGTGAGAAATTTGCCCAGAACCAGCCTACCAATAGCATTGGAAGACGCAAGTTTCGAGTGTGATGAATGGCGGTTTTAACAAGAAAATCCAATTACCAATATGACTCGTAAGAAGCCGGCAGCGATGCGGGGGCCCGGAGCTGCAGCCAGCGGCGACGCCACAAAGGGAATAAGGCGCCAGCCAGGGCTCCTGGAAATGGAGGATGCGGCTTTCAAAGGTCCCCCCTTTGCCCAAAAGTTCCGAAAGGCTAGGATGGGGGAGGGTGTGGTCGGGAAGGGGGTATGTTATGTACAAGTACTGTGGAAGAGGCCTGTCATGGCGTGTAATTCATTAGAGAAGTAGGAATCCGTTGTAGTATTGAGGAAGAATCAGGAAACGAATACTCGGCAGTGTTGATGCGTTGAATTGAAGCAGAAGAGGCGCAGAGCAGAGCAGAGCATAGCACTTGCAAAGAAGAGACGACAAGCTTTAACGTTAATGTAAGAGCAACAAACATTGGATGGCCATCGGCGACTACTCAAATAGGTAAGTCCCAAGGCAAAGTCGACTACGGCTCTAGCACCCGAGTATTGCGAGATAAGTCTGCGCGTATAGATACTCGACGCACTGATAGTCCCAGGCACGAGACGTGCTGTAGCGTGTACATGGAAGCAAGCAAGAGAGTCTTGCAGTTAGTTCGGCCCGCCGGGAGCGATTTAACCAAAAAGCTTAAGCAGAGGGCGCTCGCTCCCCTCCAGTTCTGGTACAGTACTTGTACAGGAAAACAGCGCCATCCTGCCAGCTCTTGCAGCCTGTAGCGGCTGTCCCAGCGCTGCCCCAGCGCCGTCCCAGGGCCAGGGCTCGCTTTCATCTTCGCACCCATGGAATGGCCATTTGCTTGGCACCACCACCTGCTCCAGGTCAGCTCTGGCTTTGCCTGCGACAGGCGCCAACGCCGCGTCTTGCATGAGATTCGCCGGGCCTTTTGCGGGAAAAGACCCCCCTATAGATCAATCAGATGCGCCAATGAGCTAGCGGTGCTCGTGCCGGAGTAATAGGCAGGCTGCTTGGTGATTCGCACAACACAAAGTACCTCAACCTGCACTGAGATGCGGCGAAAAGCCTGCGAAAAAAAGACAGTGAGAGGCGGCCCCGGCTTTTGAATGAGTCCCAAACCCCGCCCTCCACATCCTGCGCGTGGCACCTACCGCGCAGGGCTTAGCGCGCACCCAATATCAACAGGTCAGGCCCAGCGTCTGTTTTGCCAGTCACTTTTGGCTGCCACAGAGCACTTTCGTAGCGTTGTGGTAAACGCGCCTCTTCCAGACGAATGCGACCCTCTTTTATTTTTCATTCGTTTCTTTTCTTGGAGTCGACTCCCGTGCTGCGTCCGTGCTCGAGACGAGCCCCGTAAAATACAGCCCAAGCGGGCGAGCCAACGACAGGAACTTTTTGATCGCGCAGCAAAGGTCGACCCGGAAATAGCGGTCCCATATATTGGGAGCCGGGCCAGAAGGGTTCTTGTTCTAGCACGGCCATTATTTTCTTGGCAGCAATAGATCCATGAGGCTACCAGATGGTGCTGGGGGGATCTTGGTGAATTATACGCAAAGTGACCAGCAGACACTCTTGAATGAGGGCATTCTCATGTTGCATCTGCTGTTAATGAATACCGAGGTGCTTGTATCTGACTCTACAAGTCCCTGGTACTGTACTGGTACCGCTGCGATGGAAACTGCGCGATACCACGTCGGTCCTGCCTTGAATTTGAACCAGGCCGAGGCCGCCAAATTGCAACGCTCAGGTAAAGAAAGAGCTGACGTGGTACCTGCCAATACCAGTCCCCTACCTGTATTAGGCGACTCCTTCTTTCCCCGACGGCCCACCACTATACTGTAGAGGTATCTGTACTCTGTCTGGACTGCTCCATGCTCTGCATTTGTCGCGCGCGCGGGTACCTCATACCCAAAGTAAGCGTTTACGCTGCGCTGGTTTGTGCGTTATTCTCCGCCTTCTTGAGTACACGATACCTTGGTCGTGTTGTACTCGTAGCAGCTGTCGCAGGTGTCTGGCACAAGTTCCCAAGTCATCAAGGTGCTGCTGCTACTGTCTTCTCCTTTCGCCAATCTCGTGAAACGCCAAATTTGCTGCTCAGCCTCTCCTCTGCACCATTACCAATCATGCTCGCGCTCCTTTGATTGTCGCAGCAATCGCCATCGCTTCTTTGGTAAGCGAACGAATACCTACAGCACCTGTAGACATTACAGCAAACGGTTGGCTGGCTTGCACCTTGTCGACTTGTGTACGGCTCTTCCGGGCCAGGCTCCCGAAGGCGTCTCAGCTGGGTCAGAAAGGGCCCGTAGTCAGAAAACAGGCTTGGCTCGAGAGGCGGCTAACCGTCAGATCTAGTGAAATCCGATGCTCTGTATCGCCGTGGCGCTGCGGCGGTCGCGCGCCTTTGGGTCCCATCCACGCCATCCCATCGCAGTCGACTTCAAGCCCTCGGCCCACGCCCATCCCCACAGAGCTGGGACCACCCCTTCGACGACAAAAACCCCTGGCGTTGACTTACATGAAGGCCAATGTGTGCCGTGTCCGCTGTGTCGTCGCCGCTAACGTGCTGCTGCACCCATACTTGCACCACTGTATCCTCCGGACGGCTTCCATCTCAAGCCCTGCCTCGCCACCCGCACGTTTCCTCAACCACGGCTCAGCACCTCGCGTGTCAGCGCAACAGGAGAGCCCGCTCCCCATAAGCTTTCCGAGTCTTCCTGGAACCTTGAGAGACCGCCATACATCGGGGCCTTGTTACGACCCCGAGGTTTACGCACCCAACTGTCCGCAGAGGGTCTCATCGCCACTAACAAAAGAGCCGCCGTGCAGGGCTCCAGCAGCGTCTTGCGACCACGGCCCCGTCTTTGCTGCTTCTCTCTCCGTCTCGCTGTCCACCCCCCCACCGTGCTCTTCTTGAGACCTCGTTTCCCTCTTTCTTCTGGATACCTGACGTTTCTGATCTTCCCTCGGGTTCATCATGCGCCGGGGCGGGTCGTTATGAAGGTAAACCGTCATGATCCATCTACGGATACTCCTCCTGTCAGCAGCGCACGAATAGAGTTCCCTGTAACGAGCCGCACGCGCCACTTGAGGTAGATCGCATTACCAGTGCTACGTCAACACACCGACTCAGCCAGCGCCCGTTGCGTTGCCTCAGAGCATTTGTTCTCCCGTTCTCCGGGACATATAAGCCGGGCCCGTCCCCATGGACCGCCGTGGCTCGGCCGGAGAAAATGGACTTTCACCGATCCAGTCTGCGCCGCCGAATCGGCGGCGTCTATCAATGGAGGAGGACATGCATTATCAGCACATCATGACAGCATCTCAGCAGCGGCGTCCATCACAACCGCCACCATACGAAGACACCGGCCTCGCCAAGATGCCAGATGAAAGGGGAGGAGAGAGGGAAGGGGAGGGCAGGGACGAGGTTGAAGAGAAGGACTCGTTACCAGCCAAGAGCAGTTGGCTGAACCGTTTCAAGAGCAGAGGGAAGGAGTTGAAGATGGCAAAGTCGAGCGATGGTCTAGACGATGAGACCAGCAGTGGACCCGGTATCATGGGCCGAAGTCTAAGTCACGATGACTTGCCAAGCTATTCAAGCTCTATTGCTATCGAAGGAGTATTTCACATGAAGCACGAGATTGAAAATACCACAAAAAGGGCAGAGGATCGACAGTGGCACACCGTCTTTGTCGCCCTCAACGGAACCGCCCTCAGCATCTACGGTACTAAGAAGGATTGGAGCTGGGGCAAATCACGCGATGGCCCATCCATTTGTCCCGACAACCCGCCTTGGATTAGAAAGGCAAAACTAGAAAAGACATACAGTCTTTTGCATGCTGATGCTGGTATTGCCGCCGATTATAAAAAGTGAGTTCTTTCTCCATGAAAGCGAACTCATATATCCCGCATGTGAGAGTGAGGTGTTTGTTAGGATATGAGGAGGATGGGAGAGAAAAAAAGCCTCAGCATACTAATCCACATCTACCTTTAGGCGTCGTTATGTTATTCGAGTACGGGTTGAAACAGATCAATTTCTCTTGTCCTGTATCGAACTGGGCACCTTTGTCAAGTGGCTCGAGTGCTTGTTTGCAGCTATTGATGTGGCAGCCCCTATCGACGAACGAGATTTCCCACGCGACATGTCTATCCCGCGAATCCAGAGAATCCGATGGTACCGCAGCCACACTGGTGAAATCTACCCAAGCACCCAGCCGGAAATTCACCAAGATCCACCTCCGGAGGCTGAAGGCCCCGTTACTCTTGACGCTCCTGACAATGCTTCGGAGCGACAACCTCCATCTGCTCAGCTGCCTACTCCGACGCCTGCCCCTTCACGAACCCACCCTACAGAGGAGACTCAGAGTAGCGAAGCTTTGGGACCCCACCTGAGAATCGATCCCAGGAATGATCCCTTCCATCCCCTCAGCGTAACTTCAGATCCAAATCCATCTATAGACCCACACACGGGCAAATGGTTCCCTGAACACCAGTGGACATCTGCACACGATCTGCTATACGCCAAACTCTGCTACAGTAATTTACTGTTTCGAAGCCCTCGCAAATCAAACTACATCATTAGTAAAGGAAAGCAGTGGTTTGTCGATTGGGGCACAGGTAGAATGGTTCGCGTACTTCCGCCGGCCTATGGCGAGGTAGACTTCTTTGGTCCTTGGCAAGTCATTCATACGGAAAACAGAAGGATTTAACAAATTCTTTGGGGTTGAACCAAGTCAAAACAAATTCGGAAACGAGCATTCCCAACGACATTGGCCTGATTCGAAGGAACAAGTTTGCCTCAGCACCAGGATGCATTTATGCGGCCACACCAATCCCAACAATCCGACATCAACAATAACAGTCCTCCTCCATATTGATATGGACTATCCTCTATTCCACCTACATATTCCTGGGCAACATCGGCTTGCCTTGTTTTCTCTTTTGTTTATGCCTTGTTCAGTTATACAGATAGCCTGGTTGTAAAGGGCTAGAAATCCCGCATGGGAATTTAGCACGGGGGGGAACGGGGGAGAAAGGCGCGAGCTCTATCATGAAGAGTTACTGGAAAAGGTGTTTTTGTGTTACGTGCATACACGGGCGTCAGGAATGAGCATTTGCACATTTATTACCGGGCGGCAACAACATCATGGGCCGGAGTTTTGTTTTTATTTTTATTTTCATTTGTATTTGTTATGCATTTCAGGCATGTATATTTCTGTCTATGTTGCATATTGAGCGGCGGAGAATGAAGAAGGGGTGCCGTGTGTTGGCATATTGGATATAGCCACATACTATCGCATATATCGCTCGTCGTTGTATATACCGCAATACATTTGATTCATATCTAGTACACTTTTGTTTTAACAGTGTCGTGAAGAGAACCAAGGCTGATTGATCGTTATTGTGTAAATCTATATGCTTAAAGAGTAACAGTATTTATGGGGTATCATCATGTAACCAATTCTAAATCCAACATATTTCCCAACACTCTCCCCTCTTCTCGTTTTTATGCCCAAGGTTCTATGAAACAATGAAGCCTTGTTTGCCCTCCTCTTCGTTTTGCAATCCAACAGACATCACCAAAACGTAGTCTATCCAATCCACCTGTCCTATAGGCACACGAATAGAAGCATAAAATCGTTGTATCTAAAAATCGCCTACTTGCACCGCCAAACTTTCTTCATTCCGAAACAGCCTTGTCCACGTCCCTCGCCTCGGCAGCCAACTGGTCCACGACGGGCGCCAGCGCGGCATTTGCGCTCCTGACGTCCCCGACGGCGGCCTCGAGCGAGTCGAGCAGCGCCTCAATCTCTGCGCGCTGGCTGCGGATCTGCTCGTAGAGGATGGCGTTGTGGGATTGGGCTGTCTGGAGCTTGGCGTTGAGGAGGGACTGGTGGGAGGCGAGAGACGGGGCGAGATGCGCGGAGAGGATGTCTTTGGCGGGGAGGAGATGGGGTCTTGTAATCAAAAAATGTTAGAACTCTCTCTTTCAACAATTTGTGGTGGGATTATGGAGAGTTTTTTTTTTTTTTTTCGTACGGAGTTGGTTTAGGAGCGTCAGGCGCTGAAGATATGCGTCGATGTGTGGCGTCTGCGACGAGGCTTTCGAGGTCGTTGAGCTTGGGCACAACTTGCCTCGCGATGAGGATGCTTTCGAATTCTCTCTAGCAATTGAGAACATGGAAACGTTAGCAAGACTGTCTCTTCCCTTGTCTCTCCCCCTCATTCTTCAAGGCCCAATACCTCGCACTTCTCCGCCAGCTTCTCCGCCATTTGCGTCTGGACCTGCTTCAGCACCGGCTCCGCCTTGCTCGCCACCGTCGGGTAGCAGGCCGCGAAGTTGTCCCATTTCAGCTTGGCCAGCGTGCGCTTCAGGCTTTGCGCGTAGAGCTCTTGGAATCGAGTTGCGCGGGGGCCGGGGACGGCGGGCGCTGCTGGTGGTGCTGCTGGTTGTGGTGCGTCGCCATTGTTGTTGTTGTTGTCGCCGTCGGCGTGGGTATCTTGGGAATCTGGCGCTGCATTGTCCGTCTCCATGGGAGTGTCTGATTGTGATGCTCGAGCTTGCGCTTGAGCTTGGGACGTAGTCGCCATGGGATGCTGCTTCGTTTTTCTTTGTTTTGTTTCCCCTCCTTATCGCAAAAGAAGTCGACTAATACCAAGCGTATAGATCGATGGAGGGAATACAATTGGCGTAGTGTACAAAAAAAAAGAACAAGTCAAACGCAAAGGTGGAATAGAAGAATGAAGAATGTTGGAATGCCACAGAGGGTGGGAGCTTGTCATAAGGCTAAGCGCGTCGCATTTTCCAATTAAAGAGACGCGAACGTGGGGTTGCGCCTTGGAACGTCCGAAACTCTGTGGCACGTGACGGCGAGTTGATCAAAATACCTAGTATATGCATGTATTGATTAATATTTTCCTGACCCCCCTTTGGAATTGGTCCATTTACCAGTGTTTTTGGTACTTTCAATGCGGCTTAGCTGCCTGCAAGCACTATAAACCCTTAATCGCCAAGCTGTCTGTGTATCTCTGAAGCACCTAGTAGGTCGGACGTTGCTAATATCGTCATCATTTAACTCACTTGTACGCCCCCTATAACTCAGAACAAGCCCTTATATCATACTCTAAATGCTTGGTAGTAATATTTGTAATGAAGAATACATCAGCTGAGCATCGTACGATACTCGCTCACCAGTGCCATGACCCATGTCCCATGTCTATAGATATAATACTCTCCAAACCAATGCTATCCTATGCTCGCTTTTCTTCTCGTCCATCGAGTTTTTACATGTTCATCTATTTACCCAAATCTTTCCTCAAATATTTCTTTCATCCTTGTCGCGGTTTTGGTATCAGTTTTTCAATTCATAACACAGTCATAAAATCCACCCAGTATGTCCCCCTCCCATCAAGACCCAAAATGGCCAGCCCATGAACCTCACCCATACCCATCATCCCGTCCGTAATCCAAAAGAAAATGCAATGGAATATATGTGTAAAGGCAAGAAAAAAAAAAAAGACTTCAAAGTCAAAATCAATTTGCTGCCAAAATAGCAGCCGCATCTGGCGCAGAGGTACGATCACTCTTGCCACCGTCTCTTCTCACTTCTTCCTCCTCTTTCTTCTTGCGATCCTGCTCCCGCTGGCGCTTGTGGCTGACATACGTAGCATACCGGATGGTGCCCAGCGTCACAATGGCCATGAAGAGGATACCAACAACGGATCGGCGGATGAGAATCCATCGCACGCCTTCTATCTCCGATTTGGAGTCGCTACTCAGCATGATGCTGATTTTGTAGGTAATTTGTTGGATCTGGAGAACAAATGTTAGTAGCCACTGCATAAAAGGGGGTCGCTTGGGCAACTTACGGCACTATCCGCCCCCTTTTGCTCCTCTCTAACCGTCATCTTTCGATCGTTAAAGGCTCCTCGCACATTATCGTTCAAAGTCAGCAGCTCCTGGTTCAACGTCTGCGTCAAGATATCGACTTCGTGCTGTAAATGCGTGCGCTGCTGTCGAATCTGCTCATCCTGGGCGCGGCGATTGTTTTTGATCTCGGCGCTCAGCTCAGAGCATGCCGCAGAGAACAAATATGACTCCTGCATATTAAACAGTTAGACAAACACTTTCTTTCTTTCTTTCTTCTTCAAGAACTGAAAAGGGTCCTACGTTTTCTACATCGCTCTTGCTAACAAGCTTTTCCTGCGCCATATCCAGGTTATGCGCCAGGAGAGCTCGCACAGCCTTCATCATGGTAGTAGCCTGGTCGCTTGAGTACCCTCCCTCATGTAACTGCTTAACCAGGGAATAGGTGTCAAAATGATGAACATATTTCGGCGGGGTCATGGACGGCGTCGACGAAGATGACAAGCTCTCCGGGGCACCCATGTAATAGACGCTATCCAGCCTGTCGCTCATCTTCGGGGTGTCCTTGGGCTTGTCTGTCTTGGGTTCGGCGCTTGCAGTCGAAGTCGAAGCCGAATCGCTGGATTCAGTCTGCGGTTTGGGAGGTCCCATTGGTATTACTTCTGATTCCGCAGTCGCTGGCTCTGATGGCTTTGATTCAGTTTGCGTCTGAGCTGGCTTGGGGTCCTGCTGTTGGCTGTTCAAAGCCGCCGCGTCGGTCTCCGGGGCATCTGTTGTAGCGGCCTGGCTTGTCTTCTTCTCTCCGTTTTCGAAAAACAGTTTGCCAATGTCAGACTTGGCCTGGGCCTTGGCTGGAGCCTCCTCTGTTGTACTATTATCCGTCGCTGTCTTGTCTTGCGTCGCCTTTGCCTGTTCGTCCTGCTCTTGCTGTTCCTGCTGCTCTTGCTGCTCCTGCTGCTCTTGCTGCTCCTGCTGCTTTTGCTGGTGAAGCTGCTGCTGCTGCTTCTCCCATTCGGCGGGCTCAACAGCCTTCCCATGCCTCTTTGAAATCAAGCTATTCCATCTTACAGTCGTTGCGGCTGTCGTCGTCGTCGTCGTCGGAACCGTCGTCGCCCATCCCAGCGTCGGGCCGCAGCCCCTCGTGGCCGCACGCACCAATTGGGGATACAAAAACGTCAGTCTCCCCGCAGCAGCCATAGTTTAGATAGGGAGAGGGAAGAAGAGAAAGAAAATAGAAAGGTAAGTCCACAACGGCGAGGAGGGAAAAAAAAAGGGCTTGAGAAGAAAAAGCCCAATTCGTCCCGCCGGGCCGGAGAGGTTTTGACTGGGCGCGTTATAAGTCGGGAGGATTCATCGGGTGCGGCGCTCGAGTGCGACACAATGCTCCTCTTGGGAAATAATTCAAGCAACGAGACCTGGTCATTGGTAAAGAGTAAAGGAGTGAGTGGGACGCTGGAGCTTCAAGTGCCATAAAAGTGGCTATCGTCGGAACAAGTGCCGCAGCAGATAAATAGGCGGACGAATGGCGCTAAAAAGTTGATCCGCTGTAGTATTTGTTTTGGTCCATCTATACACTCCGATAGAGCTCCGGTATTCACGCAAACAGGGAATTTACGTGCCACGAATGTGAACCGGTATACTCTTTGTTATTGGTAGGCACGCTACGTTGAGGCAATTCGTGTGAATACAGCCACTCTTTCAATCATTCACACGGATATTCATTGATTCATAAGACACAATCGAGCACAACAACTCAGGCATCAGCAACTGGTCCTCATTCTGTAGTGAGACAAATGAGTAGTCTCCCCAAAAACTCTCTACAGTTCCTCTATGGACGTAAATCCCAGACCCCAGGTGTCAGCGCCTCCCAACCGTTAACGATAAAGTACATTTGCATCCCTTGCCATCCGTATGTGCCTAGTGCTGCCCGCTTCCTTCACATCTGTTGGAAAAAGGAGTGACCAGATAGAAAAACGACCAAGTCGATAAGTCCCCAAAAGTAAAAAAGGAAGAAATAGCATAAAGTAAGACCGGAGAAGATTTTTTGTAGAAAAAAACAAGTAGGAAAGAATGAAAAATAGAAATGGTAAAAGAAAACGACGAGAAATAAACTCCAAATCATTCCCCAAGAAAAAAGTGAATCCCAAGTTTGTGTTTCGTCGTCCATGCAAAATTCCAAGTTCCGGAATAAATATACCGCAGCTTCTTATTCGCTTGTCCTGACAAAATATCCAGAAACGACCGTCCGCGTGCAGTCGTAAGTATACCAGCTAGAAGGGGGCAAAGCCACTATGCGTCTTCTGTTTGCAATATTATAATAATGATAAAAAGAATAAAGTTAAAATGGACTTGCACAATATTAATACCACATATCCAGGCCGCTGTAAAAAGGGGGGGCGTCGAGTGAAGAAGAACGGATGATTTGTAAAGGTCTATGGGCCATCCTCCTTGCCACTTGCACCCCCCATCTGGCAAATGCGTTGTGTATTTATGTCTCTGTCACGCTGGATCAATTTTTTCTCTGTTGTCGTAATACATTTGTTCGAAGAATTAAAAGCCGAATCAAAGAATGTGCTTAAATGAATATATGAAGCAGCGAGCAGCTCTATGACTCAACATCTTGGACCTGTAGAGCCACTCCAGGGATAGATTTGCTTGAGCCCTTGTCTGCGGTGTCGTTAGATGGGGCCCCGACAGCACTGGCGTGAGTGCTGGGCGGGCTGTTGCTCTGAGGACTGTTGGTTTCATGTGTCAGGGAGGGAACCTCAGCAACGGAGTTGGTGTCTGACTGAGTAGATGTTTCGCTCTTGGAGCCACTCAATCCGAGGAGTTTCTCCAATGCCTGGAGCTGCCGAGAAGCACCACTCTTCTTTAGGTTGTAGAATTGAGGCTTGATCTCCTCGACTAGGGCATCTCTCTCCTCGCCTTGTAGCTGACCCAGCATCTTTTCTATTGAAGAGTTAGCGATGTACTTGTCAAGGGAAGATCAAAAACTTACGAATAACATAGTTACCAAACTGGTCTCTCATCATCTGTTGCAGGGGGTTGTTTCCATCTGGCCCAGCAGTGGTCAGCTGCTCCCGAATGGTTGTGCGCTGTGCGGGCGTGCCAAACTCGATGCACTTTTCTACTACGTTGGAAGCAAATTTGTGCTTGGAGAGCGTGAGAAGCTGGCCCATGACCAACTGGATAATCCGCTCGCGATCCTCCAGTTCTCCGTTCTGGATGACATGCTGGGCGACGTAGTTGCCGTACTGGTCAGTGATCAGAATCTGGGCAGAAGCGTGGAGCTCGCCCATGATTTCTGCCTTGTCTTCCTCGGTGCCGTGTTCCAGGAGTCGCTGAATGACGCGGCAGCCATAGGCGTGGGATGCCAGAGGAGTAACTTGGCCGCGCACCGCATTCATGATAAAGTCGATGTACTGTCTTGGGACAAGCTCAATGATCTTCTGAACAACATGGTTGCCATTCTGATCTTTGATTACTCGTAAGATCTCAGGCTCAAGCTCTCGGGTCAGCTCGGCCTGCTGCTCGACTAGGATGTGCTCAAGAGCCTGAGGAAATAAGCATTAGCAAGGGTTTCAGAATTGAACGTCGGCAATTGTATGCGGGATTGTGCTTACCTTTTGAACCACGCGACAAGCATAAACCTGGACAGACAGGTCAACCACTTTACCCTTCATCTTCTCCGCCAGGATTTTCTTCTGCAGTTGGCTTCCGTATTCGAAAAATTTCTGTACCACATAGTTGCCAAAGACGTCCTTCATCAGCTGGAGGGCATTGGGTTCAATCTCTCGGAAGATTTGCTCCTTCTCATCGCTATTAGCAGTCTCCAGCTTCTGTTGGATGAATCTCGAGCCATGCTGATCGCCGCTGAACTCGACGGCGTGGTTGTAGATGTCTCTGAGCTCGTATCGCTTGTTAGACTTGTTGCCATTTACGCGGAACTCATCGAGCAGAGCGCTACGCATGCCCTTGCTGGGATCTTGATCTCTGGAAGGCCTGATTGGAGTCATGGAGTTGAGAGGATAGCCAGGGATAGATGGGACGGCATAGTTGGATAACATTGGTCGGAAGTTTGAAGTGTAGGCCTCAGGGTACGAAGGTGAATACTGAGAAGGGATCTGAGCGTAGCCGAATTGGTTCGGATAGTACTGTGCAGGGAAGTTGGAAGCCGTGAATTGTTGGCCAGAGGGCCTTCGCTCATGATCGGCAGCCCTCTGACCTCGTGAGGATGGTCTACTCATCCAAGCCTCTGCGCCTGGGGCGAAAACTCTTGAGTTGGAACCCGGGTCAAGGCGGTAGGCGGCGCCGGACGCTGGCGACACTCGATCGAGCGAAGGGCGCCTTGCGGCAGAGAGCTGTGATAGAAGAGGATCTGTGCTGAATTCAAAGCTCCCGAGCCTTGAAGGGCCGCTCTCGCTCAGCCATGGCACAGAAGCGGGGTTGGAGTGGAAAGGAACAGAGGCAGGATTGAATGACTGCCCACCGGCCGAGCCATTGTTGAGGTTGATCTGACGGGCCATTCGAAGGGAGATGTCATCATCAACTTGTCGGTTGAGGCTGAATGCTCGCTGGTTTGCGACTTGGGGGAATGATAACGAGTGGTTGGAGAGCTGTCTCGTGGAATGAATCGAGTTGCTGGGAGTGTGGCCGCTGCCCTGATGGTATAGCTCGGTGAAGGCTGGAGAGCCCTGGGATTGTCGAGAAGGTGGGAGGCTAGCATCTCGGGGCTGGGCAAAAGCTGCCAGAGGGTCGATGAAGGCGCCATCTGAAGGACCTCGCTTTTGCGCAGCGGCAAAGGCAAAGGCATCCGACTCGTCGATAAAGCTGCCGGAGCCACCCAAGCCGGAAGAATCCTTCTTCACACCAATGGCTGCCGGGTGGTGGTTTGGATAAAAGACGGAGGGGTTCGAAAGACCTGCATTTTGCGCTCGACCGGGCGAGTTGCTAGTAGAGCGGGCAGGGTTCTCTGCGTTCCAAGGCTTGGAGTTGGAGACCCAGCCCTCAGCCTCGGAGGTTGCGTGGAGGGCACTGGACCCGGTGGGATTTTCTTCTGATTCTGCGTCATTGTGGTAAGTGGTTAGTCCCGTTTGCACAGAGACGATTGGGAAAGAGGGTAAGGAGCAAAGCGGAAGCGAAGACGAGAGCGCCGACACCGACGCTGCCCATCATGTCGTCTCCCGCGATGAGGCACACGCACCTTTGGGGCCAACAGAGCGATCTCTGGCATTGGCAAAAGGCGACGACCAGATATTTTTGTTCGGATAGAGATTGGAGGGAAAGCCCGAGCCCACGGGCTGCTGGGCCTTTTCGGCAGATCCAGAGGGCATGGCAAAGCTGGAATAGACCCTCAAGCGTGTCTGGAGACAGCAAAAGCAAAACGAAAGATGACAGTTAGCGATTGTGCGGCGGTCAGAATGGACGAGCAAAAGACGAAACAGCGCTGAGGTTGGGACGAGGGCCAAGGCGTGGGGATCAGGCCTTTGTGACCCGCTAAGGGCGAATCAAGCCTCCTTCCGCTGGCGCTAGGCTGGCGCAACCTTTTGAGACACTTGGGCGGCCCCCCCTCTGACGTCGTGGTGCTGGGCGGCTTCTGGGTTCGAGTGCTGTTTGCACTTTGGCAGCGCTGCACTCGCTGCAAGGATTGGGGCGGGTGGGGGAGAGGAGAAGGGGACAAGGACATGGACATGGAAGGGGATGATATGATGGGAGGGAGATCAGCTAGAAACTAACCTTTGGCTGACTCACCGCAGTCGCCATTCTGTGCTGAATGACGGACGGGAGGCGGCAGGGGAGCGTCGAGAGGAGAGCGCGGAGAGAGAAGACGGAGTGTGTGCAACGAGGGCAACGAGGATGATACAACGAGTTGTCAACGCCTTATCTGCCGGCTCCAATGGTTAGGCACCCAACTCGACTCGCCTCGACTCAACTGCTCTGTCTGCGTTGCTTGCTTGCTTGCTTGTTGCTTGCTTGCTGCTCCAGCCAACCTACTTATCTGCTGTGCTGTGCTGTGCTGTGCTGCGCTGTGCTGTGCTGCTCGCTAAGACGGACGGATGCACTCCTCCGCGTGGTACCAGCTCGGTGCACCGCCGAAGCGACCACAATCAGGTGCGGATGCAAATCGATGCAGCTACAGATGCAAATGCAAATGCAAATGCACGGCAGAGCCACTGCCAGGCTCGCGCTGGTGCCAACAGACCAGCTCGATGCAGTGCAGCCAAAGCAAATCAGCGCCCAGCGAACGCCCAAAGGTTGCGGGCCTGGCACTCTGGGGAAGGCGTCTGGCCGCTACTCACAGCCTCGAGATAGCCGGCTGGGGGTCCTTTGGCGTTTCCGACCCCTGTGGCCCGTTGCTGGATATGCCGGTAGTGATGGTGATGCTAGCAGCTTTTAGTGAGCACTTGTTATGCCGTCTCGTGCTGGTCTAGCTGCACTCGTCTGCAGGTAGGATGGCGCCGCAATAAGTACTTCCGGAAGCTGGCCCTCCCTTGGAGATAAGGGCCAGAATGCGTCTTATGGATCTCAGACGGTCAAGATTACGGGGACAGAGCCGAGGCAGGACGTGGAAAAATTAATGCCCAAGCAGGAATAGCAGCTCATGTATGTTTTCGACGACGAAGACACTTTGCCTGTAGTCTGGCCGGGGTAGGACTGCGACGATGAATACGTGTCAGCGGTGGAGAAAGTTGAGTTGCAGTGGGCGCGCGCCCAAAGTTATTTTGGCTTTCCGTTGCAGGCGAAAGGTGTTCAAGGCAAGGGGAGTTTTGTTCAAGAGAAGGTAACAGGGAGAGGGGCGGTAGCGTCTAAAGCATGTACAATGCATATAATTGTCATATAGACAATTACACCTAGAGGGATTGAAGAAGAGGGAGGGGACGGGTGAAGGGGGAAACGCTTAAATCAAGGGATATCAGCATATGGCTCTATGGCAAACGTGCGAAATGAACTTCTTCCACGCGATGTCAACGCGGACAGCGGGGCTCCGAAGGCGTTGTTGCGTGTTCCAGAGCGGCAGACACTCACCACAATGACTGCAGATGTCTTATTCCGAGGGATGCCGTTGTGGCTTGGAGCGAGGGGGTGTAGCACTTGTATGTCTTGGTTGATGTTCGAAATATAGGCGCACCGCGGAGGCTTGTTCGTTGCTCGAGTTCAATCAGTCCGGGCTGTGCTCTGCATGTACAGAGACGGAGAACCAAGGTTGAACGTGGGAACCATTCGAAATCAGAGAGGAAACAGGAAAGATTCAAATATTAACTGAGATGGGGTTGATGTGAATAGAAAGTAGGTCCGATGGTGAACTGCTCCCCGTCTGGCGCTCTTGTTAAATAGAAGGATCCAGAAATCAATGTAATTTTTTGTATGTCCAATGCGCGATAAAAACAGTTCTTGAAAGGAGAGAGGAGGAGGAACAACAGAAGACGAGAGAACTGGATGGCCCAACGGTGCGGGCTCGATGGCCTAGATGTATAGCGGCGGCATTGGGACGAGGAGGCGAGAGCAATGGGCAGAAATGCTGGGTCGGAATGTAGATGTAGCAAACTGGCAGAGAGACCCTCGAATCACAGGAGGCCAAGGGATGGAGATGGAGCGAGGAATGAATGGTGCGCGAGACAGCCACTACGGGAAGTCAACAGGGAGAGGGAAGAAATAATATCAATAGCAAAGAAAATACAAGGCAAGGCAAGGTGAACTGAAATGAACTATATTGGGCCGAATTGTAATGAAATGAAATGAGTGAGTTGCTGCACCGACTGCCGTTGCTGCCCTGCTCTTCTCCTTGGGCCGGCACAAGTGGACAAGAACATGGCAGAGCGCACAAAAGGGCGCGGCCACGGTGAAACTCTGCCCGGGTGCTCTGCTTGCTCTACTTTCTACCTCTACGAGACATGTGCAATCCACGGCTACGCTCAAATTAGGCAGCGTTTGCCAGCTTGCGTCCGGCTGTTACACAGGCATTCGACGTTACAGAAACAGTTGAGATATAGAGATGGGGAGACACTAGCGGTGACTTGGGCCAAGGGCTGGAAGTATCAACAAGGAGACCCAAAAGAAGGGTGCTAGCTGGTTCCAGGCACGGGTGAATAAAGACAACTATCTACTCTTGTAACAGATTGGACAGAGAGCAGGACAGAAATCAATTATACTAGTATTAACATTGGCGTCAAATAAGCTCATGCTAATACGACGCATTGCATGCCAGGTCATGCCAGTAGCACATGGACAAGACACGAGGGGAAAACTCGCGCCTTTGGTACGAATTTGACGGGCCAGGGGGCCGTTCCTCCATTCTCTTCAGACCCCATCCGACAGAGACACGCCAATCAGGAATCAGGCCGGCAGAGGCTCATCAACCTAGCAATCAAGCATATCGATGCTACTCCGTAATACACTGGCAGAGGACTGAAGGAGGGTTACGGTGCAGCACTAGGGCCGGCCATTTTTTTTTTTTTTTTTGGCGAGATGCTACTACTTCGTACATACACCTGTGGGAAGCAGAGATGTAGATTGACGATCAACAGCTAGTGTATAGTAATACGAAGCACACAACCTCATCCATAGCAATAAACCGGCCCATACAGCACCCAGGTTGGTAGCAATGAGGCCACATGTGATCTACATGCGTGAGCAGCTAACATGGCTGCAGCTCCGTCTTTACTCGTCTACGACTCCGAATTGCCTCTTTGGCCAAAATAGCACTTGGATATGGAGTCCGGAATACGGAAGGGGGGCACGCTAATGTGGCCGTCTGGGAATCTAGCGGGGAGGCGTGAAGAACGAAGAAGAGAGGCGGAGGAGATGAGATGTGATGTGCCGGATAGGCTTTCGTGCCTAGGTAGGTAGGAAAATTACCTCAGCTCATGATACCGAGTTGGAGTTGTTGGAGGCGGATAATTCTTCACATAAAAACATGAACACCACACCGCATCGTCACCAGGAATGGCGACATTGCATTGCGTTAGGTGCACCCTGTACCTGCTAAGAGAAGAAGAAGGACGGCCAAGCGCAAACTTTGCCGGTACACGAAACACGACCTGTCACCGTTGCGGGAAAGATGGAGATGCAGGGATACATCCATTGATGACCTAAGAAGTCAAAATCAAACCTAACAGACAAATGGGCAACTACCGGCGAAGTCTGTTGTTTCTTCTCTGCTCTTTCCACATTCCCCCTTCTTCTAGGCACTACTACTGTAGTATATCAATACTAATCACAAGTTAGTACTTGCCACTTTCATGTTGTCTGTTTCGATGGCATTGAGGCAGTAGCCACGTACCTGGCATTCATGATACCGCCTCCACCTTCCCCTAAACATATCGATCGGCGCGAGTCTCTATTTAAAAGTCAATGAGATTAAGTAAATGCGAAACACATAGAGTAATTAACAAGAGTAAATCCACTTGTTATTTACAAGCATACAACACCAAAAAAGGAGACGCGGAGAGCTCGAAGCAGTCACTGCTCTCCATACTGTACAGTACAGGTGCCTGTCTGTAGTCAGTGCGCCGCACATCGTTATGTGCCGCGACCCCTGCCCCTGGCCTGGCCTAGCTTGAGATCCTCTCCCCGCTGGCCTAGTAGGCACTACAGCACACAGTACAGTAGAGGACATGCCCAATCAAGCCTAGCAACTGGCAGATAGTGCACGATCGTACGGCCTTCATCCATTGATCCTTCAACGAACGCTGACTTCCTCTCGCATATGTGCAGATCCCAGACTCATGACCCATCGTCCACGAGGACACATGGCAAATCGGCGTCTCTCGGCCGGCTCTTTCGACCTTAGTCTGCTCTGTCTGGCCTCTGGGGTAACCTTAGCCCACTTGCTGTAATCTCAAGGCGGCGCCCTGCATGTCTCTCACTCAATCATCTGATTCTGGTGCTACGAGCACGAGTGACAGTCCTCCTGCCTCTGCTGAACCACGGATAGCATGAGCATCAAGGGCCGTTGCTGAATATACAATCGACAATGGGCCTCTGTTTCCACGGCAGGGATGGTACCTCCTCACTTCCCGTGCCGTGGAATTGATCCGACTGCCCAATCGAGGCGAGCACTGGAAGAAATGCTCCCGCCATGGAATTGTCTTGGTCTAAAAAGTTCTGCATCCTCTCATTATAGCATATCGTGCTCAGCGAACCACAGGGCTCGAGAACTTTACACAAGGGGTCGTTGCTGAAAACCCACTCTGTACCGCGTATTGACTATGTGATACAAGTCTTGTCTTCTGCCGCTTCATTCGCTGACAATATTAGTCTCGTAGCTTTTTTTGCCCAAAATGTCGACAGACGATGCCGCTCATTCAACCCAATCTTGATATGAAATCGTCTCTTACATTTATCTTGCGTTGCGTATAGCCGCGGATTAGACGCTACTCAAAAGCAACACGCATACAGGCTGTAACAAATGCTGTCACTGTCTCTCTCTTGATGCTGCCGTCAATCCCTTCGTGAGCAAGTGTCTCACTCTGACACGAGCCCACCGTACATGACTGAAGCAGGATCGGGAGGCGGGGGAAGGGATACGAATATAGCATGCAAAGCAGTGCTAGATCTGCTCATTAGGCCCTCCCGCTATCAAGGTTGTACTTGTATACTTCGCACCTCCAAGACAAAATTTCCGAAAATACCGATAGTTAAGGATATAGTACTTTAGTTTTTGTCGCCATTGGGGAGACTATTGGTGCCGGTTCATCCCTGGGAGAACTGATGGATACGTTCATGCACTCATACTATCTCTAGATCTTCTTGGGAAAAAATCCCTTGCCTCATAAATCCTCCCGCCTTGTTCAGGCAATCTTCATCTACATGAGTGTAAGTACACTGCTATATGGGTAGCACAAGGTGTCGTTGGGAGACCACAGCGATGTTGCCGTACGAGGGAGCGAAACCAAAGTTTTAAAGACTACATAGGCACCTACTGCTCGCAGTACTACAATATTACGCTGCAAAGTGCGTAAGGTGCATTTGTGTTACTCGAGCGGTTCCGTCTTACGAGCCAGCGCTCATTTGCCTTGCCTCCTCTTTTCTCTCTCGCACTCTTTCTTATTTGATAAGAATGGCTAGCCGGGTCACAAAAAATGCCGGTGTGACTATAATAACGAATTCACTCCGGCAGCGGCTCAATCCAATCCAGGAGTATGGCGATAGAAATAGACTCGTTGATGGCCTGTCACAGCCTGGCAAAATTCCATCACGACATTTCTTCAGACACGAGCTATGGGCTGAACGAATCACCGACTTGCTCCACTCTCACGGGAATGCTACCATACCGTGTGAAGTGTTAGTGAACCCTCTACTACTTAAAGATGATGAGTCGTCTGACATTTTTCACAGAAAACGGCCTTACTATCAGATATTTCTCTCGGATTTTGTTACTGCTTCGAGTCTTGCCTGCCAACCCTGTATATATTCATCACGAGGCAGGCTTTTCGACCTACGAGATCCTTGTTGCTGCATCTCGAAGCAAGGTCGATTGAGACTCGGGTAACCCAGATGCGCGGTCCGGCTGCCCACGTTCTGGGGCTACCATCCGGGGAAAGCCTTAACTAGACGGGAAAGTACTGCATGGACTCATAGGAGACTATCTTCGCTTGGTCTTTGACTGTTTGCCTGTCACAGTATTTTGCAGCCGTAAGAAACGGCGGATAACAGGCACAAAAACCAAGAAGGAGAGTCTCACTGTCGCACCACTGTCACAGTGATGCAGAAAGAACTAGATGTTGAATCAAATACGCCATGAGACCGTGCCCAGCTCATACGCTCACAACAAAGCTCAAATATATTGAGCGTAAATGTAACTGCGGTGTCGGAGTGGGCGTCCAGTCATGTGCAACGATGTGCATTATTCTAAGCCCTTATCGACCCAAACTTTTCGATTTCATGAACATCACGCCACAAAAGTATTGGGTTAACAGAGCCCGGCTGCGGCACGCATCATGCCATCGGAAGCAACTACTGGCTTATATGCATGCATGTAAACTAAAGAATCTTTTTTTGAAGCTCTCGGATAGGAAAAGGAGTCGGTTGTCATGAGCCTCCCTTGGCAGCTCCTTATACTCTTCTCCTTCTTTGTTCGTTTTTGAAATCTCGAAATCCAATCCAAGCAGCAACCAGGTAGGGTAGTTCTCCGGTCTGTTGGTGGAAAGCGAAGCGAGCCATGCAAAATCGTCATGCGGTCCCACCAAACTGAGCCGAATTAGGTATCTCACAAAGCTGGAGAGAGCTTGCGTATGGACCGGGGGGTAATGAGAAAGCAGGGAAAATAGCCTATGGCAAGAAAAGAAGGGGTTTCGAACATATGATGACATGGGAATGTGGCACAAGGAGCCGGAATAGGATGTTGTTAATGGGCACGCTTGAACTATCACCGATGACGGCATTGTCTTGAACAGGCTTTCTGTATTTGCCCAACTTATTTTTTCCTACTTCCATCTTTTTTCTTGTAATACCTATAATTGGAGTATGGAGATATGGAGATGGCTTTATTTGAGTTACTTTTTTTTTTTTGACAGCGAGGAATGCTCCTTTTGAGACCTTGGCCGGGATATGGAACAGATGTTCTGCCTTGTACAAGCTTTGTGAGAAGGTGAGTCGAAATAGAAGTATTGAAAATTATGATGGTGTTCATTTATTGCCTCTGAATATAAAGGCTGTTCTTCTTGTGATGGTAGCGACTTGATTAACGTATACTTGATAGCTTGTATGGCTGGTTGATTGTCCTAGGAGCAAGTACATGCATATTCAAAACAAGGAGGACATCAATCTAGCGCAATAATTGGTTCCAACTACGATGTATCGTACAATACATCTATATCGCTATTTTGTATGCTTCCCTGTCGCCAAATGGATACTGTGACCAAAAAGAGGCAAAAGGGTAGAATCAACGCACGAGCTGTTGCATAAAGTGTAGGTTAGCAACGACGTTCCTTACATGACCAGGGAAGAAGACGTTGCCTACAGAGCTACACTCACTACCTTGACATTGAACAGGTAAGATTCAGGGCCTGTGATGGCAAGGCAACAGAGTAACCTCTAGACCAAGAGCATGAACGTACTTGTACGGCGCAGATCTTCCATTCATCTCATATGCATAATTCAAAGTCCGTAGTGATTGACCTTTCTGCGGTCTCAGCGCAATATCCCAGCTGCTCCTATTCTTAGACATGGCCTTTCCAGAAACACAACACGTGACTGCATGTACAAGTAATTGAGCATCTCGTTGACTGATTCATTCAAAATGAGACTTCCATGCCGCCCCAACACGCCGCTCTGGACATGCCCGAAACATGCCGCCTGGGACGTGCTGGAGGAGGTTGGAGAAACGCCCAGGCACAAGCACAAGCACAATCCCACAAACCGCTGCCGCCTGTGCTCTGCTCTGCCCGCAGCGCAAAAACTACACATCACACCGCAGGATGCACCTGTCGCGTGCCATTGCGAAACGCGCGCACGTCTCAATGGGCGGCTCACGCAAAGGCGCCGCAGTCAAGTAGGAGCTCCCGCAAGCAAAAGGACTGCATGTGGCATGACCTGTCGAGTCTCCTCTCACCACCCTCTTTGCTCTGGCCGTGGCAAAGGTCGCCGTCTTTAATCAGGATCTGTCCTAGCACGAGCGACTATTTGTAGAAGCGTTAATTGGGTACGGGGACAGTTTAATAGGCACTCGAGCGCGCTCTTTTTTTCTTCTGGCTGCTGTCGTCGTCGCTTAGACGTTCGCCGCTGACAGGGGCAGAAGGATCAGTGATCTTGACTTGGGATGGCAGCACTCCAGCACGGCCGGCACTAGCCAGCTCCGGCCAATGGCGCTGCGAGACGCTGCCGGGAGCCCCGCTGGCCGCAGCTCTGGCGGGGCGGACGCACCGGTTCGAGCTCAACGGCGCTATAAATGGCTGCATGGCCCCTGCTGCGGCGCCGCCCGGCCATTGGCCACAGCGCCCAAGCGCCAGGGGCACGCGCTGTAGGTAATTTCCCAGGCCTCCACCCCGCCCGCATGGGGCCACTTAGGGGACTCCAAGGCCGCTGTCCTGCATGCTGTAGCGCCTGGGCGCCCTGTGGCCGCACCCAGAGCGGGATCCCTGCGGCAGGCAAGACCTCTCGTCCAACTTTCTCTCCCCCCGTTCTGCTTCTTTCTCTCAACCATCGTCGCTGGTCCGGAAAGATACAGAAAATAAAAAACTTCCCTTTGCTGGAAGAGAGGCGTCTTTTTCATTCATTGTCGCGCTCTCTCCTGACCTTCTTTTTACATAGCTTCGTTTGCTCTTCCTAGGAAGAACACCTTACTTTGGAACACAGTCTTCATTCTTTTAGCTGTGTATCCGTCCGGTCCTTTCTCATTGACTATCCGCGTTCTTCACCACTCCTTTTTTGATAAAACCGACGACGACTACGATATACATTCTTTTTTTCCTGTCTTTTCCTCTTTCACAGAACAGCTGGGATTTTTAAGCCTTCTCAAACTGTGAAAAGAAACAGGGGAAAAAAACTTATGTGAGTTGCGCTGCGCCGGTTTCGTCTTGTTTCGCTGCGACACGGATTGGTATGAAGATGGGAATGGGGTGCCTTTAGAGCGAGGCTGGGCGATCTGCTTGCGTCAACCCCTCCATGGAACGCCGTGACGCATGGTCTGTTCGTTTGTTTGTCCGGTCGCGGTTATGGAAGTGACAGTGATGTGATCCATGATGATGGCAGGAAGATAATAGGATAAACATGGCCATCTACCAGTTCCTCGCCCCCCTCTCGCCTGCTCTCCTTCCATATCTTATTCTATGCTGGCCCGGGTCCTCGTAGCACAATGTCTCTTGAATCGATGTACTGACCATGGCCTCATAGCTGAACATACATTCATTCAACTACTTGAACGCGCCACAATGCCCTCACTCGCCCACTTGCGACGAGCAGTCGAGGAGACGCCCCGGACTCACCTCGATGTGGCCCGCACAGTCTCTCAAATCTACAACAAGATCCGCCCTGCAGGACAGATTGGCCCCCTCAAGGTCTTCGCTCGAAGCGACGACTCTGACAATGGCTCTGACACGGTTCTCAACGCCCTGTTAGCCGTGCTCGGCGTCGCCTTCCTTATTCTCATTCTTGTATCTATTCTGCTTGTGCTTCGCCGCGTCCGCCGCAAGCGGCAGCAGCAGAGCCAGGAGCCTGCTCTGCCCTCCTACAACGACGTCAAGAACCACCGGGGCCTGACCATCGAGACCACGCACAACGGCCGCTCCAGCGTGCTCTTCATCGGCCGGGATGGCCAGCCCATGCTGCGCACTCCCAGCTCACCACCTGACTCTCCCGACAATGTCCCCGAGATTCACATTACGTTCCCTGATGAGCAAGACGAGCAAGGTCGCCGGAAGAGCGGCCGGGTTGTCGTTGTCCGCGTTGGCGAAAACGCAACAGTTGGCCTCGAGCCCATGCATGACGAAGAGCTGCCCGCCTACGAGAAGGAGGCTGGTGGCCAGTTCTACTCTGTCGATATGAACCAGATTGGCGGCCTCAAGGAGAAGGACCATTCCTACTTCGATCACTACTGAAGTAGTTAAATTGATTACTTTTTTCCACCTTCCGCTCTCCGAACGTCCTATCTACTACCCTCAGGCTTTCTTGGCCGCCCAAAAAATCAGGAACACGACAGTAATAGAAAGAAAGAAACTAAAATAAATACGCCGTCACAAATACTCTCTCAGCCTAGACTTTAACGATCCTCTGTATAACGACTTTCCTTGGATACCAAAAAGTCATGCAACACTCAAAAGAAAACCTTCTCGATACCACGCCACCCTTTCCGCCCTTTTCTTCAATCTCCTCTTCTTCTTCTTCTTATTTTCCATTCGGCATTCTCGAAATCCCGGAATCTTCCTCTTCTCTCCAGAGCAAGGTTAATTCATTTCTCTCCCTTGTGGATCTTTATGACATATAGATAGACACATGGCGCTCTGCTGGGCATGTGAGGGGTTAAAGTTTTATGCAGCGGGTTTCCTGAATTTTTTCTTCTTTTTCTTCTTTTTTTCTTTTTCTTTCTATGTTCATATATTTACTGTCACACTGCACAGCTGCAATGATTTGGGTCTAATACATAGTCACATTTTCCGCTTGGCTTTTTTTTCTGCTTCTTCCTTCCTTCCTGTTCTTGTTATACTACTCTCCCTTTTTGTATATCAAAATCTCGTCTTACACTCTCAACCCCTGTTGATGGTCCTTGCCAAATTTCTGTGGAGGGAGATCAACACGGAGCTATAGGTCTTTTTGGCCTAACGACGTTTCCTATCTTAGGAAATGTTTTAGAAAAAGAGAAACGATTAGGAAAAGGGAGGAAAACAGATGGGAGACGAAAAAGGGGGAGGCGTTTAAGCCAAGAAGGGAGAGAAGACGCACGACCTTGGTACATAGTGGACCTGAGCCATCTTTTTGTAAACAGGACAATAAGCATAGATGGCTCTTTCATCATATAGCTGTATAGGATATTGTGTAGTGTATAATCAAAATATTATGCCTTGGTTCAATATCTGCATTGCCAAGACTCCAGTTTCTCTGTTAGACGCTTTGCATTGGATCATGAATAGTATGAGCAGCAGGCTTATATCTGTATACAGACACACACACACACACACACACACACACACACACACACACACACACACACACACACACACACATTTCCGTAATTGTTAACCAATGTGAAGAACCCTCTGCTATATTCAGGTTAGAGTCTTCCATACGGAGATTAGCAGTCTCCAGTCACCCCAGCCATCGTAAGACCCTTCAGAGCTTCAAACCAGCTATGCAAAGTATCCAAAATCTCTGCTTCTCTAACCAAGTCAAAGCCATGATGCAAATTAAAAGCCCAGACTCTGCCTTGCGCTCCGTTAAAATCCAAACATGCAAGAACCTACACATGCGCGCATATAGTGAGCCCCAAGATATACATAAACTGCCCCCTTTTTTCTCATTTTACACGGGGGCTTATATACCCAAAACGCCGACGCTGATTCCGTATAAATACCATCTTCCCCAAATGCTGTTTAAAAAAAAGTGACATTCCCAGCCTTAATTAAAAGTGTTTTGCTGTGTGTACGCAGACGTATTGGTGTGGGTACCAGGATACGGCGGCGGTACGTATCCGTTCATCATCATCCCCTGATGTGATGGAAGATAAGACTGCGGTTGCATAGGCGCAATATCCTGTCGATATATGGCTTGGCTAGGCATAGCATCTTCTATACGTAGCATGGGCATGCCGCCGCCTCCGCTCATGACTTCTGTTTGCACCATCTGGTAATTGTTAGGCATCATTGCCATCATCTCTGGTGGCTGCATGCCGGCTGCCGTCTCGGCGTCGTATATATCGCAGACACCCATTGATACGTTACGCGCCTGGGCGAGAAACATGGGTAGGCCGGGCGGTCCATAGTCGTGATCAAGGCCCACTTCCGAAGTATGGTACGGGATCGTTATTGGCGATGAGTCTTTCGATGACGACTGCTTTGGAGTCGATGGTCCCATCCACCAGTCGGATACGGGCATGTTCGCGGCTCGGCTCCTCTGTTCCTCTTTCACGTCAGGGACGTTCAATCGTTCAATAAAAACATCGGATCCAAATAGAAACTTGTCCTCGGCCGGCTCTTGCCCGGCAATCACGACGGCATTACCTCGATCGAGTATCCTCCCATTCTTGTAAAAGTCCTCTACCATCGTTTTGTTACACTCGTGCTATTGGATGATTATTAGAGATAGTTTAAACACAATACAAACCACGGAGACTTTTTTTTTTCCTATAAAAGGAGAAAGAAAGAGAACAAAGGAGAGCGGGAGGTACCACGTACAGCTTGCTTAGCCATGTCAAAAATTCCGGCCCACGCTTCGGTAATTTCCATGATAGTATCGATCAACGATTTGATCTGCGCTTCGCTGGTCTCGGCGCCTCGCCAAGTTGGCGCAGTAGTGTCGCTTAAATTTTCATACAGGTTGTATTGCAAAGCGATGAGCAAGACTCGAATACATTGAGTAGCCATGTGTGCAACTGAGTAGTCACCCACGAGCTTAGGGGTGCCCGGATTCTGCATCTTATCTGTCTCGATCTTGATCGCATCTAAAAAGCGGGCTAGGCTCATGGCGTGGGCCACCGCTTGCTTTTGACACCGGGCAATAAAATCTGGTGGAAGCTTTCGTAGAATCTCGATCGAGGCTGGAGTTCGCGGACCTGGCAATGAGAATCGATAGAGATCAATGTGGCTCACGGCCATGTGCGTGTGAAAGAAGCAATATCCTCTCCACTGGGTCGAGGCCGCATATCGAGCCATGCTCTGATCGGTCAGTCGCAGTTCATCATGTATAGAAACGTGAAATCGCGTCAGCTCGCTTTGTAACGCGGCAATATCCGTCATAACCTTTGACGGTTCGAGAGTTGTCATGGCTGAGCCAGAAGGTGTAGCTAGCCTTTTTGTAGTTCTATATCTACTGTAAGCACGAGAGAAGGAATAGCCGTAAACGATTCTTCTTTAGACGCAAGACTTACACTTGTATCCGGTGGCGAAGGTCGACGAGAAGAATTTGAATACCGTGCAGACCGAGAGCGGGCGAACAGCGAACAGGCTTGTCATGCAATCTCTCAGCAACGACTGGCCGATTCTCTCTAAAAGCTGTCTCGTTACAAGGTAGTCTTATCTTCATGTAGTCAGCTCGACAAGCGATGTACTCGTCGTAACCGCCCGCCAACAGACGGTCAAGGCTGAAAAGCTGCCACGCAATCCTTCGGAGGCATTCCTGCTGGATGAATGTCGAATGGTTCGACGAAACATCCCAGTTCAGCTGCAAGCCAATCATGAGCCTAGAAGCCACGCCAAAACACTGCCAAACTTTGGCGTGAGAACCCGCGAGAATGTGGTAAAGGATGTTTAGTGCAAATAGAAAAAGGGCGTTTTCAGAGAACTTGTCGATGTTACGGGAAATATGCATTTCGACCTGCTGGCTGCACTTTTTCCCAAACTCTCGGCCGGTAGGACCTGGATTTACGAAGAAGCTAGCAACAGAGCATACGGCGGCTGCTTGAGCTGGAGGGAACCTATTTTCCTTAAAGATCAACTCTGTTAGCTAGGCTGACGACGGTTTCTTGACACCTTGCGCTAGCCTTCATACCTGAACATCTCGATAGGTGACTTCTGGATGTAAGAATCCTAGACTCGGTACCATATATAAAAAGTCGAAATATGCGTCCAAGTGTGTGAGAATAACGTCTCTTCTGAGTAGCATGTCTCTGCGTCGGTTCACCGTTAGCTTGGTACAACTTTCCATGCTGTTATGGGGGATGAAGGCATCGCGTACTCGGCCTGAAGATTTGCCGCATCGAGGAGATATGGGGGAATGCTAGCACTGCTGCTACTCGCGGGACTGATGGCTGTAATTTCCTCCGATTTGACAGGCTGCAAGGTAGAAGGAGCCTGGCTCTCTGCTTTTGGGCTGTGGAACCGAACGTTGGTAAAACGACGCCTGGTCGGAGTGTACTCGCAGACCAGATTCGCAGCCTCGCATCGCTTACACTTGGGCAAGTCTCCGGAGCATTTGGTTTTGTGCGTATGACATTGACTGCAGGCCCGTTGCGCTCTCTTCCGCAGCGTACCCGCCTCGGTATGGCTGTGAGATGGTGTCGTTCGGGAAACCTTGTCTGGTTCTGCGTGTTAGGAGGCTCTCAAATCGATGTCTCTGCGTACTGTTTCGGAGCCTACCTTCTTCAGAAGCACCAGGAGATGCGGCAAAGCTACAAGTGAGCTCTAATCTGGAACAGTTGCTACATGGTCCATTCCCAGGGTTGCCAGTGCATTTGACCTGATGGAGATGAAAATCGCTGGGTTAGTCGTGAGAGCGTGGAAAGAAACAGCACAAAATGAACATGCGTAACAAGATGAGAGAGCAGTAGGTAAAAGGATGCAAACAACCACCATGGATGAAGGAGAATCTGAGCAAAGCATAGGGATGCGCTTGCCATGTCCTGCCATGCTACGCCGTGTCCTGCGACGGTTGTGTAAGAATGACAAAGCCCACTCGTACCTTGCGTAACCGACATGTGCGACAACAGTCACCGATATTTGTCGTAGTTCGTCGGCGTTTACTTGGGGGAGACAACGATCCGGACGAGCTGTGCGGCGGCGGCGGCGGCACAGGGCCTTCCGCGTCGTGTGGCAGCGGTATATCCATATGCCCGTCTGAGGGTTAAAGAAGGCATGAGACTTAGGCGAGAAATGCGAGGATGGAGAGGTCACAAACGGCCACAACCTGGCCGGAGTTGAAAACAACTTCTCTCCGTGTGTTCCTCTTCGGAGGGCCCCAGCTAGTCGGCGAATAGGCAGGAAGAAGATGCAGATGGGGCAGGCTGAGGCTAACCAGTGGATGGGTTCCTCGGCTCTCGCGCGAGGCCCGTGGAGCCAAGACAAGCGCCACGGAGAACGGACGGGAGAAGGAAGAAAGGGAATGCTACTCCGGACTGGGTAGCGAATCGTGGACGGCTGAGATAATAGTCGTCACGGTGCGATGAGGAGGCGTGCCACGGACAATGTGGCTAATCCGAATAGTAATGGACCCCGACAAAGTCCCTGAGCAAGGATGGCCCCCAAAGCCTTTGGACTAAGAAAGGCTTGTTGTTGAGAGCAAATTAATCCACATTGTGGCCGCTTCTCTGGTGCTCGTGGAGTACCTACTGTAGGAAGCCGTGGAGTCGTGCTTGCGTCGTTCTGGGATTTCGGCACTCGCTGGTTTTTAGTAGTACCCATCAAGCCCTTAAACCCGGCCCTCCATGGGTTGTCAGCCGGTTTTGGCGCCTGTTTCCATTACTTTTTCCAACCACCAGGCCGCCCCGGCCAGAGTACGAGCATGGGCCTGCCCCAGAGCATCCAGAAACGTTCGATCTGTAGGGGGCCCGGTCTTGGGAGCACTCCGTATATGCCTACTAGTAGTAGTAGTACTAGTAGTGGTTTGTACATATATAGTAAGACGATATAAGCTGCAGATGCTTTGAAGCGTCCAGTCGATCGCCAGCAAGTATCGGCAGCCTCAGGGATATATTCTCTGAGGTAAGCCGTACAAGGACCAGCACATACTTGTCCAAGTATCGCGCAACTCGAACCCTGCTCCTCCACGGCGTGCGGACTGGTCGTATTGGGAAAATGCGCGTGGAAGCCCTGACACCATAAAGGCAGTGGTATTACCAGCGCTACCAGCGTCCGCAGTTTATACACTGTCACTGCGACGTCTTGGGCATCGCGTCTCCGCAAAGAGGACTCACTCTCAAGCCACCAAAGATTTCAGGGCGTGGGATAACGCCAGCCACGAGGAACTAGGCGGCGGACGCCATGCTTTTCTTGCTGCCGGCGCGTCATACGGCGGATATGGCAATCGGATGTATCGGGGAGCAAAGCTGGCATATCGTCTCTCCACTTCTCCTTTCTTTCCTTCAAAAAGTTCTGCTTCTTCCCATTCTCCCATTCTCCCAGCGCCTTAGCTTTGCTATGTCAGCAATTTGCGATTCTATTTTTCCTGCCGCTTGGTTAGCTTGACTCGCAAGGCCCCGTAAATATCTCGGCTCGCGACCTCGGCAGGGCCCTATGACGCCGCATTGATTGACCTGTAACGAAGCTTGCCTGCTTCCATATCTAAGGACCGACGATTGTGTGTATTTTGGTCGTTTATCCCCACGAAGCCCGCGTGGCAGTGCCTCTTTGGGGAAAAATTGAGGAATGTATGGAGTACTGCGAGTACCAGGCAGGTATCTGAATAGGCAAGATGGGCACAGGTCAGCACTTCTGCAAGTTGAGAGAGACGACGGGGAGTCTACAGACATTGATCCGAGATCCTTCAACTGTGGTAGTAGCTGGTATGGGAACAGGTAGCCTGAGGTACAGTAGCTACATGAAAGTACCCACGTCTCGCCCAGTCGGTACCAACATCTAGCCCCACTCTGCACCTTCCGGACGCAGGGCAGGCAAGATGACACAAGTACTTCTGCAGCTCAATCCTGGTACCTACAAGGTGAGAAGGTGCCAGCCTGAGGGGCATCTCAAGTCCTGCTCTTAGCGCGGAAGGTGGGTGGTTCGCAATGCAGCTGCATTTAATGACAATCGGCGCTCGGTCATTTTGGCCGAATCTCCCCAGGCAGGGGCACGCATATTTCGGCAAGTCCCGTCTCTCCTCTCTCTCTTTCTCTTTTCTCTCATGGCGGAATATTCAAAAACCCGAGTTGCCATTCGCATGGTACTGTAAGCACATAAATGTAGGTACGTAATACGCAGAAAGAGCCTGAAATCATTACATGAGGTTCAGTTTGGTAAATTGCTTCACGCTGCTATTGAAGTAGCGCCTCACTGGGTACCTACCTACCTATACAAAACACTATTAGTGGTGCTGGAAATTGTAGTCTACAGAAACCTCACGGCGGTTACCAGTCTCCGAGTATGCGTTTATAGAGGGCCTCCGTACTCATCCGAGGAGATGCAGGTACAAACAGCAGCGACGGCTCTCACATGGCATGGAGATTAGGCTAAAGCTACTAGTACCTGCAGTACCGAGTACGCGTTCTTATAGCATACAAGGCTCATAAGTCGCAATTCAATGAGCTATTCATTCTGGGTGCTATTATTGGTGGTAAGTATCTATGCTTGACGTAACTTTCTCCCAATGGAAGTAAACCTGTCTTTTATGACTACCCAAGGCACAAATCAGACAAGTATAAACAGAGCGGTCGGCTTCCTGGGTATAGCTGCAGCGTCTTACTTTGGGTATATCCAGAAGCCTAAAACGAAGCAAAGAGAAAGAAACAAAGAATATTGAATGCAAAATAGAATGTCGCCGAGATTACACCCCCTGCCAAACATCCACCAGATGCCACGCTATCAAGGACTTGTAGTCTCATACTTTGCATATCAGCAAATGTCATCCGAGACTCTCATTCACACATGTTGGTATGTATGGCCTCTGCTTCATCTATCGCGGCAATCAGGCATTAGCAAGAGCAGCCTTTGTATACTTCTCTATACGATAGCGGGGGGTTTTGCTCAAAATACATACTGAGCGATTCTTGGCATGTTCGCTGGATGCACATGTAGAGCAGAGATATAAATTCTTCGTTTTTGCAAGTGCATTCGACGGCTGCACTGGGGCACTGCTCTTCGATAGCCGGCTTACTGCAGACTTCAAAACACGTCTGTGCATCAAGAGCCGTGACGGTGAGGACGGATGTGGTAAGCAGAGTGATATACAAAGTGGAGACGAAGCTCTTCATTGTTGGAGAATACGGGGTAAGCTGTCGGATATTAGGACACTGTTCAGGGAGAGCGAGGCGCAATTCGATGACGAAGTCTTGTGTTATCTCTCTTGATATGGTCACTACTATTGCAAAGCAGGCAATGAGGTAAAACGCGCGTGAGTACTGTCGAGCACTGCTGGGGTTCACCTGTCCTATATACCTGCCGAGGTCGCAGAACGCGCAGCTGTCTCAGTGCATGAGCATCCAAGTGACCACCTCAATGACAATGTACATTCCAAGTCTCAGGCATCACACATTGGCAAGTGTCTCAGTACGACTTGGGCGGCCCCTAAGTCGAATCTCCCTTGCACTTACATGCCTATGTTGTGCGACCAGTAAGACTGGTCAAGCCCAACAGCAGATACGATCCTGAGGTGTCGTAATTTTCGTCGAGAAAAGATACTTGGGTAGCTGTCTACTTACGTGGCAATCTAGCCAAATCAAGAAAGTAAAGCATTATTTTCATACCGTAGGTACTTATAAACACGCATCAAGGGTGATATAACGCCCATCATCTGTCAATCAAAGCTTAAATTGATTGCGGCCTGTCGCTTCCCAACGTTTTACCACACGATGCTGCTCCTATACGCCGAGTACTAAAAACGGATTGGAAATCTTGACCAGGCCCGCAGTAATCAAGACATCTGGGTAGGGATATAAGATTGTTTGGGGCACTGCCACGCCTTCGACGTTCTCGAAGGGGCAACCAGTTCCGTGCTGGGCTGCGCACGGACATTGCGTTGACATTGGCCTGCAACCTCACGCAGCTCGATTGTAAATAATGCACGAATTCGACAATTTTTTTTTGGTTTATTGGGATTATGTTGGTTGGCATGGTAGCGGAAATAGTTGAGAGGAAGCTGAGGAGAACAGCATGCTATTGGCTGCTCCAAGCAACATACATTGACGCTTACATTCAGTCATTCCCAGATTCCTAGATTCACGTATTAACGCAATCTAGAAGAGACAACTCTTCAAATTTACAGATTTCATACATTTGTTGCTTATCAAGAGGAGGGTTGACGACTGGCTTGTTGATGCTGGCTTTGTAACCTTTCGCTCCCAAGACGCATGGCGGTACATATCTGGTAGCAATTTAAATGAATGGATGTGTATTTACGAATGGCAAAAGCTTGTAAACTTTCGGACTCAATGCTCTGTTAGCAGCTGTCACACTGCCATTACTTGCCATGCATGCGTATGAATGTGATTGGAACACCACATCAAATCAACTTAAAGTCAATCATTAGGTGCATACCTCAGTACCTACCTGATTTATACGTATTTATACACGACTGTTTTTATCTCGTATCATCTCCTCACTTACCATTGAAGAAAGAGCTTCTCGTGATCATGTATCGTGCAACCGTGGCAGGCGGAACTTTATCCACTCCCAAATCCAATGCCTCTTGCCCTATTGTTCAGAAGACTGGTCCAAGTGCCGATAATGGCAATCGCCATTGTGTCCTCTGTTTGTTTTTACAACTGAAAATTCACGCTCGTCAATTCTCTTCTGACTTCTGCACAGATACCAGCCCACAGCTGATCGTTATCATCTCTCTACATCGATGCGAGCCAAAATTTCTTTCGATTTCTCATTTTCAGGCCCTTAGTGAACACTGATTATTCAACGGCAAAGGAGGGTGTCCAACCGCCTTCTTCAGCGACCTTTACTGTCCACGGAATGTCAATCTTCCCTTGCTGCGGCTCCCGACGTCGACGCAGGCAGCCTGCAGGCGACGTTGATTTGGCTGAAGCGCCAGAAGAGCACTGCACTCGGCTAGATTTCACAGATATCCAACACTGCTTTCATCAATCGCGCGAATCTATTGAGATGCCATTCCGACTTCGAAATGTCGCGGCACCACCTCCTGAGCCGCCCTCCGAAAACCCGACTGAGCTTGAAATTGAACAACTGGTGGTGGACGATTCGGATGGCGATGGGGCAGAGAACAACACCTTGACAAAGACAAGCAGCACAAACAGCGCTTTAAACGTCGTCCGAACAAAACTGGCACGCCACATGTCGAATGAGAATGAAACACATCGCCGTTCTCGTGCATCGGCCGGCCATAGCCAAGAAGAGGTTGCCCGAAGAGCTGAGCTGAGAAGATTTCGACATCAAAGAATCCAAGAAGAGCTCAAGAACGAAGATAATCACGCCGAGTCGAGTAACACTTCTCATCGCAGTACTTCCTATCTGTCTCCTCTGATTGATGCTGGACAGCCAAGGATAGGGCCCAGGGATACCATCGAATTCACAGTCGCAGACGGACCTCATCCTGGCGCAACACCAGCGCTTCCGACCCAAGAGAGTATGGCACTTATTGATATTCCAGAGAAAGAAGTAGGCAGCACTACGCAGGAAGAAGGCGGAGAGATCAAGTATCCTAGTATACTTGCAGTGCTTACCGCAGGGGATAGAGATCGAGCTCCTCCCTTTCGACCACCAAGTACGCATAGTAATAGATCTCAAAAGATAGCGGGATGCTCATACAACTCACCCCGTCTTGATCGCGTTTTGGGTACGGATAATGAGTTCGACATTCGTCATGGGGCTCATGCTTGGGAGGAGCAGTCCACTCTTGGTATCTGGCTTGCTGCCCAAGGCATGCGATCCCGAAGCAGCTCTATCCGCGCAACAGACAATGAGTCAAATGATAAAAGTGCCAAGGATCATGCTTGCTCACACCACCAAAGCTTTGGCGCGATCGATAGTGCCGCAGACGCTCCGCTGCCAATTCATTGTCAAGGCAATACTGACATGAGGCCTCAAGCCGGAGATTCGTATGAAAGCGCATCATTCGCCTCGAACAAGTCAAACAACCGTACAATAGGTGGCGCTGATGCCATTTTGCCTGAGAACAATCCGCTCTCAGGACCTAACGTCTTGGATAAAGCTTCAGCAAAGCTCGTTGATAACAGTTCCTCCAACTATCCTTCTGTACTTCCAAGTTTTCAGCCGAGCCCAGATCGGTCTCAGCCCGATTTCCATCATCTCAGTGCTCAAGATCTAGAAAGCCTTGAGCTTTCACCCTTCAGCTGTTCGTATCATTCTCTCTTTCTTCTTTTTCATTATACTGACCGTGGTACTCACAGGGCAAGGCGACTTTTCTGTCATTAAAAGTATTCGGGCATCCGAGGGAAAGAGTTCATATGCTACAGCTGAAGATGACATATTTTATTCCGATAATAATGCCAGCAGTGCACAAATTATTCACCCTCCTGCCCAAACTCCCACTTCCACCGACGCCACACCTATTGTCGGTTCTACAGCTGCTGGCATTCGTCCTCGAGAGACCAAGGCGCGGACAATTGGTGCAAAGCTTGGTAATGTACTGTCACGGAGGAAGCCGTCAATGAGTTTTGGTAGTCGCTCCAAAGACGAATTCCCCGCGAGTTCTACGGGAACTGGTGGCCGATCCCTGATGTCAATGATTAACCTTTCAGTCCCGAGGAGACTCAAACGAGACTCTAGCAGTTCCGGCACGGCGCCAAATAGACATTGCGTAAACGAGAGAGACTCTCCGGCACTTGCGCGAGAAAATCCGAACAATGTACGCTCAGGCATACCTCCTCATATTACTTCTCTATTTCGCCCGGAGAGAAGTGGCCTATTATCAGCTGATTTAAGCGATGTTACAATCAAGAACGCGTATAATAATCAGACACCGCTCACACAAAGGGATTCGGCTGCTTTTGAAACTTCCAGGCTGACCCCTCACTCGGATGAATTGCCAGACGAGGCCCGGAGCTCCTCTCGCCGGATTCTACAGCAATTGACGGCCAACATACAAGAAGCATTTTCACCCAGCTCTACACCAAACCCTACTAGAACACCCAGGTCTCCGAATCGCCTGGCCAAGACGCCTCCACACTTGGGCGATGAGAGAGCTGTTGCCACTGACCCTCGCCAGTCGCAGCTAGATGGAGGTAGTTCGGTTTCGGACGCTCTCACCCTGGAGTCGGGCACGCGCTTTCAGCCCGCAAAGCTGGTAAAGGTTATGAGATCTGGCTTTAAAAAGTTCATGCCTTCTTATGGCCATGAGAAGCAAGCTCAACTCTACCAGCCTACAGAAAATTACCAGCGCCATGATGAAGATGAAGAGCACTCGCAATCCAAGATGGTGCGATTGGGTACACCGTCTATGGAAAGTGATCACCTAAAAGCCGGAGCGGAGGGAGCAGCTGAATGTGGTACCGCGCCTTCGCATCAGCAATTATGTGTTGATAGGGAGTTGGAAGCGCCTGAATTGATCCAGCAACTTAATAACGAGAGTGATGTGGAAAGCAGATCTATTGATACGATCCAACCATCGCATAGCAAACCAAATTTATCAGAAGAAGAAGAAGCAGAAGCAGAAGCAGCTAGACCTGCTTCAATATCCACAATCAGGGATCCTCGAGCTCTGCGTCGCTGGAAATCAATGTCAGACGCACCAACGAACAGGGAATCGTCCTCGAACAGGATTGGCAGATCCATACCACAATCCCATAGCTTCAACACTCTCTGAGACTGATGTGAAGGATCGGACGAATGGACGAATGGACTAAGCTTTATATTATACCGCGCAAGGAACCTGGTTTGGCACGGAATACCGCAAGGAGATATGACCAAATTCTGGTATTTTAATTTAAAAAGTATTAATTCGTAAGAATATTATGAAGAGATGGATAAGCGCCGTCGGCTTAGTGAGCACGACACTTCTATGGAGCATTGTGTTATAAGCTCAGGTGGGACAAGGTGGCTGGGAAGATATCTTACGCTGGATTCTATAGCATCAATAGCTAGTCGGGGTCAACTATTGATAATATATCAAGACCCTGCAAATATACTTCATTGCCTTAGTTTGATGTTCTGCGCTGCTCGTCCTCTTCATCAGTTCTCAAGCTAACAAAAGTATTAGGTCTGGCTAGCGGTGAATACCGAGCCTGTAGCAACAGGCTATAGCAACTATAGCAACAAGTTACAAGAATTCCTGATGTAAGAAATATGGTTGCATATAGAGCATCTGCGCAAGTCTATTATCTGTGACATTTATTATGTACAAAATCTGAAGATGTCGGTGGGAATTTCGATATGCTCGTGGCGCTACGGATCAAAGATTTCTCGTACAGCCAGTGAGAGGATGGGTTGCTGCCATGCTAAAGCAGTAATATTGAAACGCAGCTCAGGTTTGAATTCGTGGGATATCCGCAATATCATTAATTGTAACCGCAAACGTCGTGGTGGAGTAAAAAAAAACAGAAAAGGGTGCTGTTGATCTCGCGGAGAGAAGAGAGCCTGTCTTTCATGTCTCCAGGTTGATTTGCTTGCCGAATCTAGCGTATAGCTCGACCTTGAGCTGTGTCATCTCTTCGTGAATGACGCCTAGTTTCTCTTCCGCCTCGGCAGTCTCTTCGTCAATTCTTGAGGTCGCCGTGCTGAGCATCTCCTGTGCTTGTTCGAGGGGGAGATGGAAAAAGGCGTCACCGATCTTGTATCTGGCAATTAAATGTCAGACAAAAAAATCATCGTTGTATAAAGCAGCTATAGCTCAGTCGTACTGGATCTTGTCATCTTCATCGGCAAGCTCGAGCTCGGTAGAGATGTCGTCTAGCTCCTCCTTTTCCTTCTATATTGAGGATTCGTCAGTCGGCTCTTTCAATACGTGATACGGTGAGGGTTTCCATACGCCCTTGAGCTCCAACACTTCCTTCAGAGCGAGTTCTCGCTGGTGCAGCCGACTGAACTTGTTGATCTTGTCTTGGTCTTCTCGTCGGACCTCGACCTCGTCTGCGGCTTCGTCCTCCTTGGAGAGCTACAAGGACCTGTTAGCCATTGCGAGGCTGCTTCTGGGTGGGATATGCGACTTTACCATGCGGCGTTGCATTATTGAAGCCATGGTCGCAGGAATGTCGACGCTGATCTCAGCGCTCGTTATACGGCCTTAAATTCAGGAAGCTCTGCAATTTATCAAAAGATACACGATGGCCATGCAGTGGTGGGGTGTCGAGATGGTGGGTTACCGTGCGCAGTGCACAGTAACATTTACAACACACTGTAATCCCAACGCGAAGCTGACTGCAACCGCTCAGCTGGCTTACTGTACCGCGTTGCGGCTGGGCTTGGCACTTGGGCAGCAGCGCACTGACGTTTCCGTGGCCTATTTGAAGGTGCCCCTCCCGAGCTGGGGCCCTGAACTCTTCCCTCTCCACCTCCCTCTCCACTGACTTAAGTTCCATCTCATCTAGCGTCTCGGTCCATCAATTCTCTGTCCAGACCCTCGTCTCATCACCTATCAAGCGATACCAGAATCGTCCATCATGGCGACGGCCCGGAGACCGTACCCCAGAACTCGCCTGAGGCGGATCATCAAGGCGCACTCGGGGCTGAAGCTCTCGAAGAATGCCGATGTGTTGGTAAGGCCCCGGTCGCGCGGCTCCCCAATCGGTAGATTAGCCGAACAGCAGCACTAACAGCAGCGTAAGATCTATCTCAACTATACGATGTTCATGAATGCGTATGTACAGCTAGAATCCAGATTGAGCGTGCAAAATACTGATATTCCCCTCGCAGATTGGTGAGAGAGGCTGCCATTCACGCCAGGCAGGCGGGAGAGCGTTCATTTACGCCCAGGAACATTATGAAGGCACTCCCTGTATGCTATTTCGGTCCTTTGTTTTTTGAGCGCTACACAAGCTAATACGACGCGTTAGGATGTTTTGGCCAGGTTCAAAGGCTGAATGTCGACCTGCAGCAGCCGAGCTGTGTGGCATAGATCCTCTCATACTGCCGCTGCTAGCGATGCTCCATAAAGGCCGGAGCGTTCGCTGAGGATAATGGTATTGGGCTTGGGATAACAAGAAACAATGGCTAATTTAAGAGTGCTAGATGCATTCTTTTGGCATCTGCTGGACCTGTAATGAATCTCGGGGCTCCATCGTGAGAGGTCTGCTGGCTACTTTAGATACCCACAGCAGGGCGACTTACATGAATGCGCATAGAGTAGGGGCATGCCGAGTCTACGGGTAAAATAGAGCATAAATAGGACAACATACACGAGCCGATTGCAATGAGCCGTCTATTCATCTAATCCCGAACGGTATCTACCTACTAATCGTAGCGAGTGATCTTAATAAAACCAACTGTGCCTAGTTCTGAGCTTCAGCGGCTGCACTTCGACCTGGGCGCTGTAATGGTGCTTCGCGCCCCTCCTGTTTACCTGGTTGACCTGCCAGCTGGGGAGCACGTGAGGATGCATTGGACAGACACAAGTCCACCAACACAGCCCGTTTGCTATGCAGGAGGAAGCAATTGAGCTTTGCCTGCGGCGTTTGCAGCAGCCAGTGGATCCTGGCAGTGCTGGCCGGCCTGTCTGTGCAAAGCGAGGCTTGAATTGCAGCCTGAAGCCTTCTCTTCGCTTCTAGAATCAACAGCGCTAGCAAGTTGGGGACGGGCGACAGTGACCAGACAGTTGCACGGTGGGGTTCCTCTAATTGACTTCACTACGCCTTCAGTCTGCCACTACGCCTTGGTACCTTAAAGGTCCCAGGGCTAAAAAAGAGAACCCGACACAAACAAAGCCAAACCTCCTCCACCCCTTGACAATCGCCCCCTTTGATCTCTCATCCTTTGCCCACCTCTTCGATATCATTCCCGCCCTTCTCGACCCCATCTCCTAAGACTCCAACGCAGCTTCCTGCACCCCGCGCTCGCATCATTTTGCCTCCATCGACCAGCCTTGCGCGCCTTGACGCCTGTTGGACGACCACACACGACACCCACAAACGAACATCCCACTGAAGCTGCAAGCTAGGTTTTGCCATCGAGCTTGCGTTTTGTTTTCGCCATGGCTGCTCCAGCTACCCAGACCACTGTCTCCAAGACTTCCAAGAAGAAGGCTGCCAAGGTTCAGGCCCGTACCGAATCCCCGGCTCCCAGCACTGAGTCAGCCCCCACTGAGAAGGCCGCCGACGCCCAAGACGATGCCTTCGAGAGCCCTTACATCAAGGAGCTGCAAAAGTAAGACAATGCGGGCTTTGACTGACAATTTTTTTTGCACTGGCACGAATGCAATTGCTAACAGCATGGCGCAGGAACATTCGCAACACGGCTAAGAAATTGGTGAGTTCCCACCTTGCGTCATACCCTGCTGGCATCTATCAAGCAATGTTGAAACTGACCGTCAATCGTCTCTAGACCAACGCTGCCAAGTTGGACTCGCTCCTTAACCAGCACCCTGGCAAGTCTCTCGAACAGCTAGTCGACGAGAGAATCATCAACACCGACCAAAAGGCCCAAATCCAGAAGAAGCCTGCCCTCCAGACTGCGCTAGCTCAGTACGAGGAGCAGCTTGTTCAATACCAGAAGATCCACGAGCAGTACCAGACTCGGGCGGCGGCCGACAAGGCAGAATGGGCCAAGACACTTGAGAAGACTAAGGAGGAAGCGCTCAGCGAAGTAAAGGCTGAATTCAAGAACTCTATGGATTCCAAGCTTCTTGTCCTGTCCCAGTTCTTGCGCCTGGCGGCCTACCGCCGCGAGGAATCTCAGGAGCCGGAATCTGATGAGAGCCAGGCCATCGAGGGTGTTCTACTCGCCATCTACTCTGGCGACGAGAATGCAGTTTCTGCCATGCAGAAGCTGATTGAGGGCTCTGGCGACCAAATCGTCAGTGTCCCTGGAGACCAGCTCCAAACTACTTGTATGTACAATGCAAAACGAGAGGACATCACATTGGGAACTGCTACTAATTAGATATAGATGCCACTGTTAAGACGCTCGCAGAAAACTACACTGCGCCATCCTACGCTGAACCAGAGGCACAAACTGCTGCCGAGGCAGTGTCTGACCCGACCATTGCAAACGAGGCCGCCACTGAGATTGAAGCTGGAGATGGCCCCCTGACCAACGGGCACGCGCACGCGCACGAGCACGAGCACGCGGAAGCCGAGCCTGCCTCCAACGGCCTTGCTAATGCTAATGTCGCGGACGAGGCTGCCAACACAGTCGCTGAGAGCCAGTGGGATACTAGCAACCAAGACATGTCCATTTCGCAGGAGTGGGTTAATGTCCCTAAACCAACCGGTGCTGAGGCCAGCGCCGATTCTTCTACACTTGATGCTATCAAGCCGTCTTGGGCAGATGATCACCCTGATCCCGTTGCTGAGGTAGGCTTGTTTACATTTTGATTCCCCTATTAGCACTTCAGGCGAACTCAACTGACACACTCTATTTCAGGCTACGTCTGCTACGCCTGCTGCGCCTGACGCAGGTGATGGCTTCCACCAAGTCCAGCGCAACCGGGGCCGACAGGACCGTGAGGGCAGTGGAGGACGTGGACGCGGCCGTGGTGAGTGGCGCGGTCGTGGCTACCGAGGAGATGGCCGTGGCCGCGGTCGAGGACGCGGAGGTGATCGCGGAGGAGCCCCTTTCCGAGGCGCTCGTCGCAACGAGTCGTAGGGCTTCCGCTTCGCAATTCGTGGGTAAATTCAGATCCCATGCTTCTCTGCACACCCCTTGGAGGTGATTTGTACATTACGACATGATGGCGTTACCTGATTTTTCTAGCCGTAGAGGCAGAGCTTGATTTAAGGCGACTTTCGGCATTGCATTGGAACTTGTCAGATGGCAGGTCTCGGTTTCATTCTGGCGGAGGGAGGTTGGGACGGGCTCTTTCAATAGGCACCTTTGTAAATCCCTCATTTATCACTCACTCTCAGGGAGTGCGGCATCATTGAAGCAGGCTACTGGTATTTCATAGGTAGTAGAAAATTACAAAAGCATAAAAAACATATGGAAACGATGTTTCGTCTGTTGCATCGCCTTCTTAGCTAGGCGGTTGATTTCCCCGGCTTAGAAGCTTCCAACCTTTTGACAGCACCCCCCCATCTCAAAGTGCCGACGCCTACCGCTATCGGGGCGTTAGTCCTAAACAGGCAGCATCGTAGTCCGCCACCTGGCCTTATCCACTATCAGCCTCGCAGGTGAGGCCTAACTAGCAGGTAGTTAAGCAACCTCTCCAAACCGCCGTCGTTGAAACTTGTCCTCTTCTCACGGCCAAGTCTTTGAAACCCGCTAGGGTGTCACTTGAGGCCACATCAGCCGTATTATTTTTTTGGGCTTGGCAGGCCATTGGGTCTTTTTGTGTTATAAAATCCAACTGGATTACCTCTCCTTACCCCTCTGCAGTTTTGACGGCTAGCTGTATACTGCTGGGCCTGGCGGCGACTTCGCTATCAGGTTCGCTGTTCTCGACAGCGTCTTTCTTCAAGGGCCAGCCATCTACACTTCCACAACCACAACCATGGCGTCGCCTCGGCGCTCACCGCTGCTCATGCTCTTCGGAGCCTTCTTCTTCTTCTCAGCACATGTCCTGGCTGCTGCGGCTGTTCTCGGTGTTGATCTAGGAACCGAGTATATCAAGGCTACGCTAGTGAAGCCCGGCATCCCACTTGAGATTGTACTTACAAAGGACTCTCGACGCAAAGAAACTTCCGCCGTCGCTTTCAAGCCCATAAGAGGCGCCGTGGCAGAGGGCCAGTACCCCGAACGAAACTATGGCGCCGACGCAATGGCAATCTCCGCGCGATTCCCCGGCGAAGTATACCCGAACCTAAAGCCTCTTCTCGGACTCCCTCTGGGAGATGCGATTGTTCAAGAATATGCGGCCAGGCATCCTGCGCTGAAACTCCAAGCGCACGCCACGAGAGGCACTGTTGCGTTCAAGACGGCAACGCTGACTCCCGAGGAGGAGGCCTGGATGGTGGAGGAGCTGTTGGCCATGGAGCTTCAGAGCATTCAGAAGAATGCAGAGCTTACCGCCGGTGGTGACTCTTCAGTGCGCTCCATTGTGCTCACTGTGCCTCCATTCTACACCACTGAGGAGAAGCGTGCTCTTCAGATGGCAGCAGAACTTGCTGGTCTCAAGGTTCTCAGTCTGGTCAGCGATGGGTTGGCGGTTGGCTTGAACTACGCTACCAGTCGCCAATTCCCTAATATCAACGAAGGCGCCAAACCGGAGTACCACATGGTTTTCGATATGGGCGCGGGCTCGACTACTGCCTCCGTTATGAGATTCCAAAGCCGCACTGTCAAGGACGTTGGCAAGTTTAACAAGACGGTCCAGGAGATCCAGGTTCTTGGCAGCGGCTGGGACAAAACACTTGGTGGAGACTCTCTCAACTTTCTGATTGTTGACGATATGGTTAATCAGTTTGTGGAATCGAAGGGTGCTCAGAAAGTTGGAGCAACTGTTGAACAGGTCAAGGCTCACGGCCGTGCTATCGCGAAGCTGAGCAAGGAAGCCGAGCGTCTCCGACACGTACTGAGTGCCAACCAGAACACTCAGGCCAGCTTTGAAGGGCTCTACGAAGATGTTGACTTCAAATACAAGCTTTCCCGAGCCGATTTCGAGAGCATGGCAGAGGCTCATGCAGAGCGAATTGACGCTGCTATCAAAGACACCCTGAAAACCGCTAATCTCGAGATTGGCGATCTCACCTCCGTCATTCTTCACGGTGGTGCAACCCGCACTCCATTTGTGCAAAAGGCACTCGAGAAAGCCGTTGGCTCTGGGGATAAGATCCGAACAAATGTCAACTCTGATGAGGCCGCTGTTTTTGGCGCCGCCTTCCGGGCTGCTGAGCTTAGCCCAAGCTTCCGCGTGAAGGAAATCAGAATCTCGGAGGGAGCCATGTACCCGGCTGGTATTACCTGGACGGCTACGAATGGCAAAGTACAGCGCCAGAGACTCTGGACGGCCCCATCGCCCCTTGGTGGTCCGGCCAAGGAGATCACTTTTACCGAGCAAGAGGACTTTTCCGGCTCATTTTACCAACAAGTCGATACCGAGGACAAATTGGTCAAGTCCTTTTCTACCAAAAACCTTACCGCGTCTGTCGCTCAACTCAAGGAAAAATATCCCACTTGTGCGGATACTGGTATCCAGTTCAAGATTGCAGTCAAGCTCCGTACTGAGAATGGCGAAGTTGAGATTACCAAGGCTCTTATCGAATGTGAGGCTGAGGTTGCTGAAAAGGAGGGCTTTGTTGATGGTGTTAAGAACCTGTTTGGCTTTGGAAAGAAGGATCAGAAGCCCCTCAGCGAGGGAGATAAGGACGATGCCGAAGCTGCGTCTGATGCTGCCGAGTCAAAGACAGAAGACGCCAGCTCCGCTACTGAATCTTCCTCCACCAGCAGCACTCAGACCGGAGATGCCGCAGCTCAATCAGCAGAGGCTGAAAAGAGCGAGGTTAAGAAGAAGCAGATTGTTTCCATTCCCATCGAGATTACATTGGAGAAGGCTGGAATCCCACAGCTAACCAAGGCTGAGTGGACAAAGGCCAAGGACCGGTTGAAGGCATTTGCAGCCTCTGACAAGGCTAGACTGCAGCGTGAAGAAGCCTTGAATCAGCTTGAAGCATTTACATACAAAATTCGCGACCTTGTCGACAACGAGGCCTTCATCGCTGCATCTACAGAGGAGGAACGCCAAACGCTAACTGAAAAATCTAGTGAGGCAAGCGACTGGCTCTACGAAGAGGGAGATGCAGCCAAGACCGACGACTTCAGGGCAAAGCTCAAGGTTCTTCAAGATCTTGTAGGGCCCATTCAGAAGCGCATTGATGAAGCTGAGCGTCGGCCTGGTTTGGTTAAAGAGCTGAGACACATTCTTAACACTACTGATGTATTCATCAAGACAGTGCGTGGGCAGATTTCTGCCTATGAAGAGTGGAAGGCCACGGCGTCAACCAAGGAGGCAGAATCTGCTACTTCTAGTGCTGCCACCGAGACAAAGACCAACGACTTTGAAGGGCTAGAAGATGAAGACAATAGTCCCAAGGATACGGAGGAGAAACCCAAAGAGGAGGAAATCGTTCCTCCCCTGCATAACACTGAGGAGATGGACGGGCTCGATGTTATCTATAAAGAAACGCTAGAGTGGCTCAACAAACTCGAGGTCGAACAGGAAGCTCTCCCTCCCACCGCTGACCCTGTCCTCCAGGTTAGTGAGCTCGTTGCCAAGCGAGAAAAGCTTGACAAGGCCAGCCTTGATCTCGCAATGAAGAGCTTCAAGCAATACCAGAAAAACAAGCCCAAGAAGCCCACCAAGAGCAAGAAGGCAAAGAAGGACAAGACAAAGAGCGCCGAGCCGGCTGGCCAGACCATTGAGTTCCCCGAGGGAAGCAAGCCGCTCAGTGCGGAGGAGATTGAAGAGCTGCTCAAGCAGTACATGAAGGAGGACGAAGCGGCGAGCGCAAAGGCGGAAGCGGAAGCTTCAGCGAAGCCAGAGCATGATGAGCTCTAAAGGGGCACACAATGGCGTTTCTTTGATAAATGGGGAGGGGGTGTTTATGAAGTACTAGTATATACTTGGGACTGCATGATGCATGATACACACAAAAAAGTCAGATAGATCAATGCGATACTTGAATTTTCAATTGTAAGATTTGCATCACTATGTTTGATCAGTTGGATTTTTTTAGCGAGTAGTCTTGACGTAGATGTTAGAATCAAATGTTTGCTTTCTCAACCCAGGAAGCAATACTAAGCATCTGTACAATATGTTCGAAATAGATGGCACCCCTTCTTTGCCAATAGAGAATCTCAACGGCAAGGAAGGCGAACGTGTACCCGACCCGAACCTAGTGCCTGTTCTTAACTTTACATATTTGAGATGGTCATACAGTGTTGTGCACATGCAGGTGAGAGAAGCCGTGTGTTGGGTTCTACAAGTGGGACATCAGAAGTTCTAGATTTGTGATCCACGGACGGGAGAACTATCGGATACATTAGTCATATATCAAAAATTGCAGTTAATATAAATTGACGGCTAGCTTCCGTAAGAGCCTACAATAGGAACAGCCAGGCAACATGTGGTGTATTGTCTATTGTGTTAGCCGGGAAGCCGCAGACGGCAGTGAATCATGCAGGGCCTTCCTCGGTCTCGTTCTAGTTTCATCGTGCACCGGCTGCAAAGCACAATAGATCCCTTCTTCATCTTTTCCCCATTCTTTGCCCTCCATCTCGCGGCTATCTTATCATGAAGAATTCTGCTACAGGAGTTTTCTAGTGATTGTCTACTGCAAACTCAGATATCTCTTCCTTCCTTCCATACGGGAATTGAGTCTAACAACTTCTTCTTTTTCCTGCCACTGTCACAAATTGTTTCAATCAAACGAGCGAAAGAGATGTGGCATTGCATACTCGTGCTCCTCCTTGTCCCCCTCTGGCCTTTGGCCTCAGCTTTTCCCTCTCCAAACGCTGCAAGATCTCCCGCTGGATTTGCACTCGCCGTGAACCCCAAAAAAGATGCCTCTCGAAACTTTGTGCGCGATTGGGCTGCTGCGCGCCACAAATGGGGCAAGGGAGTGCCTAGAGAGATTGCGTCTTCGTTTGCCTTGATTGACGGCGGTAAGCTTTCTCTAGGTGTGTCTTTGCTAATTCATAATCAGATGCTGAGGATGTGCAGTTGGTCAGGTCGATGTTGAACCTATAGGAAGCGACGACATCTATGTGGCTGATGTTCAAGTTGGAAGTCCGCCTCAAACGTTGAAGCTGGCCCTGGACACTGGATCTTCCGATCTGTAAGTTTGGGCGGCATGTCTTCATCCTACAAGTAGCCAAGATTGTGTTGCTAATATCGTCGACTCAAGATGGATTCAATCAACTGATACCAGATATCGCGTCAACCAAAAGGGTCCATGGGCTCCACGATATCATCCCAACGACTCTACGACTGCTCATCTCATTCAAGATGCCAGATGGTCTGTCGAATACTGTGAGTAGAGGAGATAAGCTGTCATGGAGTGTTTGGTATATTAATAACGCTTTTTCTAACGGGTAAATAGTGGATGGTACCTCGGCTGATGGTATCGTCTACCACGACACGGTCCATTTAGGAAATTTCAAAGTTGAAAACGCAGCTGTACAATCGGCAGAAATGGTCACCAGCCGCTTCGAAGAAGAAATCGAACTAAGTGGTATCCTAGGCTTAGCCAAGAGGTTACCGAACAATGTTAGCCCTCCGGTACCGTCTTTCCTCAGTTTACTGCGCCAGCAGCTGGAGCATCAGATGATTGGCGTTGACCTGAATCGGAATGCCTCAGGTCTCTTCACTTTTGGCTACCTCAATGAAAGTCGGACCTCGGAAGCAATAACATGGGTCGATACGGATCCTGATAGTCCTCACTGGGATATCGAGTTCAATCTCACAACTTGGGGAGAGCAGACGACGCCATGGTACTCGCAGAAGTTCAAGGCAACAATTGATACGGGCACTACGCTGATGTTCTTGCCTGATAATCTAGCGAGTGGCTACTGGTTCACAGTCCCAGGGATGAAAATGGACCAAAGGCTGGCCAACGCATTTACGTTCCCCTGCGAGGTTGCCAAAGACTTGCCCAATCTCATGCTCAAAATTCCTGGGAGTGACCGTACTTTGACCATTCCTGGATCGTATCTCAACTACGGCCCTGTTGAAATCGACCCATCTTATTGTTGGGGAGGCATGCAGAGCGCTGAGGATTTATCCGTTACAGTGATAGGGGATATTATGCTCAAGGCGCTGTATTTGGCCTTTGATCTCGAGAGAGGGCGAGTTGGATTTGCTCACAAGGATCTTTATGACGTCGACTGAGGAAGAAGTAATCTTTAGCCGGGATGATATTTTATGGTACTGAAATGGGTCGAGATTTGGTGTTGACAAGTGGATTTGCAAGCATGAGAGAATGCTGGATGTATAATGATACAATAGTTGGGAATTAAAAACAAAAAGTGGCTTCATATATCAGATGGCTTGAAATTGATTTACTGCCTTGTGCAGCATCTCGGAATAAGTGAATTGCCTAAACTTGGTAGCAAGTACTAATACTGAGCAGCACAATTCGGCCCCGTCCAACCTCAATAGAGAATTGCTCATGTTTATAGTCTTTTGTATTGCATTCATCCTAGAGCTGGTATATACAAATGCACTCTCCAGCCCGTCATTATTGGGTGAGGCCAACGGATGCTTCCTCCATTCCCACGGAAACTCCCCTTCCCTCCGCAAGCATCCCATCTATTTCCCCCCATCCATCCATCCGGCCATCCCATTTCCAAGTGCCTCCTAGTAGCCCGTTTCATTTCGAGAGAAAAGGAAACATGCTCTGCGTGTTGTGCCATTAAATGTGGTATAATATATAGGTTGTGTGTATGTAGCTGTGTGTGTATGCGCGCGCGCATGTGTGTGTGTGCCTTGTGTAAAAACAAAAGAAGAAAGACGGGCTTCGACAAATGCCATGTCGAATTGGGGCACGATGTTTGGGCTAAAAGGAAACAAGAAACTATAATAATAGTAAAAAAAAAAAAAAAAAGAGGTTAAAACGCAGCTTCCTATCTGGAAGAACAGTGATTGTGTTGTATGTGTAAAAACCCTGTAAACGCCGGAAGTGGGAAAACGTGTCATTTGTAGCGAGCGTGGCCAGGTGAAATCTCATGGTAAGAATCCAATCCAGGTGGAGGAGCCCAGCGAAAGAAAAAACGACTTGTCGTTAATAACGACTCGGATGGGTTTGTCGTTATCAATGGCCTTCCGTTGGTAAGTAGGACCAGTTCCCCTAGGGCCAAGTTGCGTCGGAACTCCGTGAGGGTCGCATCTGGCACATTGTCGTGGATGGGTCCAATCGGAGGAGAGAGAGAGACAGAGAGAGAGATCGCCCTAAGCAAGTTCTGTCGTCGACAAGCGCATCCGAGGAACAAAAAGAAAATGTCGTTTGAATATGAATTCTTCTTTAGACTTGTTTACTCGCGATCACCATCTTCAATGGGCAGAAAAAGAGAAAGAAACCAAAAGTCAGCGGGGGGCGTCGTCCATTAAATCGTCGCGAGTCACAACGTAATATTCACCTTCACTGGCCCCGGGGGTTGGAGGCATGTCACCAGAGCTGGGGGCTTGCTGCGTGGGCTGCGCGGTTCCTGGCCGCGACCTGGCCTTGTCGTCTGCTGGGGGCGCGGAGAGAGAAGAGGCCTCTGGCTTGGGCGTCGAGCTCGGGGAGTGCTGCTCGGCGGTGTCGTCGCTGGGGGCGGTGATGCCGGCAGCGTTGAGGCGCTTCTCCATTTCGCGGAGGCGCTCCTCGAGCGAGGCGAGCTCTTGGGTGTTCTTGCCGATGTTGTAGTTCCTGTAGCAGGGGAGATGGAACGCCGCCAGTTAGAAAGAATGAAAAGACGTGAAACAAGGAGAACAAGTGGTCGGGTGTGCCATTGGGATCAACGAACCTCGTGTCGTACGACTCCTGGAGCTCAGCCTTTTGCTCGTCTAAGTTGAAGATGTCTTCCAGCTCCATTTGGAAGTTTCTGGCAATGGTTCTGCAGAGAATTAGAATCAAAACAGCCACAAAGTCAACATCTGGCTCTGCATTGCATGCAGGTCGCCATTGCTCGGGAATGCGCTTTTCGGTCGCATTGCGATGCTGCGATTGGGGGTCGGGAGACATACGACTGCGGTCGTCGGCCGTTGGGCTGCCAGTTGCGGTCAAGCTCCTCGTCGGTGAAGGACATGGTGGCGGTGGGAGCTGCAATGAGGGGTAGAGCTAGATGACAGATGGAGAGAGGAATAAAAAAGAGAAGCAGTAAAGATGAAGGCAAAGAAGGGATTCGCTGGCGCCTGTTGCTGGGTATCGATTGCGGTTGGTCGTGAACAGAGCTTGGGGAATTGGTGGTAGATGCGAGAGAAGCTACAATGAAGAGGTGATATCGACGAGGTCGATAGTGCAGGCGGAGGTGGGAGGGAAAAAAAGATTGGGCTCTGCAAACTGATGAATGATCCGTCTGCAGCTACTGCGTCGTTTCTCCCCTTTATCCTGGTCAATGGCGGAGCCAGGAACAGAGGCAAAGCAGGGGAAATCGAATCGGCCAGGGGGGACGAGAGGCCAAAGAGCTGCAGCAGAAGCAACAGGGGGCTGACAAAAGGGTACTAGTCGGCTGGGGACCAGTATATTTGGCGCTGCAAATAGCCCCAAGCAGCAGTGCAGTAGGTGGGTGGTTGTTTGTTTGTTTGTAGGCACTGTATTAGTCGTGCCCTGGCCTCGAGGTGGTGGTGATATGACGATGACGATGATAATTATATAGGTCGGTTGGCATGCAGGTCGGTTTAATATTAGCAGCTGCACGACATGCTCTTCTTTTCATTCGCTGGCGGAACAAAAGGAAGCGAGAGTGGAGGTTCGCAAAAGGTTAACTCTAATACGAGTGCCGTTGCGCCTGAGTGGTGGTGGAAGAATGAAATAAAGGGGGAAATGGGATGGAACGCAGCTAAAATAGATCAAGGGCAGTGGTTGAAGTGTCCAACACGGGCTCTCGTCATAATTTCTCGCATCGAGAAGCAAACATGATTTGGGTAGGGTAGCACGCAAAATATACGGCAAGGCATCGTACTTGTACAGTAGGGGCACATCTGCGTCTTCTCTTCATGCTTCAATCTCTTCCATCCTTCTAGGCTTCCCCCGGGACCTGAGCATCATGTCACTGTCACATGCCGGGGCCCTGGTGATCGGGAGCTGGGCCAGAGTCTGCTGATGGGCGCCGTGGCTGGCTGCCTGTATCAGTTTCAATGAGTTTGGAGAGACAGCAAGCCTACCAAGGACTCGACTGACACTTGACGCCCATTGTTTCCACCAAAGTCAACTGCCCTCCCCAGGCAGGCATTCCATCCACCTACCTGTACATGTGTGCACCACGCTACAGGGCCACTAGCCGTGATACTTTGGGCGGGTCAGTTGACGCATGAGGAAGCGCCGCCAAGCAGCCCTAGCGTGGAGCTGGGAATATCGCAGCATCACCTCGCTTGCGCCGTCCATCTCGCTCGCCATGCGGTGGTGCTTTACAGATGCGAGAGCACGTACCAGCCAGCAGAGACGAGGAGCGAAGGGGCAAAGGGGAAGGCGAGGAGAGTGGTGAAGGACGAAGAAGAAAACAGGGAGAGTTGGGATAAAATAAGAAGCGTTTTAGGGGAGACCGAAGCTGGAATTAGGGGTCTGGAGCTTGTTGAAGTTTCAATGTTCCATTTTTTTTCCTTTGCTACCTTCCTGTAGGACCCATGACATCAGGCCGTAATATTCGGGGCCCCATTTGGCGGCATTGGCGATGCTGCTAGTGATAAGGGTCCCAGGCCGTAGCAGCGGCAACAAGCAGTGTAGCATCGGCTGTAAAGCATCAGTGGCGGTAGTGCTAGCAGGGCCGCTGGATATGCCGACATGGAGCTGTAATACGGGGGAGCACGAGTACCTGCATAACAGGAGCCTGCGCTGGAATGAAGCAGCACGTAGCCTTCCACACATGTAGGTAGGTACTTGTCACTAATTAAGCTTCCGGCTCACCAAACATCAAAAGAAGCCATCAATAGCAGGCTTCACGTCAGCCAGATACATCCATCTCTTCCGAGCTGCTATGTGCTTGCAGTTCCGCATGTACCGGCCGACCAGACATTACATGGAATCTGCATCGTCCCGCTGTATTCGGCGTAGCTTTGATACTAGGTTGGTCAACTTGGCTCCTGTAGTTCTTCATAACCGCTTGCAGATCAGAGCGGCATTGACTCGGGGCGTCTAGGGCCAAATTTTGATTGACAGTAAAATGGCAGTCTTGGATACAACTCCACCAAGGCTTGTTTTTAGCTTCACTCTGTGAAAGAGAGGAATGGATGCAGCAAAAAGCGTTGGACGGAGAAATGCTGGATTCAAGGCCATCAACACTGACTACAGTCGTGGTTATAGTTATATCCGCTGCAGCATGCCCTCAATTATTAAAGGAGCCCAAGCCCTGGCATTGACTGGTTACATGCACTTCAAACAGTTGATGCTGACGGTCAAACATGAAAATTGAGCCGCAAAGCTCAAAGCTATCAGCGACGAGTATGTATCGTCTACTCCGCGCTCGTATCATGCTAAACGCGGTGTCGTGTACCCCGTACTTGTACAAGCTCTCGTCCACGCTCCGGGCTCCTTCCTTCTTCGACCTCATCCCCAGACCCACCCTTGTCCCTCCATGCCCAATTTTGCGTCCATCTCCCCGAAACAGGCACAAGAATCCCTTCTTCCTCGTACATCTCTCATGCGCCGATTTGCGCCTTTAATTGCGCCGATGCGATGCTCCGCTTGGTTCGATTCTCCTTCTGTTGCGCCGCCAGGGGTTCGCTGCGTCTCTCAGAGATGGGACTGTGGTCTCCAACGACGGAGCATGAGATGGCCTCATGGTCACTCAACTCTCAACTTGCAGACTCTGAGCCTTGTCAAGTGAGGGGTATGAAGGATTGCAATATTGCTGGCCTCAATAGATGGCCTTGCCTGCACAAAGCCCTGCAACCCCCACGTTGTCTGGCCTCCTGACTCGAGACCGCATCAGATCAGGGATTGCTTCGGCTTGCAGCCAACGCTAAACGCATCCCTCACATGCTCAACCTCCATCTTCTGACGTGGACACCACATTCTACGCCTGCTCTCTGAGCGTCTGCATCACGAGCCTTACACTGCGATTGCTTCATCTCAAAGCTGCGGCGTCTGGACCAGGGGCCACTGAATCTCATCACCGCAGTCATCGTGCTCCTGCACCCATGCTTGAATCTTGTCGACGTCCCATCCGCTCATCCACCGGTCAGACATTTGATTTGTTTTCGGTTTCGGAAGGCCGTGCTTGATTGTCCGGCTGAATCCACAGATGCCGTCGTGATATCTATACTGCAGACAGGCTGAATCAACTTGGCAAGCTCGTTGACAACTGTCGAAGCTCAAGTGGGCTGACTTCTCAAGAGGCGACAAGCCTTCTAGTTTCGCCTTTCGGAGCTGATAATGGTCATGTGAATTTTCCGAAATGTCCAAGTAAAAGACATCGTCGCTCAAATTATCCCAGTCTGGCCGAATAGGCACAAGTCGCGGTGCCACGAAGTGATGGTAGAGGTCCCTGATACGCATAGGGGAGGCGAACTTTTGCTCTCGTTCAAAAGCGCACAACGTAGACAATTCCTCGCTTCCTAGATGGTTCATGGTTGCGATGGGTTGGCACCACTGCTTGCTAGAATAATGAATGGTAAACGGCTTCTCTGCATTTGTTGTTGGCCACTGATGCAGAATACAAAGTCAGCATAAACTATTTCACAACTACAAGGCGGTAGGAGAGAAAAGAGATCCGTAAAGATCCGACTTCACTGGATGCGAGACAAATCTTACCGTGTCATTCACGCTGATACCTGTGGCCTCTTTCAATGCTTTTGCAAACATGAGATCGCCACAGCAATGGCGTTTTGTAGCTTCGTCCCATCGGTTGGCCACATTATGCTCATCCTCAAAGAAGTCGCGCATGGCTCTATTAGAGACGACGTAGCCGCTGCCCCCGTCGCCGAAAGGGGAGTTGCCTACCCATGTTTTGCTGCCGATATACATGGGATCATTATGATCCAATTGTTCTAACCAACGCACCATTGTTGGCCACACCACATAGGCGCCGGCATCAACAAACAAATACCAGTCATAGTTGGGTCTCGTGTTGAACGCCTTTTCCGCAATATGGATATTCTTGTACTTGTCCAAGTCCCATCCTTCTTGTTTGAAATCCATGTTCCGGTTGCAGCTTTCTTGATCGACCGCACATTGACGTTGTCGAAAATAAGCATCAAAATCTTGGTTACTCGTCTTCACCGGATCCAAGACTGTGTCGAGGCTGTCGTAGATTTTGTGTCCTCCAATCTCTTGTTCCATATCGCTGAAGATGAGGAACTCGGGCAAGCATTTCAGATTCGTTGTCAACTGGGCTGGCACTTTCGAAAAGGCTTCAGAAGCTCCTGTTTTCATGACCAGCAGGATCTTTGAGGTGTCGGGGAACTGCGCGCAATCGGACTCGGGCGCACTTTTTGATCGACCAGCCGAGTCGGGGACAGACTCAGTTGCCAGGATATTGCTAGGTGCCTCAATGGACAAGAATCCCGGCTCTCTATCGGTCTGCCGAAAGACATCGTGCTTGAATGCTTCTGGCCTTTTCGCCACATGGTGCGCTCCTCGGCAGTGAATCCCGTCGGTGCATGACAGTGCCAACCGCTCTACGGTGATGACCAATGCCATGAAGAACACGCCAAAGGCCAGCACCAGGGCAAAGGCTCGCGTAGACGGCATGGTTGGACAGACCGTTGTTGGCCCGCTGTTTCGTCTTCGAAAAGTGTTTGGATATCCCTATTTGAGTTTGGATGAGAGGGAATATAACGTTTGCGATCATGGACAAGGACAAAATATCATAAAGTATGGAAGAAAAGCTGGCGTACAAGTACGAGGCCCGTTATTTTGAGGTGCAAAGGCTGGCCATTTCCTTAGTATTCTTGGTTTCGTCTCTTATGAGCACCAATACGCCGGCGTGGACATTCTCCCTTGCTCTCATCACTACCGTCATAATGGAACACATCTGCAGCCATTGCATATCTCGTGAGTTGGAATTTACGGCGCCTGCGAGCCGCAGTGAAACAGATTCATGGCACTCCTTTTCGACTGACAAAGTAAAGTATTCGATTGCACTAATAATAAATGCTATTGGCACTACCTAGGTGCTATTTATTGCATTGCGTTCCCTCTTTCTTACCTTTGTTTGTGAGACATTTAGACCAGAGTGTTTCTGAGACACATCAACCGGGCTCGGTTTGAACAGTATTCCAACGGCCCATCACGTAAGACAGATGTGTCTAACAACATGTACATTTTGAGTTCCAACCGAAAATGATTACATTTCTTGTAAGGATTGCTCATTTTTCTACATGTTTCTCTTTTTTTGGTGTAGCAATAGCAAAGCAATATATTTCAAGGTCTCTCCCGTAAATAGGGCAGTGGTATTCTACCACTCATAAACGAATGGCAAACATTTATATACAGCCTTATTTGTCAAGCGCACTTGTAGGTAGCTGCAAGTTCATCTCACATCCGTCTCAAAGCTCGTCATGGCCCTCGTCAAAGGTCCCATCCCACGGCTGAGCTCTGCCCTCAGAAATAGCCACGATGAATTGGTCAATCTCGTTTGGCAAAGTAATGTCCCCCTTGAAAGGGAAGACTTGGCCGTTGTGGACGTTTTGCACGGCTAGGCCGCCGGTGGAGCGGATGCCGAGGTTACGCGCCATGTCCGGGTACTCATTGGAGTCTACGGTTACAAACGTGAGGAATTCGGCGTATCGTTGAGCTGTGCCCTTTAGGTTTTTGGTGTAGGCTTCACGTTGCGCTTCCGTTTTGAAAAGGTAAAAGACCAAAGATCGCCCCGACTAAGTAAGAGAGGCGTTAGTGAAAAGTAAGCGTTCCATGAGGTAGACGTAGAAAACTCACTGAGAGATGTGTCAGTTCGTTGCGCCGAGTGAGCTGGGGAATCACTTCTGCGGTGCAAAGATCAATCAGCTTCTTTAAAGCATTTGCATCATCCAAGTCGGTAGCTGTGTGTTCTGATTCGTCGACATTATTGTAGCACCAGATGCCGCTGGAGCTGGCATCGGGAGAGCTTGCCACGCCGAACGAGTATCGATCAGAATACTCGTCTGCGAGATTTCGAAATCGAGCATCGAGGCTTTCATCGTCACTATGTAACTGAGCGAGAAATACATAGTCATCGCTGGTGAGGAAGTCGTCGAGCTGCTGCTGCTCGGTCATGTCTTGCACAGACGGCCGAAGAGCCCGTTTCACAAAAGCCTCTATGCTAAGCCGAAAAGTCAGACAACAAAAGGCCAAAAAGACCAAGAAATGGTCAAATGGGACTTACGGTGAGGCTTTCCTAGGACCTCGATATCGTGTTGTTGGTCCGTCTTTCTTATATAGGCGGATAGCGGGAAAGGAGACGACGTCCATCTCTTTGCAGAAGCTGGAGGCGGCTACACAGTCGATTGCAGCGGTAGAAGCAACATTTCTCTTGACGGTTTTCCATTCTTTTAAAAGCTTTTTGCTGTTTTCTCTTTTGTTTTCAATTCGTCAATGTTTAGTGCGCCATTCCATGAACTTGTAAGCAGTTTGGCTCACTCACAATTCGGGCTATATGAGTGACGGCGGGGAGCAAGTCGCCCCTTTGAGTCAGTCCCAACGTTCACATTGCTCATAATAGACGGCGCCGAAATCTTACCGCAACAACTAAACCAGGCACACAAAGCCATCAACCAATTAGCATCCACCAGATCTACAATAAGACTGTCAGGCATTGGACTTACAAGCCAGCAGAGCATATTCATTCTCCGCAAGAAGCTTCTTCACCTCTGCTGCCCCGCTAAACTCAGAGGCACAAAGCACCACGTTTGCGCAGCTGGCCAGCAGTCCGCATTGAACCAAGATATTCGATAAGATCGGCCTTTTCATCTTCGATAACGTGCGAGAAGAATGCTGGATTGACTTGCTTCAAAATGGAAATGGTTTGGACAGAGTCAATCGAGCTCTCTGGTACTTGGGAGATGTTCATGAGTTCCACGCCTGTTCCTCCGTGCCCGAGTCAGATGCTAGACAGGGGTGAGCTGGACTCAAAACAACGGGGACCCTAATGAACGCCATCACCGGTTGTCGGCACCGACGCTACGTTTCGAGTCTCAGCGTTTCGTTTGAGATTCCGGGGGAAGCGATCAAGGCCCTGTTCGTCGTCTAATTGTTGCCGATTACTTGGATTTCTAGTCTGTGGCCGATATAGCAGCTACTTTCCGTTGACCTTTGACCCCTCCTTTGCTACTCACAGAAAAACAACGACGACGATCAATGTATTCACAAAAATTACTTCGCTGGCTGGCCGTGATGGCGGTCGGCATGGGAGTCGCCTCTGCCGGGGATGATGCGGCGCAGAAGCAGCTGAATGGCTACGAATGCACACACCCGCCGTATAAAAGCCACCTTTTGAGCAAGTCGCCCTTGGTCATTTACATAGAGAACTTCGTCACCGATGCGGAGCGACAGCATTTACAAGAGCTCGCGTATGTCAAGCCAAGCCCTGGCTGTCTAATCAAAGGGAGAACAAGTTGGATGCTAACAAAACGCCATAGCCAAGGCCATTTCAAGCACTCTGCGGTCCTCAAGAGTGGAAACTCGGCAATTCACTCTGTCCGCACTTCGCAGTCAACCACCGTCGACAGAGATGCCGTGGTGCGGTGCATCGAGGCACGAGCCCTCGACTTCCAGGGCTTTGACGTGCCGGAATCACACCTCGAGCCCATCCAGCTCGTCAAGTACGCAGTCACCGAGCGGTACCATTTTCACACGGACTGGTTCACGAACCCAGCCCACGCCACGGCGTCTCACGGCGGGAATCGCATCAGCTCCTTTTTCGGGTACGTCAAGGCAGACAACGTGACGGGCGGAGGCACCAACTTCCCGATTCTGGATGCGCCGCGGGATGAAAGATGGTGCAACTTCATCGACTGCGACGAAGAGTACGACTCGGGCGTCACGTTTAGGCCCATTGAGGGCAACGTCGTCTACTGGGAGAACTTGCTGGCGGATGGGAGAGGAGACCAGAGGACGCTGCATGCGGGACTGCCGGTGGTCAGCGGGGAGAAGATTGGGATGAATATCTGGACGAGGCAGATGCCACTGCCTGCGGATGTTCGCGGGAGTTAGTTGCATGTTGCAAGTCGAGGCTGGGACTGGGTGCTTGTAAGGCCGAGCAAGATGGTTGCTTCGGAGATTGGCGTATACAATGGGACAGCATCTTTTGAAAGCGAAGAAAGGGCCGTTTGTCTTTTTGCTCGAGTGGAAATTCTGTCCTTCTTTCTACATTGTTCATGCAAGACAAGATCGATTCAAGAATATGATTTATGAAAGAGCAGGAATGGTAGATGTGATGTAGCGAAGGAAGGTACTCTCACCATCCTAACCGACAGATAAACATTGACACGATGCCGGTTTTCTCACTTTGAACTTTTGCAACCAACCATCACCACAGCATCTTCATCGTTTCAAACTTAGTCTTCCGGCAACATCTGCATTTTTTAAAATGCTCAACTCCAACTTTGGCCGTGATAGGGTTGTCCCCTTGTTCAGTCTCCCGACCAACATACCAGCCTCAATGGACTACCGGAGGGATAGACGAAACGGCAGATGGTGGGCTTCTGGCTCGCCCAATTGCAATCTAATCCTCGCAGCGGGGATCACGCTTACCGGACTCATACTTTTCGCCATTGTCACATCCTGTTTCGTCGCGCCTGATCCTCTGGTAAAGCTGTTGCTTTCTGTACACAAGGACGGCTCTCGAGCAGTGGCAACGAACATGCATGAGAGGCGGTTTAAATGGCAAGACAGATTCAAAAAACAGAGGGGCCATCGTGATCTGGTCAAGACTTGCATCGGCCTCTTCATCGTCCTTGGTCTCATCATCGTGTTTGCGATCTAGGCGGTCGTCGATAGAAGGTATCGGTTGTCGCAGAAAATCTTGGAGAGGCAGGCCAGCCGGTGGGCGACACTGAAGCAAAGATGGAGCCGGCTTCGACATGGCAACCGGGCAGCCGAAACCCAAGGCGATGAAGAATTGGGTCAAGAATTAAGAGTTTTCCAGAATGAAGCTGCTACCGATGCCCCCAAGGATGAAACCCAAACAGTCGTTCGCCCAGTAGAACAAACGCCTGCGCCACAGAGCAATGCAAGTCCCAGTTCTGCAGGCTTGACGCAGAATGAGCCTCGGGAGGCGCCTAGTTCGGAGGCGCGATTCCTCGCTGATAGTGCTTTTCCGCGTCACAGACAAAGCCTTGCAGAGATCATTCAGCGGGCCTTCCAGCGGAACAATCAGCAGATCGAGCAGCAAGGCCCCCAGGAGGGCGAACTTGAAGACGGACACCAAAGCCAGCTTGAAGATCAAGATGAACGCCAACATCAAGATCGAGATGAACGCGAACTTCAAGACGAACAGGAACGCGAACGTCAATACCGACAGGAACGCGACCGTCAAGGTCGACTCCATGTCCAACTCCTTCGTCAAGAGCAACGCCAGCTCCAAGATTATCGGCAATTTGAACATCATGGTTATCGGCAACGCGAACTCCCAAGTCAGCAGCAACACGAACACCAAGGCCAGCAACGTTGCGGATACCAAGGCCAGCAGCAGGACCAGCAGCAGAGCCAGCACCAAGATGATGACCCGATCTCGAAAGAGAATGAAGGGCCTATGACGCCAGTAAATAGCCAGGCGCCAACTTTGGAAAGCATAAGCGACGCAGGAGAGGCGGCATCGATAGCCGTGCATTCTATCGACCAAGTGCTCTAAACATGTACATACATGTTGTTAACAACCACCTCGGTGCCTGTCTCGACGGTGCAAATAAAACTCTTTGACAATCACTTGTTCATATGAAGATGAGCTTTGGAGTGGAATACGGCGTCTTGGATTGGCATTGCAAGCGTCGACTTGGGCAAGTTCTTGCCGGGCATGTTGATTGTTTACTTTGGTCAAAGTGTTTAACAGCGATTTATATGGTTACATGTAGCCATTTGATGGCTAAGAGGAGGAGTCGCAGTAAACAACAACAGCGCTGCCACAGGAGGAAACTGATTTTTTTGTGTATCTTTATTTGGTTTGAGAATCACTATACACAGCGACTATTATAAAATGAAGCATTCAAGATGAGTTGTTGAGTTGTTGAGGTGGGTTTTTTATGTCCAGTGTTTGCCAGGCCAGTCACGTGACCGCAATGATCGCACCTGGCAACGCTCCATCGCTACCAAGTCGTGGATGTTCGTCTCCAAGTTGTTAGTGTCCAAGTCCCATGACGGGCTCACTATGGACGTCCCTCGCGGCTCCAGACGAACCCGCCATGCAGCCTCAACCGCCTCCAGCCAAGAGGCCCAGCTCCAGGCCCAGGCCCAGCTGGAGCTCGAGGCAGCAACGCATCGCCGAGGCCATCCGCGCAGAGCCGTGCAGGTCCAGGTAACGCCTGATGCGGCCCTGGCCATGGCAGCTGGCGCTCACCAGACGCCGGAGACCAGCAACGGCCATGACAGCAACCACGGCGATCACAGCAATCACGGGAGGCGCGAGATGGAGCCACCACCGAATCCATTCCGGCTGCATAGATGTGAGTTGATTTATTTGCATAACGTCTGATCAGTTCCTGTTCTCTTGTTCCTTTATGCATGCGCCTCTTGCAGTCAGATGGGCAGCAAGTGCTTCCATCTATAAGACAGGAGAAGCTGCTGAATATGAACATCCATCACCTCACTTTGGCGTCACCTGCCAATGACTTCATGTCTCGCGGTCTCGGGCTACTACTAGTAGTATATGTAGTATATTACAATGGCAGTCCCCTCTTCCTACTGCTTTTGTCTCGGCAGCTTTTCATCTGAAGTATCCTGCCTTGGCAGTTTGTGTTTTTCTTCTTTTTTTTTCGTTTCCCTCTGCTTCCTTCATATATCCTTCTTCACATCAGGGGACTGCCACTCTTTTAATTTTGACCTCTATTCATTCCTTTTTTCCTTCATTCGCTCATTCTTTCCTCTATTGCCTTTGTCTTGCCCTTACTTTCCATAATTACGGCCGCAGCGGCACCAGCACCTCCACATTCATTCATTCATTTGCATTCTACAAGGCGAAGCCGCCCACTCACGCTCGTTTTTTCAACCATGTCTCTTGTACAACTTGCCCTCCAACCTTGGGAAGTGCCGCAGGAAAATCTGCCTTCTTGTCAAGTTTCACCTCCCTACAACAGACCAACTGGAAGCAATCGCCGCCCCCTGCAGCCGCTTTCCATCTCCTCTACTGGCGCCATTCTCAATCGCAGAGAGTCGGTCCTCAGACCGTTTCCCTCCCCAGATAAGGAGAATTGCGATGCCACGGTGCAGGCCATCTCCCATCGAGTGGCTCACCAAACCAGAGAGATCAAACGGCTGTCGCTCTTGCATTCGCTCTTGTGTTCATCCCAGCAGAAAAAGCGTCGCCACAAACAGCTTCGACAGCGCAGTGGAATCCGTCAATCCAACACCGCTAACATGGGTCCAGCTACTCGTAGAAGCGCCAATAATCGCCTAAGTCTGCAATTTGACAGCGATGGCTCTGGCGAAGGCAATGGCACCGGCTCCGACTCGGATCCAGATCTTAGTCATTTGGGAATGACAAGGCGAGGCATGACAGCAGTCCTGGAACAGCAGGCGGACCAGATGACCTACGATGATGATGATGCCATGTCTCAGGGCCAGTACGACGATGAAGAGGCGAGCTTGGGCGAGAATGAGGACATTGATGAAAACGCCGCGGACAACTGTGACGATCAGGTTGAAGAAGTGCAGGAGGAAGAGCCCTTGTCAATAATGGATCCCGCCGTCTTTGGCCTCAAGGAGATTTCAAACTTGGGAAAGTTTACAGTGAGCAGCCATAAGCCAGGCAATGGAGTTGAACAGCTCCGAAATGATGAATTGACGTCATACTGGCAGTAAGACTATCTACATCTTTTTCTTCCCTTTCATCCTGCCTGGCTGATTCCTGACTTTTTGTCTCTTTAGGTCAGATGGCCCACAGCCTCACAAGCTGACCATCTACTTTGTCAAACGAGTGGGTATCCGAGACATTCGCTTTTACGTCGACTATAATGAGGATGAATCCTACACTCCTACGAAAATCATCTTCAAGTCGGGCACGAGCGAGAACAACCTTATTCAGTTCGCTGCCATGAACATGGAAAGCCCTGTGGGCTGGCAACAAGTCCCACTTACAGGTGTTGGTGGCGAGCCCGATGGCAACACCCTTGTGTCTTGGGTGTTACAAATGCAGATACTTGAAAATCACCAAAACGGCAAAGATACTCACCTTCGCGGCATAAAGATTTACGCCTTTGACGCTGATGCGGTGCAGCCCACCGAGCCGGATAACTCAGTCGATACGAGCGGTCTTGCCGAAAACCAAGCTGCTGCCAGACTGGACGACATTGCCCAGACATTGGCCGCAGCAAGACTCGAGAGTAGTGAGACGGGGTTCTCACTTCCTGATTTCATGCGAGATGCGGAGATTCGGTAATAGATAAAATTTTGCAATTCATTCATGGGGAAAAGAGAATATGATCAACTACGACTTCTTGTTTGCTTTGGAATTGGTAGAAGGAGAGAACACAGAAAGCGACTTGGTAGAAAGGGAGAGAACACAAAAGTTACGGATATGGGTGTAAAAAAAAAACATGGATTTCTTTTCCAGTTCGCTTGAAGATGGTATCATCTGGAGGAAAGACAAAAACGGGATATGGGTGGAGTTGAACATGAGGATATGTAGCTTGCTTTTAACACTCTGTACGATGGCTAAATGACTTATTAGAGTTTTGTTTCTCAAAAACCTTGACTTTTGCATCCACGTGCATTTTACTACTATTCGGTACCCCTTGCTCTATTAGAGGGCTATGCACCAGCCCCCCTTTTTCCATTCTTCGAGACTCTTTTGAGAAGCCCAATTCATGACGCGGGAGATTAAGCAGCACGGATAATGAGTGGCATGGCAGGACACTCGGTTTTTCATCCGTTGACAGCACTGCCATCCTTGGCACGCATTCATGGTATGCCTTGCAAACTGCCTATCTGCAGTCCGCCGCAGTTCAACTACCAGGCTGCAAAGCTGGAGGGATAGAAAGCAACGGTGTTCTGTGTGGGTCTCATTGATGTCAAGTGATGTTGTGTGGCTGATCCGGGTATGCCTGATCTACAAAGGAACTGAAAATCTAAGAACAAAGCTTATTGCTACGTAGGCAGTACGAGAAGCACACATGAATTGATGAGTTTGTACTTGTGGTGGCAACATTGGATGTGGCTACCGACCTCGAAATCAAGATTTGGGGCGTGGTGATAACAGCAGCTCAACTCCCCCAGTGGAAATGACAGAAGCAACAGCAGCATTAGAAAGGTGCTTTTGAGATGGATCTTGCGATAGAATAATTACAAGTATTATTCGTAATAATGGAGTCGTGTAAATATGATTATGAGATTTTTTTTTTTTTTTTTTTTTTTTTTTTTTTTGTCTTACAGTTCCCCCGCTTGTGCGCGTATATTAACTTGTGAGCTTGAGCTGGGATGTTTCTGTACATGTATGGATCCCGCGCCAAAGTGGATTGGATTGCCCATTCTACGACTCCAGATGCGGTAACTCGCCAGGGCCCCATCAAATAAAGGCTTGGCAGAGGCTTATACAATATAAGAAACGGAGAGAGATGGTGGCTCTGCCGGGAGAAGGATTTTGATTACAATACTATTACTATGTAGAAGAAATCAAAAAGAAAAGGCTCAGCAGAAGGAAGAAGGAAAGAAAACGCTCAAGTCGGCGCAGCAATGGCAACATCGGTCGTTTACAGATTTGGAAGAGGTTAGTGGAGGTACGTGTATTTGGGGTACTTGGTACTGCCAGCCAGAAACAGAAGGCTTCTGGAAACGCGGCGCCGGAGCAAATCGCAAAGCATGGCGCTGGGAGGATCGGGGGTTTCTGTCTTGGGTTGATCCGGTGCGTGATCAGCAGGCATCAGCACTTGCTGGTGCTAAAAGGGTGCTGTGCTGGAGGAGAGGGGGCGATTCTAGCGATTGATTCCGCTTGAATTCTTCATGTTAAACTGCACCACGTGAAGCCTGTCTTTTCTCTAGCGGTGAGTCTTTTTTCGCTGTTCCGACCGGGGAGTGCAGCTCTCCAAGCGGTAATATGGAGAAATGAGGCAGTGCAACAATCAGGTCGGCAAGGTGCGTTTGTGATGGCAATGCGTATCGAACACGGTGACACTTGGGTTGGGTGCAAGTGCATGATGCTTCCTTGAGCTCTTTTTTGATCGTGCCCAACGTCAACTGGAACTAGGTCCATAAAGCCAAGTGGAATTTGTCAGGTGCCTTCGGCCTGCGGCAAATGCAGCCAAAAATTCCAATGTTATCCAACGAAATGCGTCAATTCGGTCATAAAAAAGGATTCGAAAAGTGAGGCTTCATGACGTCCATGCCCTGGTCCAGGGTAATTCGGCTCGATGGCGCAGTAGTCCGTGACCCGGATCCTGGCTGCTCCGTCCTAGACTGGATAGACCTAAGCTTGTTGGGACCAGCTCCAATAGAAATGTCTTGGGGCTTATTCCGATTGAATGGACGGGGCTTCGATTTGGACGAGGCTTTTGTCTGGAACAAAAGGTGGGTGGCGGGAATTAGGGCGATCAAGCTACCGTCTGTCTGCTAAGGAAACGCCTGAGGGAATGATATCCCGTTATGCTCGCTTCCTTTGGAATTATCCTTGGCTCGGGACATCGTCATATGCTGACCACATGCCTGGCTGTTGTAGCTTGAAGACTACCCATTAGCACAGTATTGTATCGCCAAAGTCCCAATTCAGCTTCTATGAATAGCACCATCAGCGCTATTGTTGCTGAACATAGGTAGCTAGGTACAAGTAGATGGTTCTCATTGAAAGGACCCCAGCCGAGGCAGCGCGGAGAAGGAAACAATGCCATGGCCTAGTGGGGGTTTCGAAACAAGACGTGTCGCACTCCATGGCTTTGGCTGCATCTCCGTGCTTGTCGCTCGTTGAAACCGACCGGAGTCCATCACGTCACACCATGATTAGAGCTGCGACCGTACTGTACGACCGAAGCGAAGCAGCATGAGCGCCCAAAGAGGAAAGCCAGAAGAGGGTGTGCGCTAATAGCCGTGCAGCTGCATCCAGAATTGCAAATACTAATACTACTACTCAGTACTGCAGCAGAGCTTTGGACCCTTCAGGTCGCTGCGTTTTCGCCTCCCCGCACGGCGATGCGGTGCCGAGTGTGGCTCCACCCGCACACGCGCATCGGCGGAACGATTTCGACAGGGTTTGATCGGCTGTTTCCTCATTGCGAGTGTCGAGTAGCCAGTACATGCTCACAGGCACTTGGAGCAGATCAAAAGAGGAGAAAGTCTCGGGGCAGATGCAAAGGTGCCGGCGAGAGCTGCGCAGGTGATGCCACGGCGATGATGAGGCTGTGCAAGGACCCTGCAGTGTCCCCTTGAGGCTCGTCCTACCGCCACTGAGCGGCGGTATGTTCTGTGGTACCTGTAGCTGCTCTTTTTGGCAGTCCAGGTGGACTACGAGATGTGTACTGCATTGTCCATACCAGAAAGCATCAATGCCCAAGTGCACCTTGATCGCATAAGCCATTCCCATTTCCATTTCCATTGTCAAGGGCTTCGAGCTTTGCATGTACAGAGTACTTTGTTCGTTCTTCGCGCCTGCCATCTTCTGTCGCTTCTGATGAGACTGCCTAGCACCTACCCCAACTTCCCGGCCCCACTCCTGCGGTGCTCCTGCTGTCGACGAACCTGGAATGCTGCCACACCACCCAAGCTGCTAAATAATAAACAGTAACTGGACCAAGCGCTTGGCAAAAAAAACAGGGACTGCAAAATGAATATACACACATGCACGGATAATACGGGCACTGTGATCGTCAATCTGAACCCTGTGGGGCTGTGCGTATGGCGCATTTCTGTGTGCTTATAGTTTTCCAGTTCCTGTTTTTTTGCGCCGCTTGCGGACACAGACCTGCCCAGCAGTGGTGCTACTGTATATAAAGATCAGCTCAGCATCCCTTCCCAAAGGCTCGTCTCCCCCTTCGCACTGCTCACTCCCGCCTGCCGGATCGCATCGCAGCATTGATTTGTCCATTTCCCATCATTTCTGCCAACTTTTACTCCGCGTCTCCTCGACCACACTGCGGCTTGCGTATCGCCACCTCGAAACACCCAACACCGCCATCATGTCTGCTGTCAACGGCGCTGGCAACGGCAGCACCTCCAAGGCTGCTGATGTCGATGGCCTCTCGGCCCCCGGCTTCCAGCCCCAGAACAAGATGACAGTCCAGCCACCTTCGGGAGAAGACCTTCAGAAAAGCTATGCCGCTGTGGTAGGAAACGAAGCCAACCCCAAGGGCTGGTACGGTAGCATGAGTATGTCGCAAGCCACCTTGTCTACATTTTTGATATGTTGCGGCGTATATTAACCTAGCTTTCTTTATAGTCAACACTCTCGGCTCATGCATTGGAACTCTGGGTGCCATTCCTTGCTGCATCATCTGCCCCAACCCTTACAAGCACGTCAACCAGGGTCAAGTCGGTCTCGTCACAAAGTTCGGTCGTTTCTACAAAGCAGTCGATCCCGGTTTGGTCAAGGTCAACCCCCTCAGCGAGAGGCTCATTCAAGTCGACGTCAAGATCCAGATTGCAGAGGTGCCTGAGCAAACCTGCATGACCAAGGACAATGTTACTTTGCGCTTGACCTCTGTCATCTACTATCACATTGTGTCTCCCCACAAGGCCGCTTTTGGTATTTCCAACGTGCGCCAAGCTCTTGTTGAACGCACCCAGACCACCCTTCGTCACGTTGTCGGTGCCCGTGTTCTTCAGGACGTCATCGAGCGCCGCGAGGAAATCGCACAGTCTATTGGAGAAATCATTGAGGATGTTGCTGCTGGTTGGGGTGTCCAAGTTGAGAGCATGCTCATCAAGGATATTTTGTTCAGCCAAGACTTGCAAGACTCGCTCTCAATGGCTGCCCAAAGCAAACGAATCGGTGAAAGCAAGATCATCGCCGCCAAGGCCGAGGTAAGGATTACAGTCTTGTCATTTGGCCATTGTTGCCATTCTTTCCCTAAAGGGCGGCCTTTTGCCGTCAATATACGTGAAAAGTGTTACATAAGAGTGACTAACAATGACGCTTTCTTCAGGTCGAATCCGCCAAGCTCATGCGCCAAGCCGCCGACATCTTGAGTTCTGCGCCAGCCATGCAGATCCGTTATCTCGAGGCTATGCAAGCCATGGCCAAGTCCGCCAACAGCAAAGTCATCTTTTTGCCTGGCAACAGCCAGCCCCTCAACGCAGCTACTATGAATGCTGCGCTGGGCGATTTCGCTCAATCCGGCGAAGGTAGCACCAGTACCGCCGGGAATGCTCGCGATTTTGGAGGTCAGGACTCAGGTTTCCAACAAGCCATGAACGCTCGCGTCGTGGAAAATTTCTAGTCGTCGTGCCTCACATGAAGGCCTGCTGCTGACTCTTGAGGTGGCTTTGGTGGTTTAGCATGGTCCACTTGATTTCGAGAAGCGACATACCCCGTGTGTTCCATCGTTTTCAAAAACGCCCATCACTTTTTTCTACCCTCAAAACACCTCACTAAACGTTTGTCTCGCCTTTGCGTCTTCGACATCGCGGCTCGATTTATTGCTTTCGATTTACTTGTTTATACCCGCTGCCTGCACAACACTTTGTTTGTCACAGGTTTAATATTTTTTTTTACGCTCGTTATGATACCATATGGGGGTTGGATGTGGATCTTGGGATGTGAAGGATGGATATTTGGTTTGTATGATACCCAAGATACCCAGAGGAGAGTGACGGAAGATAGGTAAAATATTAGTAATTAATTACGATTCCAATTGCGATTTATTGGTATATTTATTTTGTGGCTCTTTTGTGGCTCTTTTGTGCTCCTTTTTGGCATGTATCAGTAGGAAGTTGTATGGATGTCACAGCCGTCAAGTATCTAGTGAAATTCCATCAACATTGATCAATAATATTTTTTGATTGAAGAACTAGATAGTACGTTCCTGGAAATGAATGTCACTTCCATGCCTTTCTTTCGGTTCCTCCCTTCTGCTAGACGCCCATGGCGACAGCTTAGTTTAAATAAAAAGAAAATAAAAGAAATTTAAACAACAGACAGTTGTAGCAAACAAAGACCAAACCACGCCTGTGCCAGAAAAGATTTGTTTCCCTCCCCCAACGCCAGCCATATTAACAGTGACAGATAGCCCGGAAGCCTCTCATAAAAAAAGAAATCTCAGGTATCACATATCTACATGACCACCTCATCGGTATCATGAGCCCATCCAAGCCGATGCGGGTCCTTAACCCTTTTGTGTGGTGACCTACTTCGCAGAGATAGCGGAAGAAATTATTGCGCTTTTTTTTTGTAATGCTTTCCCTCTCTAGATTTTTTTTTTTCGTTGTCTTAGATTTTTTGTCCCATATGTCTTCGATAGATGTTGCCGCTTCTCTAGTGATGTTGTACATATATGTAAATGTATGTTTGTATGTATGCACACATATGCATATTGTTCAATTGAGTCGGCGTTTCTTCGAAGCACTCTAAGCACCGAGAGATTCACGCTTCTTCTTGGACTTCTTGTCCTTCTTGGACTCAGTCTCACCGTCTTCGGCCTTTCGCTTCTTCTTCTTCTCTGGTGAAGGTTCAGCGGGCTCCTCGTCGTTCTCAGCCTTGCGCAGCTTCTTGAGCTCCTTCTTGCTGAGGACTTGGGGGTTGCCATCTTTGCCGAGCTGGATGTCACCGCGCTCGTACTTTCGCTTGAACTTCTTGACGGAGATGCCAGAGAGATCGGCCAGGCGCTCGTACTCCTTTTCTGAGAGCTTCTTGACTGAGGCCTCATCGGAGTCGTCATCGGAGTCTTCAGGGGCGTCTTCCATATCGACGTCCTTCTCCTCTACGACCTCGATTCTGGGCTTCTTGGACTTCTTGCTCTTGGGGGCGAGCTCGGCATCTGCGTCGGCCATGTCATGGTCGACCACACCGTCGGCATCAACAGCATATCGGCCAGTCTCCTTCAGGCTGAACTGTCCAGCAGAAACAATTTCTCCAGAAGGAGTGACGTTGGTGCCCTTGGGCAGGGCAGCCTTGCCTTCGAGTCTGCGGAGGTAGTTCTCAAGCTTGATTCGGTTGGTGAGACCAAGGGCAGCACGCTGCTCATCGTCCTCCTCCTCGTCATCGCCGAGGGCGTCCACACGGAGACCGAGGGCAACCTTGGCAGACAGCATACGGGCAATCTTACCCTTGTTCTTGCCAGTGGCCTGGCCGACGAGGGAAGAGTGGTACATGATACCGTACTTGGGGGTATCCTTCTTCGTCTTGAGAGCTCGGAAGAGAGCCTTCTCGGCACCGAGAATCTGGATGGTGGAACCGGGGGCCTTGGCCAGGCTGAGGACGGAACCGGCGTGAGAGATGAGTCTGGCGCCAACGAGGTAGCCAACAAGAGCAGTCAGGTTGGGAGCAATGGCGCGCATTCGGCTTTCCAGGTAAGATGTGAGCTGAGCTCGGTACTCGGTAAACTTAATAACCTGGTCCGCGAGCTCAACGGCGTTCTTCAAATCATCCTCAGTGATCTCCACACCCATAGAAAGTTCAGCAGACGCCTTCAAAGAGGCCTCGACATCCTCGGGAAGGATATCAGAAAGGTCGGCATCCTTGAAGTTGTCTCGCATGCCGACGGATCGAACGACACGAGCATAGGCCAAGTTGTCATTGAGGGTCTTGGCCATCTCGGGGAAGTGCCATCCGTACCATTCCTTTGTTCTCATAGCGTACACGTTGAGCTCCTTATCAATATCGTCGAGCATCTTGATGGCCTGGATAATCATCGAATCAACCTTGTCGGCCGAGAACTTGAGCTTGTGTCGGGACATTGAGTGCGAAAGACCAAGGGTCATGCGGTCAAGGACGTCTTGGTCGAGACCAGGAATAAGGGACGAAACGTGTTCGCGAACGGCACGGAAAAGGTCCATTGTGTCGGAGCCAGCCACAGGAGTGACATTGAGGCCAGGCAGGTTGGAAATGGCCGTGCCCAGCTTCAAATCGGCAACGGCCAAGGAAGCCTTCTTCTCAGCCTGCAGATCTTCCAAGAGCGAGGTCAACAGAGGAGGGATTTGACCCTGGCTAACGGCGGCGGCTTCTTCAAGAGCCATGGCGGCACTGTCGAACTTGACGAACTTCTTGAGCTTCAGCCTGTATGCGACCACTCGTTAGCATGGAAAAGAGGAACAAAGAAAAAATTATCGTAGAGGCTAGGTAGGTCGAGAGAAAATCTTACATCTCAATCAAGCGCTCTGGCTTTCCCAGCTCAGCCGCAAGATCGGCATTCTTGAGCATCTTCTTGTCGCTCGCCTTCAACAGGCCATAGCTGCAATTCTGTCAGTCCAAGTCCAAATACACGCGATCATCAATCATGGCGAGGAATAGGTAGCTGATGGCTTCGAAAACTGACCCTGCAGGCGTCTCTGCAAGAACGAAGAGAGACATGGTGAATAATTGAATCTCCCTCTGGGACTCCGGCGCTTGTCTAATGGAGTTCCTTCGTCTTCCCAAATCCCAATTGAGAGAGTTGTGTGCGTGAGGATTCAGGGAAGAGGCCGAGCAAAAAGTGAGTTTGGGAAATTTTTTAGTTGAAGCTTTAGTCTCCACTCCAAATTTTTTGGTTCTGCATTGGTGCTAATGCCTCTAAGTGGGATGGGCCGCCGGGCGCCGGCGCTACAGAAATTCCGGAACGCTTCTGGACCACTCACGTGCGAAGCTGTGTCACTGCGATTGCGTCTCGCTCGCCGGCCATGCAGAAGTAGTCCCGAGAAAGCAAGGACTTCAGGATAAGCTGAGCCAGCTCCTACAACATCGCTGCTGTCGTGCGTCACCGCTCGTTTGGCCACCAATTTTGCCCGTCCTACATACCTCAGACCATATACGAAGCAAAACAAGATGGAAGGCCTTCTATTCAACGTGAACAATGGGTGAGCCTTTGTTTGAGCCGCCTCGCTCTTGAGCTTTATTGACGGGGGTTGCAGCTACATCGAGGGCATTGTTCGCGGTTATCGCAACAGCCTTCTAACGACCCCAGCCTACAACAACCTGACACAATGCGAGACCATTGATGGTATGTATGAGCCCATGTTGGGTGGCGTCCTATTGTTAACGTTCCCAGACCTGAAACTGCAGCTTGGCCCTGCTTACGGCGACTTCCTCGCATCCCTTCCTCCAAACCCATCAACATCTGCGCTTGCTTCAAAGACAACAGACAAGCTCATCTCAGAATTCCGATATGTTCGCGCTAATGCTACGGGCGCCTTGGCTCAATTCATGGATTACGTGACGTACGGCTACATGATTGACAACGTCGCCCTGCTAATCACCGGCACCCTGCACGAACGAGATACCCGAGAGCTCCTGGACAGATGCCACCCGCTGGGATGGTTTGAGACCATGCCTGTGCTATGCGTCGCGACCAACGTTGAAGAGCTCTACAACAGCGTGTTGATTGAGACTCCGCTCGCCCCATACTTCAAGGGCAGTCTTAGCCACCAAGATCTAGATGAGCTCAACATCGAAATCGTCCGAAACACCCTTTACAAGAACTACCTTGAGGACTTTTACAACTTCGTCAACTCCCACTCGGAAATGTCTGGGACGCCTACTGCCGAGGTCATGTCTAACATCCTTGAGTTTGAGGCAGACCGCCGAGCCATCAACATCACCCTCAACTCTTTCGGCACCGAGTTGACCAAGGCAGACCGCAACAAGCTGTACCCGACCTTTGGAAAGCTGTATCCCGAGGGAACCTTGATGCTCTCTCGAGCAGATGACGTTGAAGGCGTGCGTCTTGCAGTTGATGGCGTTCATGATTACAAGACCTTCTTTGATGCTGTATCCCTGGGCGGCTCCGGCGGCCCCGGCAACATGGGCGGCGGTTCCTCCGATGGCAAGAGCTTGGAGGACATGTTTTACCAGAAGGAGATGGAGATTTCCAAGGATGCATTTACGCGACAATTTACCTATGCCATCGTCTATGCGTGGGTGAAGCTTAGAGAACAAGTACGTGAACTTTTCGTAATATCTTTCCAAAAGCGATGATGGTACTGACTAAATACAGGAAATCCGCAACATAACATGGATTGCTGAGTGCATAGCTCAGAACCAGAAAGATCGCATCGGAAACTTTATCAGCGTTTTCTAAGCGGCCCACGGACTAATAATGTACTTGTCTTGAGCAGCGTGCGAGTGTAGTATAATGTTGGCTGTTTTCTTTTTTTTTTCTTCCTTCTATTTTGTTCCGTATCAATTGCAATGGGAAGGGTTCATTCAGATTAGGCGCATATGGAAGAAGCGAACGATTGATGTGGGCAATCACGCATCCTCTAACGGGCTCTACTATACATATACAGATGCTTAACTATCCTACAGTATTTTATCTTTTGGGTCGTGTCTTTTTAATTTTTTTCCTTCCCCTCACATATCGATTTGTCCCTTCCATGTTGCTGGCGTGAGACCTAGCTTCTCAACCATGTTGGTCCATCTCTCGCTCCCTCTCTCTTTTCGCTCCATGTACTGCAACAGCTTCTGGCGTCGGTGCACCAGCAGTCTCAAGTTCCTCTTGTTGTGTACATCCTTATATCCTCGGTTGATTGCCAGTGCCTCCGACACCGATCTGATCTTGGCGGTCAGAATAGCAATCTGCACCTCTGAGCTGCCAGTATCCGGTCCAGCACGGCCAGGCATCGGCGTGGTGTTTGGAGAAATGGACAGCGGCTTAGGCTTGAGAGCGTTGTCTGTGTTGTGGCGTCCAAACTCATCAACGATGCGTCGGACGTTTGCGTGGAATCGGTCCCGTGCGCTGCCGTTGCTCAGGGCTGTGATTCGCTTCAGCGCCTCGACGGCCTTCTGGTGCTTCTGGTTATGCGCTTGCTTCCTCTCCTGCTCCGTAGTAGGCTCCATCTGTGATTCTACAACTCCGACCATGGGCTTCGTCAGGGCATAGGCGTGCTTGACGGCATCTTCGAGCTCCGCATCGGTAAGGAAATGGTTGCGCAGGCCGGGCGTCGTGGGCAGCTCTCTCGGCTCCTCGAGGGCATTTCCGCTCGCGTCTCGGGGCACATTGGTCACCGAGTTCTGGCCGGCTGAATCGAGAGACTCGAGGAACGGCGTCAGTCTGCCTCGTACGGGATCACCCCATTCTTCGTCTCGCTTCTTCAAGAGTTCGTCCTGTCGCTTGAGGTTGGCGGCTTTGCGCTGCTGAGCCTGTGCCCATTTGTACGGATCCTGCTTCTGCTTCTTCTTCCTTTCTCTCAAAGAGAGATTGGCCTTTTGAACGATGGGTAGGAAGGCCTGTGTCGCCGGTGTTGTTGAAGGTCGTAGGCACACTAACAAGTTCGATTAGCGACATATCCCACTAACACTTCTGAAGCCATCATATCCTTTTTGGCAGAAAGATGGTCTGAAAGATGAAGAACTCACAATTGACTGTGCCTAGTCGCTGTAACAGATCTATTCTGGGCGGCATTGTTGCTCCAGCAGCTGATCTTCTCTTCTGCGGGATGAAGTGCTATCCATCAACCCACCTCGACGGCGCCATTCAAAATTTCCCATCCCGATATCAATCTTGGCTGACTACTCAGAAGAAAAATGCCCCACCTTTTCAGACCGTCACCTTAGTCATCATCTCACGTGAAATCTCAAGACCCCTCTTCGGTACCTCGAGACGAGCGAAAATAGGCTAGCCCCCTTTCATACTAGCTCCCTCAGGGCTGCAGCGCACACATTTTTGGCCAAAAATTCAAGGTCCGCTTTTGCCCTCGCGAACTTTTGCGAAACTTTGCACGAAACTCGTCGAAGCCCCCATCGCCGGAATTCTCTCTCCTTCAACGACAAACTTTCTCCCCACCCATCCGAAGGAAGAATTCAAGTCAAGATGGCTCCCGCTAACCTGCCGTCCATTTTCAATGCCACCAGCCAGGACATCGAGATGCTCCTGGCGGCCCAGTGCCACCTTGGTTCTAAGAACCTTCAGGTGCACATGGAGTCCTACCTGTGGAAGACCCGTGTCGATGGTGTGAACGTCCTCAACGTTGGCAAGACCTGGTGCGTTTTCTTCTAGGAGATGAAGGAGGAGGAGACGGGAAAGGAGAAATACAGAAAGAAGCAGAGAAGTTTCGAGCAATTGGAAGCTTTTGTCACTAACACATAAACCTTGAAACGACTTCACAGGGAGAAGATTGTCCTCGCTGCCCGTATCATCGCCGCCATCGAGAACCCCGCCGACATTTGCGTCATCTCTGCCCGTCCCTACGGTCAGCGTGCCGTCCTCAAGTTCGCCAGCCACACTGGTGCCTCCCCCATTGCTGGACGCTTCACCCCCGGTAGCTTCACCAACTACATCACCCGCTCTTTCAAGGAGCCCCGCCTGATCATCGTCACCGACCCTCGCACCGACGCCCAGGCTATCAAGGAGGCCAGCTACGTCAACATCCCCGTCATTGCCCTCTGCGACACCGACTCCCCCACCGAGTACGTCGACGTTGCCATCCCTACCAACAACAAGGGTCGCCACGCCATTGGTACCGTCTGGTGGCTCCTTGCCCGTGAGGTCCTCCGCCTCCGTGGCACCATCTTCAACCGCGAGACCCCCTGGGACGTCATGGTTGATCTGTACTTCTGTACGTTATCGAGCAAATTATAAACTCCCCTTTGGAAACTCAAGCTAACTTGCAAAAACAGACCGTGACCCTGAGGCCGAGGCCGAGGAGAAGGTTGAGGAGGAGAAGCTCGTCACTGGCGCTGAGGAGGAGGCTCCCGTTGCCGTCGAGTCCGCCTTCCCCGCCGCCGGTGCTGGTGACTGGGACGCTCCCGCCCCCGGCTTCGCTGGTGCTAACGCCGCCGCCGCCGGCTGGGACGGTGCCGGTGCCGCCCCTACTCAGGACTGGGCCGCCTCTGGCACCCAGGAGTGGGCCACCGAGACCGCCAAGGAGAGCCAATGGTAGAGAAATCCTGGAGCTGCCGAGGCAGTCCAGGCTCAAGAAGCATCTGGACAGGAAGGAGAACAAGCACCGGGAGCTTATTCTTCGGAATGGTAATTTTGGCGATTTGATCATCAGCATCAAGGGCAACACAAAAAATGGAGGCAGGTTTCTGTTGGCGAGCTCGTTGTGCAACAGTGGAAGGATCTCGGAATTTGGGTCTAAGTGTGCAGCACTGATGAGGGAAAGATACTCTTCCTTCTTTCTCATCAGAAAGGGAGGAGGGAAGAGGGAAAGCCCTGTGCGGCCGCTGGGGTGGACTTGATCGTTACCTCGCTCAATGTCTCTGATTTCTTCTGCAGTGGCATATAGGGAAGCCTTTTATTTAAACAGCCGGTCGACCAGTAGTGAAAGAAAAAAAGATCTTAAACACATACCCTTTAATTGCTATTCTACACCTGTAATGTCTAATTTAAACTCCATGTGCAGTGAGTCTGACTTGCTCTAGTAACGAATAATTCACGTAGAGTACTGCAAAAGCTTGCCTTCCACCAATGACTTTATGACTTTTAAGAGAGAATTTCTTTATATTCTATATGCAACTCGGATCTCAGCCGAGTGTCGATTTATATATACTTTCATCTTTCAAACAAAAAGCTGTATATATATGTCCCTATACGCTAATCATCCCAAATTTATCCACAATGCCCTCCAGTATTGATTGGTATCTAAAGTTTCCCCTTTCCTATTTGTTATATCCTTCTTATTACTCCCACGCCCGAAAAAAACAAAAAGAAAAAGACAGAAGTCATCATGCAAGAAGCTGAAAAAAAAAAGGAGTCAGGAAAAAGAGGATTAATACAAGATCAACTGATAAGAGATTCATAGCCTGATCAACAGAGTAAAGGAAAAGGGAGTCTTGCTCAAAGTGTAGGTAGTAGCCAAATATTGGACAAAAGTAGTGGAAATAGTGATGGCAACATCGGTACTAGCCGGTGTTTTTTGTGCATCCGATTTTGAAGTGCGTTATGTGGTATCGACTTTTGCGAATGCCCTCTTATATAGACGGAGAATAAAACAAATAGAAAGGTATGTTAGATGAAGGGCAGCGAAGAGAATCATGCCACGCTATTATAGTCTTAGTCGTCAGTGGTAATAAATAATCTTCCACTTTTTTTTCCCTTCTTATGCTGCAGACTGTTGCTGCGGTGACAAATGAGAAGCCTTGTAATGTCTCGATCAAATGTGATGTCGTATAATTTCTATGCCAGAGTTGACAAAAGACAAAAGGGGGAAGGGTGCATAAGAAACGTTGAAAGTATTGTGTGTATGGTAGAGAAGTTGAGTTGCAGTTGGGAGTGTGTGGACTGCTTGTGTTATATGTTAAAAATCCGTGGTATCGACGTTTGAAAGAAAAAAGATGATCAATTGGCTGAGCAACGTGGAAAAATCAAAAGGTTTCGCCTATTCCAACGTCTTGGAGCGTCGTTGGATCTCTTCGTCGCTTAATGCGCCCATCCAGAGACATCGCTCTGTTATGCCCTCAATTGGTTGGAAAGTGTATCGAGTGCTGGCTTCCAATAGTCGCAGCATTGTCTTGACCACGGCTGCTCCAATGCGACATCTTTCAAAGTTGACCAATGGAGGAGTGGTGGGTGAGCTGGCTATTTCAGAAGCGCGCTGTGCATTAAATAGCAGGTCATGCGTGTAGATGCCGACGAACGGAATGCATCCTCCATCAGAACCGCTCTCCATTTCCGCTCTGAGGCTGTAAAAGTTTCGCGAAGGTGTAACAAGGGCCTCCATCTCGCTCAGCGTGTTTTGGTCTTTGACTGGAACCAGGTCCCAAGTCTTGGATAGACGCGAGACCTCGGCACTAGACAAGGCGATGGTAAGCTGCGCCAGAGTAGCGAAATTGCGATAGCGTCGACAATGTGCTGCAATGTGAATGAGTTTGATGATGCATCGAGCCCTTTCTTCAACGTGTTGAGTAAGAACAATCTCAGAAATCGCCCACTTGACCATGATATTGAATCGAGCAATAACAACTTCAACACCGTGAGCATTAGTCTTTCTCAAAAAGTCAACCCACGAGCGAGAATCGTTGCTAGTAGCATTCTTCCAATTCATGTCGATCAACTCTCTCCAGTCAATATCGTTCAGTGCATCTTTCTCTATAAGAGTGAATTGCTGAGCCAAGGTATCAGAGTCAAACGCCAGAATGAATGGCAAATGAATCGAATATTTGAGGGTGTTGGGCACTTCTGTCTCAGGTACCGAATGAAGAGCTTCGGTGGTATTAGCCCGCGGGGTCTCTAGGACATGCTTGGGTCCAGCCATGTAGGGAGAGTCTTGGAATCTGTCTGGGGTGAGAGGAAGGGGTTTGCTGATCCAAACTTGATCGGGATCCAGAGTTCTCTCCATGTTCATCATCACCGGACTCATCATTATTGGACTCATGGCTAAAGCCTGGGCGAGCGTCATGGGGGCAGAAGAAGAATCTGATCGAGGCGTAGCAATAGGATCTCCGAACGGATGTGGTTGGGATGAGACAGAAAATACGCCCGCTCTCTTGCCTAGGTCACCCGCATCTTCGTCTTCAGAGGGAGTAAGCTCGGAAGAAAGATCTGAGCCACCAATGCTAGCGTCTTCCAAGAAAGTTCGATCATCGGCTGGCGCAGGAATTGTCGTGCCAGGCTGTATCCTCTCAATGCTTTCTGTCTTTTCGACAAAGTCATAAGAAAGATGCGGCTTGGAGATGTGCAGAGCTATGGGAATATCCGAAGCTACAGCGTCATCGTCTGATGAGCCTCGAAGAACGGACCGGTCAGTCCATTCAGAGGCTCCCTTTATGCTTCGACCATCATCTGTTAAGCCCCGTTCAAGTAGAGGTATTGAGCAATATGACTCGTCCGAGTCACCGCTCAAGAACGAGCGCGCCTCAAGCGTAGCCGCCCTGCTCCGGGTTGTTATGGTATTCCGGCTGTATTCGAATTCGAGCGGCTGCTTTCCTTTGTCTCCAGAGAAATCTTGATCTTGTGGCCGGTAATACTCGTTATCCATGCCACTTGTTTCGCTGTGTTGGCTTTCATCCTGGCTGATGTAGGGTTCTGCCACAGCCGCCGCCCTTGCACCAAATTCTTGTGCGTCAATCAGAGCCCTTTGGTTAAGCCGTTCGAATGATCTTGGCTTTGGTTGGTATCTGCCCTCAAGCTTTAACAACGCAGACTCAATGCCACCGTCATCCTCATCGGGTATCTGCGCCAATTTTCGAGCTTCAATCTCAAACGAGGGACGCATGATGGGCTTGGACGAATGTGTACTAAACAGAGACAAATTTCGCTTGGGAGGCTTCCCAGTCAACTGGCCAACAGAAAATATCTCCTGTCTCCCACGAGGGTGGTCTTCCGTTCCAGCAAAGCTGCATTCGTCATCGTCCTGCTCTGGGTGAGTACCAAGAAGATAGGAGCTCCTGACAGATTCGGTATAAGTTGTCAAGGACCCAACGGACTGAGTTCTCCGCACCACAGGTTGGTTATCCATGCCGCCCACGTTAGCAGCAGCTCTTAGATACCCACCAGGACGCCTGCGAAGCACACGGGGAGGCTCAGGGGCAGGAGCTTCATATTCTCTATCGAGCATGGACGAGTCTGTGGTGGCATCAAAGCTTCGAGCTGTGGAGTGTCGTTCAAGATGACTGCCAAACGAGGCATGGCGTCTAAAGGAGTAGTCTGACTTTTGAGTGTTTGAAGACTGGTTCCTCTTATGAAATTGCAGCGCTCCACGGCTGAGAGGCGGATGCCGTAGAGTACCGCGGCGCATTGTTGATGTGGAGAATCGATTTGCATCTTCCGATGGCCCTACGCTGTGGGTGCGGCCCAAAGTCGCCATGTCTGGTACGAAAGGGGGCAAAGATTCCTCTGATGGCGGGCTGATGAGCTGATCGAGAAGATAGGACGACCTTCGTATTGTTCCGGCGAGCAGCTGCGCGGGCGGCGTTGTAGGAGGAGTTGGATCGCCGCCGACAGTTAGGAAAGAGCCCGCTGACAATCCCACAACAGGAGGATTGGGGTCGAAAGTGGCCATGGGCAATCTGTCACGTAATCCTGGCACCGTGTCGTCAATGATTACAATAGACTTGCTTCCGTTGGTAAGACCCATATCGCTCATAGGCCGTAGACCCCTATCCTGGAGCAAGTTATCAACTGTGGTAGACTCCATATGTGCGGCGGAATAATCCATAGGTCCATGGACGGCGGCTGGAGCCGGTCGGGGTGCACCAAATCGTTCTGCTTCGGCAGCTTCCTCTTCCTCACGGATGGCTCTTTTGAAATCTTCGGCCACTTCAGCGCCAAGGAGATCTATTCTCACTGGCGGACGAGTGCTGGTTGGGCCGTGGCCAGTCTGGGCAATAATGGTCGCTGCGGGCAATCGGTCCATTGCGATGTTGTGAGCACTGAGAGAAGTGACAGCGGGCAAGCTCGAATGCGAACCAGACGACCATTGACCACGATTGTTCAGTGCACGACGTACGCCTCCCAAGAACTTCTTCATTCCAGATCCCGACATGGCAACTCCAAAGATCCGATCTTTGGTAGCGTGGCGAGACGCAGGCTGGAAGATGGTGGTCTGCCTGTTGCGATCACCAGCGGTTGAATCAGATTCAATATCGACAAAAGGCTGGCCGGGTGGAAGAATGTTGCCTCGAACAAGGTTTCCAGCAGACTGCAGAATCATGTGCAGGTCGACATCGTGTGATGAGGAGTGATCGGAGCCATGGTCTCTCAAAGAATCAGTGGTGCTGTTATTGCGCTTGTGGCTTTGCGCCGGACGAACACGCTTGCCAGCAAGCGCTTTGGGAGTAGTAGCAATAGCTCCGGGCGGGAGGATAGGAGACGTCGAGTACACGGGATGAGCTGCAAGAGGTTGGCTGGAGTTTGGATTCAGAGACCTCACATTCTTGCTTGGAAAGGAACAAGACACAATGTCCATGCTTGCTATACTAAGAGGCGAAGACGGGCCATTTGCTGGGGTCGTGGTGGTGGTGATGATCTGGTGTTCAGGAGTCCCTGGACGATCGTCCAACACGACGAATTCTCCGATGCTGGCCGCCCCGGGGACAGCTTCACTTGGGTTGGTCTCATCGCTCAATCCTTGGGGGATGCCTGCCACGGCACGCCACTGTGGCTGATCCATTCCCTGTATTTCCCAGAAAGAAGGATCCAGGTCGGGATCTCTATATCCTGCAATGCCTCCTGGCGCAATTGGAACTAGAGGTTCTAGGCCATCGTCAAATTCGGGGCCATCCCAATAATGAGCACATATCCGTCGCCAACACTTCTTGAGCTCTGCCAAAATCTTGAGCGGAACTCTGCTCTGGTTCATATCGTGGGATAGCTCGTCAACAAAGTCGTTGAGCAAGATACAGAAGAGGAGACGAAGATTATAATCCAGGACAAAGTCGTCTACAAAGTAGTTGAGGATCCAGTGTCGCATGGCGACAAAGGTTCGAACCCGAACAATCATGCCAACCTCGTCAGTGCGTTCCAAAGCCCATACGAGCCTCGCCATGAGCATCTGGAGGAGGATCTGAGGCTCCAGGAAGGATCTGTAGGTCAAGAAGAAGTCTGAGATGAGTTCGTAGTCCAGAAAGCTTGGAGACGTGATCTCGGCAACAAGTCGGGAAGGCGTCGCTGCAGTTACAGATCCGTTGGGCGAGTACCGCACAATCGATTTATCGTCACAGGCGGGCTTGAATGTAAGCTCGTCATACATGGCTGGCCTGATGACAAGATGCGCAGATGCGTATGTAGAGGGCACAGGTCGTGGCACGGGAGCTGAGGTTTGTGACGAGGCATGTGAGGTTCGCGGAAAGCGAAGTTTCGGGATCACAAGATGGCTAGGTCTTGGCCTGGTGCCAGAGAGCGGTCCGCCGAGGCTCCTCTCTGAAGAATGGTACAAGGATGAGCGACTGGCAGATCGGTATTCATCGGTGGCAGCATAGGACGAGCCTCTAAGCATCGGGGTACCTCTAATAGAAAACCGAGGCGTCCCTAGCTTCCACGATGGGATGTTAATATTGAGTGTTGGAATACCACCAATATCCAGATCGGCTGGGTTCTCCGCTGTTTTGGGCCGACCGGCCTCGTGAGGCGGCTTCGTGATGACTATTCTGTACCCATCCGCATCGGTACTTGTTGGGGAATTAAAGTCGCGGATCGTACCATCCGACACCGCTCTACGGTGTTGCGTAGTTGATACGAAGCCACTGGTATTGGGGGCGTATTGTGGGGGAATAATCGAGGTCCTCGGCGTCGGGGTGAATTGATCTTCGTGATGATCCGTCGTCAATTTAGGCGGTCCGTCTAGGTTATCTGGATAAACTCCCTCCAGCCCGGCAGTTCCAGGTGGTGTTATGGGAAAGGTGAAATTTGGCTGGGGATATCTCTTGTTTGCACGCCGGACAGAGGGTCTGGAAATAGTAGTGGTTAGCCCATGCGGGTTCAGTCTCCATGTTCAAGCTCAGCCGCTTCCATACCGTAGAAAAAGCTTGCCATTGTTCCCGACGTTGGCAACAGTGAACTGACGCCCTTGGCGGCCGGCGGAGGCACCGTCTGGCGCAATATCCCAAGCGTCAGATTCTCCATCTCGTTTTCCCCTTGACAGTGCCCTATCCAGTGACTTCTGCTCGGTCAGGGGCACAATGGGTCGTCCAGTAGCTGAGGCTTTTCGCATAACCCGGGTTGATGGTTTTGGCGGTGACGCATCTTTCGCGTCCGATATGTCCCCAGAGGCTGGTGACTTGCCGTGGATATCATCTTGTGTTCCAGCACCTTGAGTTGTGATTTGTGATGTCTTGAGTGGTGGTACTTTGCGCCGCTTCGTCGACGGCCTCGACCGCATTGCGTAGGATGGCCGGGCCGCCACAAGGGGAGGCTCGGCGACATCCATGGCCCATCCAATGCTATGACAGGAAAGAGCTCGTGCTGCCCAAAGCTATCGCTCCTAGAAAAAAAGCAGAAATAAATGAAAATCGTCAGTCACTGAGAATTATCTTTAAGAGAGAATTTTCTCGAAGCACGGAGATGACAGTCGAATCGTGTCGCGACAACAAGTGGTACGGCGTCCAACAGCGTGGCAATCCGGCACAAATGGCGGAGGACATGAAAATCCAGTGGTGGCAACCGATGCGCATCAAGCAGGCCGACAGACGAGTCAAGGCAGAAGCTCAAGGACAGAGCGAGCGAGGCAAGTTTGTACTTACCAGCTGACGCCATGCAGGGACAAGATAGAGAACGGCCCAGAGCAGACAGACAGTTGGCCTCGCCCGTACCGCTCTGCGTTTGGTGGCTTGGAATCGTATCCGGGGATATCGCGTCGTATCGAATCAAATCGTGTATCGTCGGTCGAGTTAAGGTTGCGGCGTCAATGCGATGCGATGGCGGCTCGTGTTTGTGTCTTGGATCGGGAGGTTGAGTCGGCGAGTGGTCAAAACTCTGCGAAGCCACGGCACAGGGCAGGACAGACGCAGACAGGCATCACCGCGGCGGTACTGCAGCAGAGAAAGAGCAAGACAGGGAGCCAGGGATGCGGTCAAATGCGATCAAGACCAGGACTCGAAGCTTCCGGGGCCGTGTCGTTTACTGTAGGTGCGAATACTAAAGGCGGTATGTAGCAGCATGTAGAGGTACTGCAGGTGAGAGGACGAGATAATCTCTGGCGGCTGCAATCTTGCAGTGTCGTGCGTTGGTTCCTCGTTGGGGCCGGGATGGCACAAGCCGATGGGTTTCTGCCCTGCCGTGCCTCGCGAGGGCCGGCGCCTTGCCTTGGGGGGGAGAGACGAGAATTTGGCGGGCGATGCCTTGCGAGCGAGCGCAGGCCATCGTGGCCGGTACGTACCTGCGCCGGCAAATCTTAGTGCGTGCAGGATCCAAGCACAGTGGGCTGGCCGCGTGCGTCTGGGCCTGTCAGGGCGCGCGCTCAGGGCCTGACCCTGGCTAAGAGGCCTGTCCGCGTAGTGGCTGACGGGGGGGCGAGGTCTAGGTTCCAGCGGTCGAAGCCTCCCCTGGCCGGGCTGGGCGGGGGCGGCCATGCGCCTTCATGTACGATTGAGATGAGATGCCCGCAAGCAAGTCGCTGCGTCCGGCGGGTGGCCTCATTCGCCGCGCATTTGGTTACAGGTCGCATCGCCGTTGAATCGCTGTCGAATGCGTGTGCAGGAACTGTACATGTCACTAATCTACGTATGCAGCAGCGTGCAAAGGCACAAGATGCTCCGTGGCGATTGTGTACGCATCACAAGCACAGGCACAGGCACAAGCGACTGACAGCGCCGATGTCCTGTAACTGGCGATCCCGGAAGGGGGCGAGGCAGGCCGCGGCCCAAGAGCCTGGGATAGAGTGCATGCACCGCTCCGTAATATCGACTCCATGCACTGGCACTTCGACGACGAAACCAGGCGCTGGACGTCAATGCACGTCAACCGCGGCGTTTCGCACTCCAGGATCGGCGCTGCCAAGGGCTGGTTCCGACCTGGCAGCGGACGAGAGCGTCTGCCTCTCCACGCGACAGCCGGCCGCTTGCGTAGACGGCGATGGGCGCAGAGCGCGGCGTGTGAAGCTGCCGGCGCAACGTCATACATGCATCGTCGCAGCAGCGCTGTAAGCCTTTGGTGCGTCGATGATATTCGATGCTGTCATGGCGCTGGCTTGCGTCGCAGCGATACGACACACACTGTAAGCTGTTGGTTACACGACTGCATCTCTACTGCTAGCGCCTGGCACTATCGCACAATAGCATTGACGCACCAGACACAAGACACAAGATACAATGACCCAGAACTCCGGGAGAAAACCATCGGCTAGCACTCGTCAAAGCTTAAAGGCCAAATCGAGGTAGGTAACACCACCTCACAACCGCTAGTGCGGCCATATATGCTTCGCGGTAATTGCAGTAGCACTGATTCCATCAATACCTTTTTCTGCGTTACGAGGCGCGCTTCTTAGCCTCCTCGCCATTACTCGCCTGCTTCCAGCTCCCTCCAGTAAGAAGCCGGCCTCCAGTATCCAGCTGGTCGGCTCGCCCTGGCCGCCATGCGCGGTCCGCCTTCCGCGGCGTCCTACAGTAGGCTAACGAGAGGATTTACAGGCGAATGGCGCACTACTCGGTGCTAAGCACTGCTAGGCAGTGATGGCAGCTTCTTACGTGCTCCGTAGTTTGTGGAAAAGAGCGCTGGTAGCGACGGCAGCTGAGCAGGCGAGCGCGCGAGGGCACCCAATTCGGCAAAAAAAAAAAATGAGCACCCAAACACCGGCATTTGAGCTGGTCCAAGGTTGTCTTTGGAATACCGTGCGGTAAGCAATTTCACAGCAGGCGATGCCAGAGAGAAGGAGGGGAGAAAAGGGGAAGATTTGGAAAAGAAATGGGCCATGTGGTTGGTCCTGAACTGGCGTAAATTCTGTTCCCCAACGCCACGCTTATAGAACGAGTGTAAGCTCCATGTCTAAATACATTATGCTTTTGTACTATTGATACGAAGAGGGTGACATCAGCTTCGAAGCATAAAGTATATACTATATTTCTCACGAGCTGCAGCGGACTATTCTGTAGGTCCATAGCCCCGCCAAGCGACGGCATTTGATGATGCGCGCAAAGAGACGCATTGCGAACAGGAAATCTCCGTACTTGTACCTATCCGCGATGCACCAGTCACTGTTCTCTGCCTAATCTCCCTCCCCAACACCGTAGGCATATTCTGTAATTGTACTCCATACTCCGTTTTGGTACTAGTAGTAGTATACCTAAACGCTACAGTAGCATTCACAGAGTAACAACAACAGGTGTGGCCTGAATCATCTACATGTTTTTTTCTTCACGCCCATCCGGCGCCCCCCGGCCACCGTTCCGGGAACCCACCCGGCGTCTTCCTGGCCCCACAGCTCATCTCAAGTCACCAACGGTGGAAACCAGCCCAGCCAATGGACAACAGGCAAGATCCGTGACCATTCTCGACCAGCAGGCATTCGTCTGTTTTTCTAACGTTGCTTCCCAACTGAGACCCGTGGCCCAAAGGACGTTACCGGGGAGCCGATCATCAGCTCTGATATCAAGCGAGATAAACGCGAGGCCTTTTCTCGTTTTGTTTCCCATCTTCCTCACTGCCGAACAAACGTCTTACTAGACTCGGTAGAACACGAACAGCAGTGACATCCTGGCGCCGAGAAACTGGATGCCGGGTTCATTTGGGCTTTCTAGCAAGGCAGCCATGCTGAATCCGAAACAGCGGGAAATTCGCTTCATGTTCCCTTTTTTTTTTCTTTCCTTTTTCCCCCTTCTAAGAGTGTGTAGCAGGGAAGAAGAGGGGAGGCCTTGGACCATGAGACCCAGTCCATTATTTCTCGTCTCCAGATTTATTTAGATGCTACGCTCTCAAACGGCATGATACCAACTACGTGACCGAGGTGCTAAGCCCATAAATGCCGGAGGTATGGAGTAGTACCTATGGATGCCCCCCACGCCCACGGCAGAGTACGAGCATACATGAATCCAAGTAAGAACTAAAAAAAAAAAAGCAAAAAAAAAAAAAAAAGCAACAAAGACAGATAAGAAGACAGAACAGGATTCATACGCGCATCGGCTGAGAAACTTCTTTCCCGATGAGATGAGCAAAATGCTACGCTACTCCATACGCGATATCCCTTCTCACTTCTTCGTACCTGTACTCTCGACCTGATACGAATACCTTTTCCCCCCTCCCCGGTAGGGAGAAGAAGAGCTCAAACTTTGTGATCAGTCAGAAAAGAGAGAAAACAAAATAGGGCAACGCCATGCCATGTTGGCCACCTCCTCCCGTGACCCCGACTTCATGCTGTTGCTTTTCGCACGACCCAGGTACTCGGTGTCTAATTTGCTGCAAAGCACCGCAGCAGCCAAAGAGAATCCCTGCCCGGCCTCCATATTCCCATTAGCAGTGCTACTGTACCTGCTCCAACTGTTCAGAATGTCTCACCACCATCGCCGCATCCCTCGTATGCTTCTCTCAAATACCTGTGCCAAGAAAGTGTCTCGTGTAACAGCTGAAAGAGAATAAGTGGTTTAAACTCCCGCTCCCTGCGGCAAACACGGTACATGTAACTTCAATACCGCAACTCAATTCCGCAGATACGATAAATACAAAAGCACCAAAAAGCTTAAGCGGAGCCCCCCCCCCCCCCCCCCCCCCATCTCACGGTAATCAGATTCCGTGCCCACTCTTCATATCGGCAAACCAATTGCACGGGTCCTCAGACGATCCAGGCCACCCAGCTACCCATGAGCTTGTGCAGCTCTTCTAAAAATTCGGCTTTGGCCTTCCGTGGCTTCGTTCCGGCGGCTGCATGGCCCCTCCTCCATACCTAGAGAAATCCCGATCTTGTTATGCACGCCGACGATGGGGTTTGAACATGTCTACGGGTAGGTAAGTCATTTCAGCACCCTGCAACACCTTCCTCTTCCTACTGGCAATGATTGTTATATGGCTTTTACCATTTTTTGGGAGAGACAGTGCACAGTCGATGAATCGCTGTAAAGGACAATTCTGCGCAGCTACTGTTATGGAGATTTGATCTGCATATTTCGCAGTGGCCCCCTGTGTTTGTCAAAAGGAGAGGTCAGCCCGAAAGATTAGAGCTTACAAGTCAGGACATAAGAATTAGAAATAACGAAATGAGCGTATAGTCATAGGGAGTTGGAGATCTAGGAATGTTTGTTCCGGATCTTCTTTCTATTTATACTTTATTATTCAATATATAGTCTTCTATGACCAAGCCATTACGGCATCATAAATGTTCTTCTCCCGTTGTACATGTAATATTGTATGTAAAAGCGTCTAAAGTATCATCTCTTGTATCTTCTCAACCAAAAGATCTGATAGTGTTTCCACCACATTGCTGGTGCCACTTCCGGCTCGGGCTTCAAAGACACAGTCCAGAACCGTCTTGACTCCAACAGCCACCGACTCCGATCCTGTACGCTCTTGGATAAGGTTGATAGCTTGGTTGGCATCTGCCGAGTTCAAAACTCTGGATTCGTGGAGGACAACAGCCAGTTCGCGCAAGTTTGAAACTGCGGGCACAGCTACCTTTTTAGCGAAATCCTGGTCAACCTCGAGCATCTTGAGCACCGAGGCCTTTGATGTTGTTACAAAAATAAGGAGTCGATGACCCTGTCGATAAATATTAGCCAAGACATTCTAGAATAACCAGTTGATACAATTTATTTTCTTACCTTGGGAGGCTTTGACACGATGAGTGTAGTCAGGGCTTCGAGCATGACATTAGAAAATCGCGGTCCAATGGGGTTCCAGCCAATCAACCGCTCAAAATCGTCCAGAATGAGGATACTGGACGGCGATTTGTAGGCATCCGCAAAGGCTTTGTGAATGTAGTCCTTCTTGGCAAATTCATCTCGGTAGCCCACGAGGTCAGCCGGCGTCACGAGCTTAACAAAAGGGAATCCAGATTGCATAGCAATATGCGCCGCCAAAGCCGTCTTTCCGGAAGATCTTGGGCCATGGAAGAGCACAGAGGTGCTGAATTTATTGGGGTCTTCTTTGATCATGCCCACAACGCGCATCATCTCCTGAATGGTAGGATCGATGTGCGGGCCGTAAGGAATGATGCCCAATCTAACCGCTTCATCAAGTTCGGCCTCAGACACTCCGTAGGCGGGACGAACCTCGGTCAAGGCATTCATAAAGTCATCACGGTTTACCCTCATGTTCGCAACGTCATTCTTCACTGCCGCAAGCTGTCCCACTTCTGTATGTCGTGAGAAGGCAAAGGATGCTGCTGCCTTGACAAGACCGTTGATTTCGGCACCGGAATAGTTCTTGGTAAGAGCTGCCAGCTCCTCAAAGTTGACATTCGGGTCCAAGATACCGTTGGTGCTCATTTTTGAGGTATGAATCTTGATGATTTCCAGTCGTCCTTCTTCATCAGGAAGAGAGATTTCGAGATGGACCTCAAGACGGCCAGGTCGCAGAAGAGCATCGTCGATCATGTCCTTTCGATTGGTCATTCCAATCAAAAGAATGTTGTTCAATTGGTCGACACCATCTAGCTTCGATAGAAGCTGGTTGACAACACTGTCACCAACGCCAGTGCCACCGCCAGCTCCAGATCCACGCTGCTTGCAGACGGCATCCAACTCATCAAAGATGATGATGTGAAGGCCACTCTCATCTCCCTTTTCCTTGTATTCTTTTTCGGCATCTGCAAAGAGCTTTCGAATATTCTCTTCGGACTGACCAACAAATTTGTTCAAGACTTCAGGGCCATTGATGACCTTGGGCGGCCTGGCGTTGAGCATGTGGCCAATCTGTCTCGCAATCAACGTCTTTCCTGTTCCAGGAGGGCCGTAAAGAAGCATTCCCCTGACGTGCGGGATGCCCATTTTGGCAACCAAGCCAGGCGGGAAAACACGAGATGCAAATGCACGACGGAAGATGGTAGAAAACTCATCTCCCAAGCCACCAATTCCCATGTCCTCGAATTTGAAATCAGGGGCCAAGATGGCATTTGAGTTTGGCTTTGTAGCAGATGGCTTGAGGTTGAAATCTCCCTTTGCATCGCGGTGGAATAGAACCCGGGTCTGGTTGGTCAGGATACCTCTGGCATGAGATTCCCGCTGAATCTGTCTGCCTGCGTCATCTGCCGTGGACAAGTCGACCAAGCCAACGGTCTTGACGACGATCATGAGTGGGATATTCCGAACATCCATGAGGATTCTCTGTCCAGGGGCAAGGACCTGGTTTTGGAAAGTATTGATAAAGATTTTGCTCAATTCGTCTTCATCGTAAGGTGCTTCGGTCTTCTTCGTCGGAGAAGCGAACCCAATCTCTATATCTAGAGAGCCCAGGTATGCCTTGCCGCCAGACGCAAAAGGATCATAGACCTCGCCGGTGAAGACGTCTCTCATAGCAACGCCACACCATGTACGCTGGGGGTCAGACAAGCTGATGCAGCCTCGCGGGAATCCAGGAATAGGCGTGGCGGTAACGACGAACTCGCCAGGAGGCTGGCCAGCGCGGAGGAGGATATAATAGTCGGAGCGGTCAGGTCGGGGAGGGAAGTCTTCGGCAGAAACAGCACAACTAGCCCGGAATGTCAGGTGGTATTCCTATCTTGAAATGAAGTGCATAGCATCACTTACACGTTTCCGTAGATGAGTCTTGATTGCAGAGTCTTGTCCGCAACCTTCTCGACTTGCAATTGGACTACTCGGCCGCCACCGGACGGCCCCTTCTCGCCCATTCGCGACCTGCCCGGCGAGCTAGGTCCGCCGTATCCTGGTTGAGGCGCACCTGGATAGGGTTGATATGAGCCTGAAGAAGGCGGTCGCTGGCCTTGGCCTGGAGGAACTCGAGGATTGCCTCCTGGCAGTCCCATGTTGCCAAACATGGAACGACCGGGGTTACCGCCTGGAGGGGCTCTAGACATGGTCGCAGATGGTTTCGACGCGGTCTATTAGGAAATGGCTGAAACGAAACGACTCTGTTGTTGTATTTCAAATCTCTAACCAGAAGAAAAAGGCCAAATCGTGTGTGTAGTCGCGAGTATGAGAGGAAAAAGAAAGTAGAGAGAGATGTTGAAACGGCACTGGGCGATGCGTCAGGGTCAACGTAACGCCAAAGAAGCCATGCTGGAGCTTGTGGCGGGGTGCCATGTGCCTGATTGAGGTTAGTGGTAGTGTCATCGCCGTCACTTGGCCCCACGTTCCTGCTTCTCGCGGCCTTATCAAAGCAACTATGGGAGATGGATAAGTAAGAGTGGCGATCACAAGCTTCCTTGGTTGCTAGAAACGCAGCATTTACAAAGTCCAATATGCCACTGTACGTATCCTGCATTTCTTTCCTATATTTATGATCTAGGTGTCTAACATGGGTATGGCTGCAGTCATCTGTTAGGGAAAAAGTCATGGAACGTCTACAATGCCGACAACATCGCGCGCGTCCGAAGAGATGAGGCGGCCGCCAAGGCCGCTGAGCAAGCTGAGGAGCAGCGCATGCAAGAAGTCGATGCTCAAAGGCGATTAGCAATTCTACGTGGCGAGGTACCGCCCCCCATAGAAGACGAACGCGAAGCCGAATCGGACAATGCGAAAGACGCCTCTAGCGATGCGCGATTGAAATTCCCTGGTGGTGGTCGCAAGAGGAGAAAGCGGCCTGAAGAGGACGATACCGAGTTTGAGCTACGCCTAGCAAAGGAGAGGAACGATGCGACATATGCAATCGTGGAATCCAGCCGCAAACCGGTAAGCTCAGCCCCGATAATTGACCATGCCGGACACATCGACCTTTTTGGCGACGAGCGAGCGAGGGCGCATGCAGAGAAGAACCCGGAAGCAGAAGCGGACAGGAAGAAGAAAGAGCGAGAATACGAAGACCAGTATACGATGCGTTTCTCCAACGCCGCTGGCAAAGATGGAATTAGCCAACCTTGGTACTCCCATGGGGAAGGAGTCGCTCCAGATGTCTCTGCAAAAAACGTCTGGGGACGAGAGGATCCGGATCGCAAGACTCGCGACATTCAGCGAATCAATTCCAATGATCCGCTAGCCATGATGAAGAAAGGGGCCAAGCAAGTTAGAGAGTTGAAGAGAGAGCGCAAAAAAATACAAGAGGAGAGGAATGAGGATCTCAGACAGCTGCGCAAAGAAAGCCACCGCGATGCACATAGAGATAGGCATTCGGAAAGAGACGGACGAGACCGTAGACGGTATTCAGATACCAAGAGGCATGATTCAAGGAGGACGCGATCAAAAGATCGAGATTCGGATTCGCGTGGGCGCTCTGATGATCATCGTGAGAGGAGAAGGCATAAAGAGGATGAGCGGCGGAAGAGGCATCGCGACTCACGGTCGCGCTCACCTGATCGGAGGCGGCACCGACATTAGACACGATGAAAGATGAGATTGGCTAGGCAGATTAGCGGACTATAAAGGGGGGTCGAGGAATTATACCAAATGTTAATTAATGAATTATGATGATTATACCACGATACAAAATTCTCTCGCTATTATCCAAATCTATAAATCGCATCCCAACACATGCAGTGTATCCAAATTTAAGAATTCTCCTTCCAGGGAAGCTCTATCTCAACCGGCTTCATATCCTGCGCGACCATGTCCACCAACACCTTTGCATCCAATTTCCTCAGCGCCTCATCAATCTTCTGATACGTCGCCTCACTCAGCCCTTCCCTTCGATCACTGTAAATATCCAATCCCTCCTTTGTAAACAGCGTCGGCGCAAACCACGTCACGGCCCACCTCTCCGTCTCGCCATCCGCCGTCGTCTCTTCGCCGGACCCGAGAACCTCCCAGTGGCTGCTCACGAAGAAGAGCCACTTCTTGCCGCGCCAGTCCCAGCCGCCGCCGTCGGGGCTTTGCGTGTCTATGCCGGCGACGGACTTGACCACGCCGGCCTGGTTGCTGGGCTCGTACTCGACCAAATCGTCGATGCGCGTGCGACCGTCTGGTTTGGGGGGCAGGGCCTTGTAGGTGATGCGCACATTACGCGCTGTGCGCCACATGGAGAGGGTTGAGTGTGTAACGCTCCATGTTCTGATGAACCACTCGATGGGCGCCGTGGTTTGCGTAACGGGCTCGGACTTGGTAGGGGAGTATTTGGATGGCAGCGTGAGCTGGATTGTAGAGTTTGATGTTTCCATTGCATCTGATGGGGTTGGATGTGTAAGTGTTTGGTATCAGGATTGAGCAGAAGGCCAGTCATTTAGTGAGATTATAGCAAGGGATATGTAATTTATGACAGATTGGCGTTTCATAAAAGAGCAAGCATGGGAGGTTGAAAGTATTCGTACTGTAGTATACATGTAAGTGGTAGTTAGATAAGATACACGCAAATCCATGGACGAGTAACGCACGGCTTCATGAACACAGCCGGCAACTTATATTCGCATGATAGTTAGCTGCACCAAATATAGAAAATCTGTTCCTCAATAGCTTTAGAATAGTATCTATATGCGACAAAAGAAAGACGTCGGCTTAGCACCATGATTTTCTCCAGGGTAGCCGTACCTCACCATCTCGCCGACCAGACATGTATGGCCCCGCTTTATACAAAGCACCAAATCTCTATTGGAGGCTGAAAAGTGTCCACGACGCGTGACCTTGGATTGCAGCAAAGATTGAACCTACCATGAGCTTCTCACTCACCGCGGCATGAAGCAAAGTCTCATTTGAAAGACACAGTCTCACATCCAATATCCACTTCCACGGGCAGAATACACCGCCAAACCGCGATTTCCTTCATTTTCCGTCTTTTAGAGCGTCGTCAGTTTTCACATCCAGCTAAAATGGACATGCCCCTGGACGACGACGCCATGGCCCAGGCCATGGGCTTCTCATCTTTCGGCCACCAAAACCGGCCCCAGAAGCGCAAATACAACCCTCACGCCGACGCAGTCATCAGCTCAGACTCCAAGACCGCCCAGCGCGCGGCCAAGCCCTCCGCCACGGGGTCGAATTCCACGCCCCTCGGCGTGCCCAGCAGCAAGTCCAGTCAGGCCGCTGCCAATGCGGATGAGATTGACCTGGACGACGAGGGTGAGGATGGAGAAGGCGATCACAATGACGACGATATCGCATCAAATACAGCAGCTGGCGTTCCTGAATCTGCAGCGACCCCGGCGGCGTTAGTGCGCCCTCATGGGTTACCAGAGCGCCCCGTTCCAGGGACCGGGTTTATTGGGTCATCGGGCGGCCATGGGCACCAGGACGGCTCACGGCATGACATCTGGTACGATGGATATTACGACCCCAAGTCGAATGAGAATCCGTGGAGACGGCTGGAGGGATCAAAAGGCCTGCAGCCCGTGGGCACATGGCTCTCCTAGGGGGGGTCATTAAGCAAGTGCTTCAACATGAAGTCAGTCAGCTTTCCCATTACGGAGTACAAACGCCATATCGATTTTTACTTTGGATCAACTGCATTCGAAACAGCTCCAGCCCAGGAGGACCCGTTCAGCAAGGATTACTTACAGCATATTGGTATATCGCACATATCTCGGGCGCCCTGGTTTTGCGGGCCTAGCTTGGAGTTTATTGTTCCCATCCTATCATTCCCATCACTCGACCAAATCAACAATCACGTGATGTCTTCAACTAAGACAGAAGAAGCCTTCAACCACTAGGATCTTTCATACTCGTGATGGGATGACGACAGGTTTTTTGCTTCGGGCTGATGATGGCTTCAGTGTCTACGCTGGGACGGTCTGGCCTACGGACGGCTACGACACTGCGTGGACAAGGGATACGGAACATCATCACGTCTTGGGAAACTGGCCGAGCTGGCCTTCATCACGTCTTTCAAGACCGCAAAGGACATTTTATTGCCTACAAAAGCTTACAAACGCTCTCATGATCTAGCGATAGACTCCAGGGTGTCCAAAGAAACGCCAACGACGCCAAATAGAGTAGTACCTCCTTGCCTTTCGTTCCCGCCGATACCCAATGCAGCAATATTTCATCCCCAATAGGAAAGGCGCCCTCATATACGCTCACATCTCTGACTCTGCTCGTTTGCTCGCTCCAGGCCATCACACGCCCCCGGTGGAGAAGGAGGTCCAAGATGGCCCGGGGACCCTGCAGCCCCTCGTGGCTGGCACGAGATCGCCGGTTCGGTCCCCCGATCTTTCTGCAGCCTTCAGAGAGGAGGAGTGTACATTTCGGCCCTTTGCTCTGCCAGTTATCACAGATTACCCAATCATAAATCATTATAGTCGTAAGTTTCCCATTTCTCACCCCCACACCGTCACAGCGCCAAAATGGGGCTTGAGGTGGGTAGAACCGCCCGGTCGTAGGGCTGGTAAAGCAGCGGGAGATCTGGCATTAGACCCTGCAAGATTGCCGCGCGGTTCGCGCCAATTTCAACGTCAGTTCATGCTAGTGAGCGGACGCTCGCTTCCACGGCTGAAATTGTCCGAAATAATGTAAAATGTCGCCGAAAAAAGGGTGTAACTTTTGGTCGTGTATATAGCCGTTAAAGCTGAGAATGATGGAAGTCGCTTTTCTGAAACGCCGCAAAAAAAAAACCCCCCCGAATATTGATAAAAAGAAAGAAAAGAGAAAAAAGGGCCGCAATTTGACGCTTCTTTAGTTGTACTCGGGAGAAGGAAAGCGTTGGCGAGCCTTCGTGTACTCCTTGGGGTGCTTTCGCGCAGCCTTTGCGTTCAGAGCCCTGATTATTGGGTAAAAAAGTTAGCTCAATTTCTTCCAAAAGAAGAGGTTACTAATTCTGATCTAATTCTGCGGCTCCGTCGCCACCGTGGGGAGATTTTGAATTCCATTAAGAGAAAAAAAAAGGGGGGGGGGGGGGGTAAACAACTCACGAAACTTTCTTCTGGGTCCACTCAAGGTCGTTGCGGACTTCTCGCGCGTCGCGCATTCCCTCGGAGAAGCGTTCACGAGTTCTCGCAAGGCGAGCCTGAGCTTGCTTTTGCAGCTCCAGGAGTTCGCGGTGCTTGGCGTTGAGTTTGCCGGAACTAATTTACGAGAAACCACCAATTTAGCTTGATTCTGCCTAATGTAGGTATTCGTTTCAAAGAAGACCATGTTGAACAAAACAACATAAGCCTCTTTGAACTGAACAAGAAGGCAATGTGCGGGATCACATGCGAGTTTCGTTCGGGTACTTACGTCTGTGCTTGAACGGCCATGCTCCGGTCAAGAGGGATCGGGTCAAAGGAGTTAGAGAAGCGGTCCTGCATATACTCTTGGAAGTCGACGCCGCTAGCGGAGCCGGTGCTTTCGTAGTCGCCACTAGAGCTACCGACGTAGCCAGCAGAAGTAGCTGAGTAGCCAGAGGGAACACCAGAGGCGGCGCTCATGGTCTCATCGCATTCTGGGGGAGAGCTGGAGTATTGGCTGTAAGTGGGGTATTGGGTGGCCTTTGAGGGAACAGCCATGGGCATAGCAGAAGCTTGGAATGGGCCAGACATTGTGGTTGTTGAGATGGTTGAAGCTTGTTTGGGAAAGGTGATGAAGCAGACAAGTGTCCAAGTGTTGAGGCAAGTATAAGGCTTGGTATAGTGTTGAAGTTGAAGACTGCCGTCTTTATTTTTGAATAATATAGTATATGAGCTTGTTAAGACGAGTGAGGAATGCTGGAGAAGAGTGATACGAAAGGAAGAAGAAATTCCAAGCTCAACCTGAACACAATGGCTCCTTTTATACTTTTCCAAGACCCTCCCCGGTCACGTCGACCCAGTCCAAGGGATAAGAAAACATGTCTTCATTCGCCGGGGGCCGCCTATCCTCGACCCCGCCTGTGGTGAATACCTAGTAGGCAGACGAGCATGAAGCAATGGCGCTATCGCGGACGAAGACGACCATGGAGACTTGCAGCGTGTAAGCCGAGGGAGTACCTGGCCAGGGGGGGAGGCGTGGCTGTGGACCAGAAATCCTGTATAGAGGCCGAGTAACGCATTAAACCCAGGCTGCCATTTCCTCAATTCAACCAACCAGAATAAGGAATTGAGAGGCAAAAAAAGGTGAGAGAGACGGGGTAGGGTGGGAATAGAGACATTTCATGAACTCGATGAGGTAAAAGGCATTACTATATGGTGCGGTGGTGCAATGCTGAGAAATAGCTTGGAACTAGACCGAGTACCGCTACGGGCTCGAAAAGAGAAAAAAAAAAAGAGGACACTAGAGGTTTGTCCATACCCGCATATGCCGGGAAGAGGCAAAGGCTGCAAAGACCCCGATCAGTGGAGCCAATGCCATTGTTAGATTAGACGCGGTGTGTATAAGTGGGATAATCGAGCATATCGAAATCCAAAGAGCGGCGTTGCCAAGGTAGGGGTCGGGGATGGGGTGTGGGACGGAGCACGGAGCGTGATGACGGAGTCAATCTGAGCGTGGGATATACATGGAAGTAGGGCAGACGATTTACCGGCAGTAAATGAAAAAAAGGCCATGGCCGGATAAGTGTCCCTAGCCAGGCAGAGTAGAAAAGGGTGGCAGCACTAAGCATCTGGGTCCAACAACAAGGAACCGATGGAGACAGACACACGGGGCTCTCTCATGGGGGCATCAAAAAAGGGCTTGTCTTTTGCCTAGGCGAGGCAGCGTGCGTGCTAGGCCTACAGTACATGTGCTTTAGACACGGCCAGGATAAGGCAGTGGAGAGGCGGGCAGGATATCTGCAGGCTGAGGACACGCCATGTCGTGGACTAGACGGTACGAGATGGGAAGGAAAGAATAAAAGGCAGCACGGAAGAGAAGAGGGTGGATCACGGAGCTGCATAGCTGTGACAAGGCGGTCGATTCAAGCGGCTCTGGCTCTGGGGCCGTGTTAGCTGGTGTACACTGCAACGTTGGCTGGGAGTAAGAGAAGTAAGAGAATCGAGTCAAAAGGGCCGTTCTTGTTAAACAAGCGCGGTGACGCTAGTTCGACGCGAAAAAAAAAAAAAAGAAAAGAGAAAAGGCGTCTGGTGTGCCAAAAGCAGCGCTGGATTTCTCTCGTTGCCCCTGCGCATACCGAAAGTTTGATGGTTGGCTGCTTTTTTCCACGACGCCACGAGGGACCCATCCGGATCCCAGCGTCAGAGGCATCTTTTGCTTGGCCCTGGCGCGATGCAGAACCAAGTGCGGCGGACTGCAGGACGATCTAGGCAAGGCGTGGCAGCGGGTCAGGCAGGAGTGCAGCATTTCTTTTTAGTTATTTTTTTCTCTTCTCTTCTTTCTGCTTGCTGCTTTTCCCCTTCGTTCGGCTCCGCGCTTCTTTTTGGCTGAGGTGGTGGTGATGCGTTGTCAAGATATCCGCCAGAGCATGTTCCGAAAGGGACAGGATTGATGCGGGTGGGAGTGGCTGCAGTAAGACAAAAGGCGCTTGCCCCAGTGCTACCACTAGAGATGTACCTACTGTACGTTTTACTGTAATTCCAGTCTGGCTTTGATATTCACGGATGATGGGCAGTGATTGCATTTGATCTGCTATTGGCTAGATACTACTACTATACAACATGACTCTCTCGATACATGAAATGAATAATTCTTAGCCGGAACAGATCCCCATTGGGTCTTTCCCCAGAAGCAGCAGCAACCTGCATCCCTTGAACGCTACCTTGTGCTTCTGCCGGCATTGGCAAATACGATATGCAGCTTACAGGCGTTGATACGCCGCGCATCCCTTGCCTCAGGTGGTGCTGGCTGCCATGTACAGGCGTGCAGGCATGGGGTACTGGGGAAGAGAGAGAATCGCCGATTAATTAAATAAATTACCTGTACGCTTTACTTTTATATGTCGACCTAGTGAATACTAATTAAGTATTCAATTATCAATTAGAGTTATAGCACCATGGCTGCTCACCGCCAAGTGCAATCATTATCTTCCACAGCACCTGATGAGCACAACTTACACAACTTTTTTTCTTGACCGATCCTAGGGGGGCCACCTGAACGCAAAAATGCTAGTGGCAGACTGTCCAAGTCTTTCAGCGCCGCTTCTTTTTGGCCAACATCCATCTTGGGTTGCACTCAGGCTCCGGACCCCGCCGCCCTCTCACTGGACATTATAAGGACCAGGACCGTCGACAATTCAGCCCAGCCGAACCTAATTCGCTCAGGCCCTTTTGGCATCGCCGCGCTGACGGCCATTGGCTGAAAATGGGTCATCAAAACGCGTCTTGTTGGAAATCGGTGAAAACGATGGTCGTGACGGCCTTGCCCCTCCCCCGCTATGGCATAACCGGAGCTCTTGTCATGGGCCAGACCAGCATTGCAGCGTCGCCCGGAACCAGTCGAGAATCGTCGACCACGTCAGTTCTTCTGTCAAAAAGTTGCCACGTCCAATAGACGAGGAGCGGACATCTTTGCCATGGCATAGATGGTCCTTGCTTCTCCCCCGGCCGACGCCTGGGGCGTACACCTACCTGCTTGCCTGTCCTGTGGAGATGAGTGGATTCACATGAGTTCGTCTGCTCCAGGTTGCTTTTCGGTGTGTGTGCAGGGGGGTGGTTTGCCAGTCGAGCTGCAGCTCCAGCGCATCAAGCAAGCAAGCCTCCTTTTTACATACATTCTTGTACGGGCATAGGCGTGGACGCCGCGGATGGGGGCCGCTCCCAAGGAGCCCAATAGAAGCAGAGGCCCCCAGCCCAAGATTCCCGAGATATCATCATTCATCCACCGCCGGGTGAACGCAGCATGCACGCCCGACGCGCCCCGGCTGTCCCCCTGCAGCGCCGCTTGGGGCAGACATCACGCTCTGCCAGGCTGCAGCAGTAGGTACCCATGGATGTTGCACATGGACGGATGTACTACTCGTAGGTACTCAGGAGACCTACCTGCTCTCCTATGATGGCATCTAAGAGGCATTAGTATGTACTGATAGACGGTAGTACTAGGGCCATTGGAGGTGCAGATATGAAAATCTGACGCCGGGGCTCAGCTGTCGGACGTCCGATGGCTTGATAGCTTGATAGGCCATTACCCGTGTCAACGCTTTTACACATGGCCACGAGAATGCCTGACACAAAGTAAATCTGGAACATGGTGTCTGGGTGAGACAAAGCAGTGCTGTGTGACACCAATTGACTTGGTACTCATCACAGGCACGCATTACGCCGCTTTCTGCAGATGATTTGACATGTATAACGCTGATACTTGACGGCCAGTTGCTACGTGCACTCGTATACAAAAAAAGACTCTTGTCAGTCAGTTACACCATCCTCGAGGCACGGCTCAATGAAGGCAGCTTTGCGCCTTATAGTGTTTTACTTGCCTCGCAAGTATCAAGTTTCAAGTAAATGGGTAATGAATCTGGCTCCAAGAAGCCACGCTAAACTAAGCCAATGGCTCTGTTGTGCATGAATGTGGCTTGTTGAGATGGATCATGGCCTGACAAAGGTTGGCCATGGAGATGGCGATTGAGTTTTTCTATGCATGAAGCTGCGGGCTTATACCACAGCACGTCGGCCGACGACCTGGAAGAAGATGGCCGCTAGATGATTCTTATTTGCTCATAGCGTCCATCTAGGGATGAAACCAAGGCAAGCTGGGCTCTTCTTCCAAGGGAAATGTAAAAAAGACAAATTGATGCCATTGCAAGGCGTTTGGGAGCGTACAAGGCAACGAGTGATGTCTCGAGATACGTACCTACTAGGCCTAGAATACTAGTACATCCTCATAGGCCACGGCCGTGCAAATCCATGGAGAAGATCAAGTCGCTTAACACGACAAGGGTCTCCTAAGGCGCCACTCTAGGACGTCGTGGAAAATCCCCAAGAACCAGCCGAAAGGGGAAGAAATGGAGTTGCAGTCTGTAGTAGTTGTACCCTCCCCTCCCACACGCCCCCTCCTCAACGCTCCAGGAGCCTCTCCCGAAAGCCTGGGAAGAAGTATGTGTTGTCAATGGCAAGCGGGGATCGTGGCATCGACCAGGGGCCGACGTTGCAAGAATGATACGGTGGTAACAGGCAAGGTGAACTGGAAAAGGACTACGGAAGGCTGAACAAAAGCCAAAAAAAAAAGAGGCCAAAGATGAGAGAGTCAAGAGAGAGAGAGAGAGAGAGGAATAATATGAAGCATTCAAGTATTCAGGGAAAAAAAGCATAACTGACAATGTTGAGCAAGCAGGGTAGAAGAAAAAGAACCGCGAAAAAGAATAGATCGCCCAATGCTTTGTCTGCATTGCAATTGAACTCCAGTCAATGGCTAACACGCACCCCCCTCTAAACAGCCAACAGGACAACGCATCAAAGGATTTCCAAGCCAACATGCCATACTCGACCAAAACTAGGAATTATAAAATAAAGAGATTTTTTTTTTTCAATTTTTTTTTATGCATTGCGTGTTAACCTGACAAGGAAGGAAAATCGTGAGGGAGCACAAAAAACCAGACCACCACTACAATTTTTTTTTTCTCTCGTTCAAGGCTGCTGTTTTTGTGTACGCTGAGCTGGCAGCGTCCCCCCCACCTCAGCCATGTCTGTCAGACTCGCTTTTTTCCCGCGAGAAGAGGGATGGGACGGGACGCGGAGGGCTTACGGGAAAACGGGTGATTATCATTATTTATTTCTCTAATGAGAAGATTACGGGTTTCTTATCAAGGAGTAATTAATGGAGTGGGAAGGGGGAAAAACAGCAGGTGGAAGTACTAGGGACGTGTTTGGAAGCTTTGAGACGTAAACTGGTATAGAAAGCAACAGTTTACTAGCCCGGGCATTTTGATGCTCTACACAGAAACATGGGAGAGAAAAAATGGAACTAACATTTAAGAAAAGAAGCCTAAGAATAACACTTGACCCAACATTATTTCGTAACACGGGCAATTCCATGTGCTAGCTTTCTCGGACCTTCACTCATGCATGTGCTACCTACTTCATCAATGGGCATCAGTGCAGCTGCGGTGACTTGATATCTGCACGACATCACCGCAGCATGAGGCAATAGTACTACTGCTGCACGACGACTACTAGGTTTCTCGTATGGTGCGTATGTGAGCCGGGCTATTTTTTCCCTTTATTTCTGCTGCAAGCCGGCTAGTTGCATGCCTATGCAGCCCAAGCAATAAAGGGCCGCAATTGTATGTGCGTATTGAGCTCGTTGAGCATCTACGCCTGCTTCTCTACACGGCCGGAGTTTTGACAAGGTAGGTTTTATTTAAAAAAAAGATATGGAATATTACTACCCGCTAATATGCATTTACTCAAATTACTGCCCATCTTGGTGCTCTTGATATGTTGGATTAGGTGTCTATCTACTCTATCTGAAGTGCCTAGCTGTAAAACCAATCTACCTGCTCAGCGCAGCCGGCTAGTGAACAATTGGAAACCGAGTACCAGAATCCCAGACCGTCGTAATATAGAACAATAAAACCTTACAAGTGGAGAATGTTGCGTTATATAAAGGGGGACGAAAGATGTAATCCTACAAATATGTAGTATTATAAAACAAATGAACAATAACAAAACAAAGTAAATAAGCCGCCTTCTATACACACAGAATGTACCTAGCCAAACAGTTTAAGGAATCCCCAGATGCCGAGTCCGCTAAGCACTGGGATCGTCAGGTTATCGTCCCATCCGAACAGGTCAGCCACCTCACTGGCCGAGGCGACAAAGCCAGACCAGACGCTCATGATGCCCAGAGCCACAGGGCCAGAGACAGAGGCCAAGCTCTCTGGCAGGCCGACTGCCTCAGTGAATGCCTGTGGCAGAGAGAGAGTGCCCTTGAACATGAAATTCTCGTCACCGGGCATGGGTCCGATGGTGGGGACGAGCCATCCGTACCAGAGGTAGGAAGTGGCCACGCCAACAATGAAGGCGGCCAGCGATCCGGCGAGGGACTTGCCGCGGCGCAGCCTCGGGGTATATTTTCCCCAGAGTCGGCCGAATGTGCTGGCGGCCGTATCGCACCAGCTGAGTAGCAGGACGGCTATGACGCCAACGTCCTTGGGGAAGAAGTAGAGAGTGATCCATGCGCCGAGGAGGTAGAAGATGACGCCGTTCCAGCCCGCGTACTCGCTTTCCCGCATAAGGGCGCCGAGCACCTTGACGTAGACCCGGTTGAAGGAGGCGTATCGGTGCCGCAGCCAGTCGACCGTTGTGATTGGGATCAACGCGCTCATCAGATATGGCGGCACGGCGCTGGTCTGAGTGCCAGAGCTGTAGAGCCAGACGACGAAGAAGCCGATGGAGACATGGAGGACCTTGCGCGGGACCTCATGCTTGTGCACAAACGTCCGCCAGTGTCGATGGATGGGGATGAGGCCCAGAGGACTGGGGCTCCGGCTGAAGTCGCGCCAGCTCCATCCCGTCGGCGTCGCAGGCAGAGGAGGCGCCAAGTGGCCGTTCGTGGTGGCCAGTCTGGTGGCGGTAGTGGTCGCCATGATGCCGTCCAGCTCAAGCTTTTGCGATGTCGAAGTCTTGGACGTCTTGGGTGTCATGCGAGGGACGCCGCGCGAGTCGATGGGCGAGCGGCTTCTTGTACGGGATCTCCGGATGCCGGAAGCACTATCGAGGTCCTCCTCGTCGCTCAGCTCCTCCACCGCCTGCTGCGTCGGGGCCTTTCTTCGACTCCGGGTCATTGGGCCCACGTAATCCTGCACGTCTCGTTCTGACGGTGTCGGGCTCGGCGAGATGATGCGAGGCGTGTCCGGGACGCGGCGGGCGCCCGACTGGCGGCGGAGCGACATGGTAAAGGTCGCGGGAGGCAGCGCAGGGCAGTAGACAGCACCGACGACGAGGCGGCGCAGCGATTCAAAGGCCGAGGGCCACAGGGACCAATGGTGTTGTGCGTCGTCTCTGTCCCTGCGCGAGAGGCGTGGTGCGGCGATGCTGCTGTGGCTGTGGCCGTTGCTGCTTCTGCTTCTGCTGCGGCTTCCGTCGTCGCTGGTGCTGCACGGGCTGAAGAGCTCAAACAGACTGCGGCCGCTGCTGTGCGATGACGAGGGGCTGACAGGGGACAGATTGACGGGGCGAGTTGGGGTCTCCAGGATGAATGATGGGTTTAGCAGCGATGCGGTAGAGGCCAGGTCCTCTGCCACATAGTGCGCTTCGATAAGAATAGAAAGGAAGAAGGAGGGGGAAAAGAGATAAGTAAGGCTTGGAGGCCAATTATCCTGATTTGTCGTTCAGCATAAAGAGATAGAGCATCAGGCGGGATAAACCTGTGTTTCGTGTCGTCGTCGGCGAAGCGTTAGGCCGTGTGTTTTTACATTCGTACATGAAAAGCTATAGCGGTCCTATCAAAGGCGAAGTTTTTTTCTGCCCTCTCCCGTCATGCATGCAGCCTCACCAAAAAGAGTACTGCCACACAAGGTCACTTCGGCTGTGTCGTGTGCTTTTTTCTTCTTCGGACGTGGCGCCGCCGCTTCTGCTAGGCAAACTTGTTCAAACGGGCAGCATGTGACCCGCCAATCTGATCATTTTGGTGCTAGAAAGAGAGAATTTGCGCCACGTTCCGGACGTCATCCGGGGGTCCTCTTTGTTGGGGCCGCGATTTGCGATTTTGTTGGACTTTCACGTGCCGATTTTGGTCTTCTGTCGTGCTTTGTCTTTTTTCTTCTTTTGGCCGGCAAGGCGGTCTTCGGAGCCGCAAGAGTCCCGCTGTCTCATCTTTCGCTTGCTACAAAAATTTCCCTGCATGGCCAGATGCACGGCTTGCCACTAACGGTTAGGCAGATTGGCAGATCAAGGTTTATTGCTCTCGGTTTAGCGCCGAGATTTTCAAGCTTGCTTCACGTGGCGATAAGATAAGATTTCAAAATAATTTCTGAGATAACCTCGATTGTCACGACGATAGCCGTAGTCATGTAGCGCTGGCAAGCATTTTCGGCAAATCTAGATATCATGGCTCCTGGAAAAGTTGCTGTGAAGAGAGACCCCAGGGCTTGGGGTGGCTTAACCCCCCCGTTGGCAGAATGGATCCTTGATGCCGTATCTAGCATGGGATTTAAGCAGATGACACCAGTGCAGGCTGCGACTCTGCCTCAGTTTCTGGGGAACAAAGATGTGGTAGTTGAGGTGGGTTTACCGGCATTTTCCATTCCCTCTCTACACAAACTTTTTATACTAACTCAATTGGCTGCATCGTAGGCTGTTACTGGTAGTGGAAAGACATTAGCCTTCTTGATTCCCATTGTACAACGATTATTGCGCCTCGCAGAGCCCACAAAGAAGCACCATGTCAGCGCAATCGTCATCTCACCTACCAGAGAGCTCGCCGCCCAGATCCATACGGTCCTCCTCTCCCTCCTCGAGTTCCATGCGCCATCTGCCGAGATTCTACCACACCTCAAAGGCGAAGACAAGAGGCCTAGCAGCGCAGTGCCTGCCATTGTTCCCCAATTGCTAGTCGGAGGAACCACCACGCCCGCGCAAGATCTCAGCTACTTCGTCCGACACAGTCCGAATCTTCTCATATCCTCCCCAGGCCGTCTCGTCGAGTTGCTGGCCTCGCCCCATGTCCACATCGACCAGTCCTTCGAAGCACTTGTCCTCGACGAGGCTGATCGACTGCTTGATCTCGGCTTCAAGCAGGACCTCCAAACGATTCTTTCACATCTTCCCAAGCAGAGGCGGACGGGCCTATTCAGTGCCAGTGTCAGTGAAGCTGTTGGCGAGATTATCCGCGTCGGGTTGCGCAACCCGGTGAAGATTGAAGTCAAGGTGAAGATGAAGGATGGTGGTGGAATTGTGGAAGACAGAAAGATTCCTGCAAGTCTTCAAATGTCATATCTGGTTACTCCGGCTAGCCAGAAGCTGCCTGCCTTAGCGCAGTTGCTGGAACGCCTACCTATACGGCCTCTCAAGAGCATTGTCTTTCTGTCTACTTGCGCCGCCGTAGACTACTTTCAACACACTCTTCCTCAAATATTGCCCGAAGGCTTTTCGCTAGTACCTCTACATGGCAAGCATCCAGCTAAAGTACGCGAAAAGAACTTTGGCCGCTTTTTATCTTCGGTGTCTCCTACAATTTTATTGACAACAGACTTGGCCGCTCGCGGTTTGGACATCCCGCAGGTTGATTTGGTTGTTCAGATTGATGCCCCATCCGACCCCAAAGTATTCATACACAGAAGTGGAAGAGCTGGTCGTGCAGGCAGAAAAGGCCTGGCCGTGGTCATGCTGCACCCAGGACACGAGGAAGACTACGCCAGATTCCTAGAGATTCGCCAAACCCCAATCACACCACTATTAAAACCTTCAATCTCCGTGACAGAAGATGGAGCCCGAGATGCGACATCAAAAATCCGGACACTACTTCAATCAGACAGAGCGATCCACGATAAAGCCCAGAAAGCTTTTGTTAGCTGGGTACGAAGTTATGCAGCGCATCAAGCGACATCCATTTTCAGAGTTAGCGATCTGGATTGGGCAGATCTTGGAAACGCATGGGGGCTTCTTCGCCTGCCCAGGATGCCCGAGCTGAGAACTTGGAACGGAGACAAGATGCTGGGGGTTGAAATGGACTGGGATGAATTTGCCTACAAGGACAAGGCACGGGAGCAGGCCAGACGAGAGGCCATGGCAGCTGATACGAGCGGAGAGACGGCAAAGAGAGCTGCTGATGCCAAGCGGAAGAGGAAGAACAACGAGGCCTGGAGCGGAAAGCAAGAGCAGGAAGAGCACCGGACCGAGAGACGCGAGAAACGGCACAAGAAGACGGAGGCTAAGAAGCTGGCAACGATGACGGATGATGAGAAGGTCAAGCAGGCTGAGCTGAACGACTTGATCCGGAGAGTCAGGGAAGAGAATCTGGCGAAAGCAGCAAAGGAAGATGAAGAGTTTGAAGGGTTTGATTAGAGTATATAGTAGCGATATCATTCATCTATTAATTAATGTATGCATCCTAGGCGGGATTTGGCACGTCAATCTGGACTCAGATGTCTCTCTTCTCTCTTCTCTTCTCTTCTCTTTCACTCTCTCTTTCTGTTTTACATCTTCCGACTTCCTCATGATATCCTACTGAGCGGAACGTATGGTAGATTTCCTGAGAATGGCTGTTTATAAGCAACTTTGGTGATATATCTTCGTGTAATCCAAACAAGTCTAACGCCAGTCAAGTATGAATATGGAGCTACGGATCCATTGGCAGCACATACTGCCGCTCTCCTATATTTCTCATACTGTAAGTATATCTACGTAGCAGCCTTCCAATCCGCTTCCCAAGGCCATATAAAAACGAATATCGCCTCCCAAGGCGTTGTGGCGACTAAAGCAGAGTCAACTTTCACGCTGAGTAATGCAGCTTATAGCGAACCCCCGAGGAAACAGAAAGGCTGCCAGTGACAGTGGCCGATATGGCGATTTGGAGCGCCATGCTGACTGCAAATTGGTGTGGGGAGCCTACTAGGCGGTACCTATGCTAGCACTTGCAGAGTGCCTGTAACAGTAGGGGCCTGATGTAATAGCGCAGGTACTCCTGCTAAGGCGGAACGTGGGGTGGGCGCGAACTTTCCTTTGGTCGGCTTTTTTTCTCCAATGCGCATGCGCTGCATTGAATTTTTTTTTTTTTCCCTTTTTGAAGTTTGATCAACCATCCACGCTTCACTGCGGAGGTTCTTCCAAACGAGAGGGAATCCGATTTTACTTCCTAGCCAAGACGCAGTGTCCATTGTAGCACCATGTGCGGTGTCTCGGCCATATTGGTAAGTTTTTTTTTTCTTGAGCCCCGACTCCGGAGCACCGATGAAACTCTACGACTTAGAGAGCTGCATACACCGCAAAGCGACAATGTGGAAAAGAACAGAAAAGCCATGCTCAAGACACGACGAGAAGAATAACGAGATGTAACCATACTAACAATTTGAACTTAACAGTTGGGTGATTCCAAAGCCACCACGGCTGCGGTTGACCTGCACGAATCCTTATATTTCCTGCAACATGTTAGTTACTCGCTCAACCGCCGTCCCGACCTCTTCTTCCTCGATCGAGCTACTTCGTCGCAACACAACTGAAGGGAATGCTAACGCCAGCAACAGCGTGGACAGGATGCCGCCGGCATTGCCGTGTGCCAGGGCGGAAGAGTCTATCAGTGCAAGGGAAATGGAATGGCAGCAAAGGTGTTTGACGAGGGAAAACGTACAGTCGATGTAAGTGCCCGGGCTCTATATCTTTTCACACAGCCGTCTCTGGCAATTGTGTCGTTTGTTTGAAACAAAGGCATAAGGTTCTGGTTCTGGTTCTGGCTCTGCTGGTTCTGGCTCTGCTTTTTTTGTGCCATTGATATCGCGTGGGAAAGGCGAATGCTAATTCATGAGCTTCAAGCTCCCCGGCTTCATGGGGTAAGCTATACCCCTTGCACCGAAACTGGCTTCGATATGCCTTTGAAGCCTGCAAATAATTCCGTTGTACTAACTCTTCTGAATTAGTATTTCCCATCTCCGGTACCCGACTGCGGGCACCGCGTCCGCGTACGCTCGTCTCCTAATCTCTGCGCTCTAGCTCCCAACAAAACGCCAACGCTAACTAAATGCCTGCAGATCCGAAGCGCAACCATTCTTCGTCAATGCCCCGTACGGCCTGTCTATGAGTGTCAATGGAAATCTGGTAAACACACCAGAGCTCGTTAGATTTTTGGACTGTGAGGCTCGAAGACATGTAAACACCGACTCAGACTCAGAACTCTTGTTGGTCGACCTCCTCCGTTGCACCTTGATTTCATCAGTTGACTTACTCTGTTACCCAGGCTCAACATCTTTGCCCATGGCCTCAGCGAAATTGGCAAGGTCCGAGCGAACGTTGAGGATGTCTTCACCGCGCTGCGAGAAGTCTATACGAGATGCCATGGTGCCTTTGCCTGTACTGCCATGATTGCCGGCTTTGGAATCTTGGGCTTCCGCGATGAAAACGGTATCAGGCCGCTCTGTCTGGGATCTCGACCCTCCGAAACGCTCGAAGGTGCTATGGATTACTTTATGGCTTCGGAATCTATTGCCCTGACCCAACTTGGATTCAAGAACATTGTCGACATCTTGCCGGGACAAGCCGTTTTCATTCCGAAAGGAGGAGACCCTCAGTTCCATCAAGTCGTAGAGAGGAAATCATACACGCCCGATCTTTTCGAATTCATCTACTTTTCAAGGCCGGACAGCACTATTGACGGAATGTCTGTCCACCATACCCGACAGAACATGGGTTACAAGCTAGCAAAGAGGATGAGACAAGTTTTGGGGGATGAAGAGATTCGCAACATTGATGTTGGTAAGTGATGGAAATGGTCCTCTGCCTATGCGAAGGCAGATTGGACAGCTCTCTCTTCCCTTTTTTCACGAATGCCTACTGACTTGGTTTTCTGTACAGTCATCCCAATTCCAGAGGTAAATACTTTTCGCTGTCACAGAGTTGACGATGCGTCGTTGTTGACTAACCTTTTGTCCTCTAGACGAGTAACACAGCTGCTGCTACACTTGCTATGGAGCTAGACAAGCCATTTTCCAACGCTTGGATCAAGAATCGATACGTATACCGTACATTTATTGTTCGTTGCCGCCTTTATACGCCTGCAAGCAATACATGACTGACCCCTTTCTTTCAACAGGTCCCCGGCCAGAAAGCACGGCAAAAGAGTGTTCGTCGCAAACTCTCGCCTATTGCGTCCGAGTTTAAAGATAAAATCGTTTGCATGTACGGAGCACATTCTACTTCCTGTGACGTATATTTTCTGACAAGAAATATAGGGTCGATGATAGTATCGTACGCGGAACTACCTCTCGCGAGATTGTATGTAGCTCCATCTCGACTTGTGCCAGGTACATGATGTATTAGCGAGCAAAAAGCTAACTAATATTCCCTTCTCAGGTTCAAATGGCCAGAGAATGCCAGGCGAAGAAGATCATCATCGTGTCTTGCTGTCCAGAGATTACTCATCCTCACGTCGTAAGTGGCTTGGCTTGGGCTTTTCCGTAGACCATCTGCTAATATTTTTTCCCCTCCATCTAGTACGGCATTGATCTTGCTGACCCAATCCGTAAGTTCAACATAATCCTTCAGAAACGTAGTATTTCATACTGACATACTTGATTTTCAAGAACTCCTCGCCCACGGCAGGACGCTGAAAGAAATGACCGACCTCATCCAGTGTGACACTTTGGTGTTTCAAACTCTCGAGGATCTGAAAGATGCTTGTTTAGAAGCGAAAGACGACAAGAGCGAAGTGAATGACTTTGAAGTTGGCGTCTTTTGCGGCCAATACAAGACTCCGGTGCCTGACGACTATTTCCCGCATGCGAATGGAGTTGACGGGAACAAAAAGAGGAAGAGCGCGGCTATTACAGAGGTAGGGGGGGATTCCGACGCTGTCTTGGTTGCGAGCAGCGGTCCTGTGAACGTCAAACTCCCACGCGGGTCGATGGATGAGGCTGTCCCCAAGGGACCGGAGTACCGAGAAGATGTCAGGTATGTTGATGCTAACAAGTCAATTGAATGTGTAATTAGGGACTAATGATTTCGCAGTATTTATAACTTTGCAAGCAGGTCTTGAGACGGGCCATTTTCATGAGAAGGAAGCGAGGCGGATTTTCTGCGGATGAAATATAGATTCAAATGGTTCCCATATGTTGAAAGACTTGCACAAAGTTGTAAGCATCAGGGGTGGAAAATAAAATTTTGGTATAGAATCATAAGTTTCGTAATTTAATATGCCAAACAAATCATTTAGAATATAGATATGCCAGCGAGATGTGCAGTTAATAAAGGGAAATCTGTTGCACACATGCGAGGCCGTTGCGACCGGATGAAAGACATTGACATGGAAATTCGAGATTCGAGATTCGAGATTCCAATTGCGGCATCGAACGGAATTATACAATACGCGTATTTTGCCAGAGCTAGCTCGCCATGTTTGCTGCTAGTGCGAAATAGTCATGCTGCCATATGATCTGTATCTTCCACTAAGAATCGACGACCCACGCCCGATCTCTGGTAACCCAACGCCTAAATGCTAAATGCTTCGTACCGTCAACCCCTCTTCGATTGCAATGTGGCGGAGCATGATCGTATAAAGACTGCCAGTTCCCCAGCATTGGACGTCTCGCCAGATCCGTCTGCTTGACTTGGTCCCCTTTCCACTCCCATCGACTCTGAACCCGTCACCGATGCGGAGTTTTACGGAGTCTGGATTGTCCAAAGCGCGAATTCAAACTGCGACGCACACCCGCCGCTCCGCTCGATGACGTGGCTCCATCTTCAGGCCAAAGCCAAGATGCAGGCTCCCAGTTTTTTTTTTTCTCCAGGCTGTCCGGAATTGTGGAATTTATGATCCCAACTGCCGGATACCGAGGCCGCGGAGCGATAATTCGAGCCCTCAATAACTGAATTCACTCGAGCCATTCTGCGATGGGCATCTCTTGCAGGTAGATGCGTGCAATCTCTTTTGCCTTGCGACACATCACTGTTACAGGGTATCCCTAATTCCGTACATACTGATGCTACCTAAATAACATTTACAGTGGTACTGACTTGTCAATGCAGCTCAGCCTGTTCTTGGTATCGGATGCTTTTGGCCAATCAAGGTTCCGCGGCGCGCGGCTGACTCGGGGGTTTGTTATACGTGTTTAGCATTTGCCCCATGCAGCAGCTACCTACGGTATGGTATGGGATATCCATTACCTTTTGACAATTGCCGGAAGACTGGGCTGGACTGGGCTGGGTCCACCTCGTCTGCGCCAGATGGACGGGAATCATCGCTCTTCGACGATTCGACGAAGATTAAACCTAATCGTTGATCGCATTGATCATTGATCCAGCCAGATACCTGCTCTCCAGCAGTCGATGCGGCTCCTTTTCTCAGTCAGCGGCACAAGAGTCGGGGGCCCGGAATTTTACAAGGCGCGAGAGCAGCATCAGGTTCGGCCCCTTTCGGCTCCGCTCCCGAGAGGGCCTGTGGCGGAGCAATTGCCTGTGCGGCAGCTACGGCAGCCACGGCCACTTACAGCGAGCGCTTGTACAGCGCCGGTACCTCCGATGGGGCTGCCAGTACAGCGAATACCCAGGCGGTACCTGCAGCCGGGGCGCCTGTCACCTGCGGTTGATGGTCCTGACGGTCCCCTAGGCCTGCCATTCCACGGAGGGTGCTGTGTTAGTGCGCCAACCTTGCCTTACTTCAGCTCGGGCTGAGCAGAGACAACCACAACACCACTCAGACACAAACACACCCAGAGCATCCGGGCCTCTGGGTCCGAATTACTTGCTCCTCTCTCCTCTTTCCTCCTTCACCATCCTCTCTCTTGTTTTTTGCCCAGCAGGCTTTCCCACAGATGAGCCCCCCCGCCGCCCTCATGACCATGACAATGCACCACCAGCTCAACGGGAGCTCCGGTTCAAACGGCGTCGTCAAGACCCGACGCTCGCACCGCAAATCCAGGAACGGCTGCAGCGAGTGCAAGCGACGACACATTCGATGCGACGAGCGCCGCCCAGCCTGCACCAACTGCACCATTGCTGAGCGCGCATGCTCCTTTCCGCCCTCTCGCCAGAACCAGCTGTCGCCCCTACCGCAGCCGCCGCTGCCGCACAGCCCGGCCGATTCGCATCTCAGCCGCAAGTCGCAGCACTCGCCGTCCTCCTGCGAGCCGGATCACCCGGGACCGTGGCCCGTCTATGGCCATGAGCCATCGCCAACTTCTCCAGAGTCTGTCCTCAGCGCCGGCCGCGGCAGGTTCGCGCCGGCGCCCTCCACGGGGCCCCAGACCCTGCCGTCCTTTACCGAGTCCTTCACCAACACGGCATACAACCCGCCTGTTCCTCCGGCGTCTCTCTTCACGGCCGAGCACATGATGCTCTTCCACCATGTCTCTGATGCAATGGGCGACTGCATCTTGGCCCGCGGCCAGATCAAGATTGTCCTGGACGTTGCTGTCAAGCATCTGATTGATGCGCCCTATCTGATGGACCAGCTGCTGGCCTTGTCGGCGCTGCACGTGTCCTTGACCACCAAGCCCGGCGAGAGTCCGCTGCTTGGAAATGCTGTATCTTTTCGTCATCAGGCCACCGAGCTGCAGACACGCGCTCTGTCGTCCTTTACCCGCATCGCTTCTCTTGTTCCCGCGGATGATACGGCCACCTGTGTCCCGCGGTTCCTGTTTGCCAGTCTGCTGAGCACTCAAGTCCTGGCTGAGACGTTGTTGCAGCATCAGCCACAGCCTCCTCCCTACCACCACGATGTTATGGGGGTCCATGGTGGAGGAAATGGCGGCAGCAATGGCAGTGGTGGAGGTGTCGTTAGCTTCCACGGCTTTATCGAGCGCATGGTTGAGTGTATCCACCTGCATCGGGGCATCCTTGCCCAAATTCGCCCAACATGGGATTATCTTATGCAATCTGAGCTCTATCCTCTACTACGAATCACCCATGACGCCAACCTAGCAGCAATAACTCTCAAGTCTGGCACAGAGTGTGTCTTTCTCCGCCAGATGATAGCATCGACGCCATCCTCCGCAGCGTCCCTATATAGAGACGCTTCACCCCGTCTCGACCAAGCCAGCGCCGACGCTTGCCGAATCGCCATTGATTCTCTGCAATGGGCATTTGACATGCACCGAGCTCTGCCTGAGCAAGACGTGCCTCATGCCCCTTCTGCTTTCATCGTCACGGTGGAGGCGGAATACGTAGATCTCCTCCGACAGCTTCTACCCGAAGCATTGGTGATTTTGGCGTACCTGGGTGTCTTGATACATCGCTGCCGCCGTTTCTGGACATTTGGCAACGCAGGGGCAAACCTCATCCGAGCCATTGCCGGATATCTGGGCTCCCACTGGCGCGATTCGCTGGCATGGCCTCTAAAAGTGATTGAAGAAGAGACTGATTGAAAAAAAGAACAAGCAGAGAGATGAAGTAACGAGATAGAAGGGGAAGAAGTTTGACAACGCAAGATGAAAAGAGGAAGACATTCATTTTCTTTTTCATTTCTTGTGCAATGAGCATATTCACATGTAAGAAAGAGGAAGAAGAATGATGATGGACAGTAGTATACTGTCTTTTTATATATGCATTGCCAGATAATTTGCTTTGATCTTTTTTATTTCTTTTGTTATAGCAAAGAAGGAAGGAGAAAAATCGATACAGGCAAATGGGATATATGGGTTATTTTTTTTTTTTGTTCTTATGAATTCTTGAGAAGAAAGGAGGGGGGCATATGAGCATGCATGCATCAATGTTCTTACTTTCTTCTTTCTTTCTTTTTTGTATATTAGTTACCGTCTTTCACTTTTTGTTATATGGGCATATCTTTTACGGAGCGGACTGGGATGTATGAAGGGGGCGGCAAAGGGCAGTCATGATAGCATACAAAGATCGATGAACTGGGTTGAACATTATTGGCATAACTAGTATGTGTAGCCTTTTCTACATTCAACGTTGGTTGTTACAATTTTCTCTTTCCCGCTTTCTTCTGTGATGGTAGTAAGTCTCGACATTATTCTCTGTCTTGTTAGTCTCTGATTGAGTGGACGACGAAGCTGTTTGAAAAAGAATTATTTATTCATAATCCGTCCTCCTGACGAGTAAACGCAGCGATCCACGTCTTTCTTCTGTACCTAATCTATGTCCTCCCCTCATAGTATGGTAAAATCCTACATTTCATACCGGAACTTGTCTTCGTCATCTTCCTTCGTCTCTCTCTCTCTCTGATGCCCTTCTGCCACTTCTCCTCAGTACCTTTTTTTTGTCCCCCATGTCCTTCACATGAGAAACCTTCCATTTTCCTACACGACTAGCCCTCTCATCCTTGACATGCTATTTTTTTTTCTGCTTTTTGTTCAACTGCCAGACAGAATCGACAGAATCTCAAACGGTAGAGAAAAAGAGAATCTGGCATCCTACCTTGGTGCTGGGTTAATAAACGTCAAGGCATAAACGGGACCATGTGACTCTATCGTTTTTTTGGTATCAATACAAATGAAATCGGCGCCAAGCATCCTCGCTGTCGATTGAAGCCATAGCCAGGCCTGGAGCACCCGAATAGATGGCTTATATCACAGCCCGTAGAGCTCCCATCCATCTAGGGCTCCGTACCGTATCTCGGCCTTCTCCGACCCCAGCGAGGTTTCAGCATCCCGGTTTGGCGCAACTTCCGCACGAAACTCTTGCGCAAGTCAGAGCTCTTCGTCATCCAGATCTGATGGCTTCACAAGACCTCCGACTTTTTGTCGCCTCTCCATATCGGCAGCTCGGGCATCGCGCTCCAGTTGCTCCTTCTCGACAATGAACAGCTCGGCGTTATCTCCAGCGAACTCCTTCAGGGAAATCAAGAAGTCACGGAGGTTGAGTCGGAATTTGTCATACTGTGTGTTCAGAGTGAACAACCCTTCAACGAAGCTAGCGATTTGGGCTCTGCATGTAATTGTCAGCATCCAGTTGAGCCAGCGAAAAAAAAAAGGGTATAAAAGCTTACGCTTGAAGGTTAGGGAAGGCATTCTGTAATAGAGTGGCAACAGAAGCAGACAGGAATTCTCGGTTGCCAGTTCCAGCCTGGGCTTGGTCCGGTGTGTAGATGGGGCCTTGAATCTTTGGCGGTGTGCCATCAGCCGGGTGGATAAAGTAGAAGAGCTTCATCAACAGCATAGACTGCGTCTTGAAACCCGCCTTGTGGTCATTGTCCGTCACAACAAAGAGCACATCCTGCAGGATAGTAACAAAGAAGCGCTGGAAGAAGGCATTGGCGGTGTTGGGGTCCGTCTTTTCAGCAATGTTGGTGATCAGCTCCAAGCACATGTTAAGACCGGCAGCTTCAACATCTCTGTTGTCGTGCTTGAATGCCCATGAGCAAGAGTCGATGACAAACTTGAACTGGTTGTTGTCAAGTTTAAGCAGAGCTATTACCAATCAGTTTCTGTTCATTCAAGGTAACTCGTATTGTGAACGCATCATTAACATACCTGGGAAGCAGTGCAGATTGATAGCTCGCAACAAGTTGAAGAACTCGACACGATGCTCCGGGAATTCTGAAAAGTCCTTGTTAATCATCTCTAGAGTGCACTCAAAGACATTTTCCATGATTGTGGGAACTTGGTCTTCCATCAACGCCTGTTGCAATGTTAGCTCACACCCCAGAAAAAGAAGGAGAATTTATAACAACGCTATCACATACAGCAAGCTTTGTGATAATGGTTGACATGGCTTTCAAGACCTCGGCGTCACGGGCTCCTGGCACATTTCGGTTGTAGTCGACAAGGACTGAATCTAACAATGGGGGCACCATCTGAGCTCTGACGGCCTGAAGATCTTCGGCCTTCTCAACATAAGTCTCAATCAACTTGAGGATCTCCTTCTTGATCGTACGCAGACCGCGAACCTTGGGCATCTTGGTAGCCAGGTCACCTACAATAAATGTCAGTGCCCGATCGATTCATAAGGAAAAGGGAGTAGAGCGTTGAAAAGACAGTGAATAGAGATAGAACGCTGGAAACCTACCATCTCGCGCTACGGCCTCAGAGATCAACGAGCTTGTGGCACGGTACATCTGCAGCATGTCGTGATAGATTCGACCAATCTGCGGGTAAAAATAAGAGCCGGTGGAAGAGCATGCTGAAACGTTGGTCTTCATGATGTTTCCAATAACCTTGATGGTCTCAGCATCTTGCAAGATTGCAGAATTCATATTAGCCTGCTTGATAATCTCACTCCATGCCGCATTGGGGATGTTCATCAGTTCGGCCAACAGCCTCTCCTGTTGATTCTTGTTGCCCTGTGCAGCAACCATATATCCACAGGCCTCATAGAAAGTATGTACTTGTTGGGGGGTAAGGTCGCATGTAATCTTGCCCATATTTCGTACAATCTCTTCAATAAAGGGCTCTGTCTCACTAGGCTGAAGGGCGACAAAGTGTCGTCGGCATTGCCTGGCAATCTTAATGAACGTATCGCAAGCCATGTCCTGAACACCTATTCAGTAGGTAAGCATATGTGAATGGGACGTAGTCGGTTAATGTGGTGGAATAGAAAATGAAACATACCTTCGTGTGACTCATGCATGAACTCAAAGAGCTTGTTAACAACCGTCTTAAGGAATTTCCAGTGAGCCTTGAGGAAACGGGGATATTGTCCAACAATATACATGATGTTACTGGCGACAACAGCTTTGTTATCTTTGCCCCGCTTCATTTCAGTAAGGCCAAGAAGATCCTTAATGACCGTGACAAGGAATCGCTTCTCTGTCTCTTCGTTCATGGCAAGGGAGATGGAGCCGATGGCCCAGCAAAGCACGTTGCAGTTGTGCCATGACCACTCAGAACCGTCTACTTGGCGGGCCAGCTTCTCGGTCATGATGTTCTCAGTATCAACCACGTCTAGATGTGTAAGGTAAACCAAGCACTCTCTGATGGTCTTGTAGAGCTGCACAGTATCACCCTCCTTGACAAACTCGCGAACAATTTCTCCTTCGTCGTTTTCCACAATCAAGACTTCCTCTGGACGAACCATCTTCTCGATCATGACAACGCGCAGGTTGGAGAGGACTTCGTTGTACTTGTGCTTCCGAAGAGGGTAGTTCATCAAAAGACTCGGGTTCGGGGCTCCGCTTCCAGACACGCCTCCCACCCCGAGCAAGGGGTTGAGATCGGTAATGGGAAGCTGCTGCATCTCCTCGTAGAGCTCTTGAACAAGCTTCAGCCAATAGTCCAGGCAAATCTTGAAAACTTCTCGGTCGTCGATTTGCGATATTCTGACAAGATAGTAATGGCCGTGAATAAGATAATCCCTATTGGGAAGGTTTTCAATAAGCTGTCAAAGAATAATTAGTAAATAGGCGCGTTGAAGAAGCAGGATCAGATGCAGAGTCGAGAAATTCTCACATTAAGATGCATGCCGAAAAAGTTGCAAAGGAAAAGAGCAAGGTTCTGGACAAATTCTTGGTCCTTGGAGTTGCTACTCGGGTAGGTAGCCTTGAGGTCGAGCGAAACCGGGATGATGTCAGCAATTGTGGTCAGAACCTCAGTAAACATCTTAACCAGCTGTTCGTCGTATGAGTTGGGTTGTCCAGGTCCACCGGTCTGAAGACCACCAATCTCTGTGAGGCACTGAAGCGTGACATTTCGAAACTCCGGGACGGACAAGAATCGGGTTCGCAAGGTGTCGATAAGCGGCGTCTCGAAGATGTAGCCAAGAGGGATCCAGTTGCAGAAGCGGAGCAACGTCTCGAGAGTGGCTTTGACGAGGCTTGGCTGGTTGGCAGAGTTGAGAACCTCTTGGCAGAGGGTGAAGATCTGAGAGAACTCGGCACACATGGTCTGCTTCAGGTTCCTCGTCTTGGTGGATGTCATTTGCTCGGCTGAGTAGTCGAACACCTCTTCGGAGAGCAAGCGCAGAATAATCATGTTGTTCTCGCAAATCGAAAGGCTGGAGTGGCAAGAAGAAATGATTTCATTGATAAACGTGGGCCAGTTGTGTGGCCATTCTTGCTTGAGGATCGAGACAAGCACGAGGTTGAGCTTGTTCAAGAGGGTCTTTTGGGCGCGCAAAGTCTCTTCGCTATTGGAACACTGGATAATGAACTGGACGATGAAGTTTCGGATACCTAGATGAGAGCAAATTCGGGCCATTAGCAACGCCAGCTGCTTGATTAGCAAGAGCAGCAGGAGACTTACCTTGGCACTGCTCCCGAGGCAAAACCTTCCATCTTGTCATGATAACATTGTCAAGAACTTGTAAACCCAGGTCTTTATTTTTTGGTTCAAAATGTCAGTAATGGAAAACAAAACAATTTGTGCTGCCATGCCTGGCTTGAATTGCTGGGTTTGTCATGAATATGGGTGGGATGAGAGAGGCAAGAGGAGGGGTCACGTACACTTCGTCTGGGGATACTGCGCGTCGGATAGAATCTTGTCGACCATGAGCCAGGCATCGGGGTCTTCCTTGAACTGCATTTGACAAATAAATTAGCAAAAATTGTCTAAACTTATACCCTGGCGTCATAGCACAGAGATCGGTTGCCGTGGAGAGCTCGAGGACGCGGAGGAGTATTTACCTGGTTCAAGGCGGCTTGAGCTGCTTTTTGCTATAGATGGAGCAAACAGAAAAACCAAAGCGTCAGCTTTCAATGCCATAAAAAAGAAATTCCAACAATGCAGACAAGCATACCTGCTCGCCGCGACCTTCGTAGAAGGCCCGGACCGTGCTATCGAGCTCCTCAATGGTAGGCATGGTGGGCAGACAGCGAGCGAGGAGGGGGAGGCTGTTCCTAAGGCGGGGGAGGGAATCGAGATCACCAAATCGAAATCCGGTCGAACGACGCAGCGCACAAAGTGGCGGCTGTGCGGTGCGTCGGTGGCGTAAAGATGGGGGGGGTTTTCTCTCTGCGATCTCTCGGGCGGTCGAAGAAGGAGGAGAAACACGGGCAACGGCGAAAAAAGA